AGGTGAATTTGAGCCTCGTGAAGTGGAAATTTCTCAGGGAAGAGATCATGGTGAAGATTCCAGCTCTCAAAAATCTAACGTGGTGGATACTTGTGGTGTGGAAATAAATAAGGGAGAAGAAGAAAAACATGTTTCCCCCCAGACTGCAGAAGTGTTGGATGCAGCAGAAATCCTATATAACTTGAGGACTGAAGAATCAGATGCTACAGAATGTAGGAAGGATGATGCTTGCAGTTTCAAACGCTTTGATATAGCCAAAGACCCTTTGGACCATCATTTTCTTGGTGCAGCTGGGCAGGTATTTTTTGTATTTCAATTCCAACCCCAATGTCCCTTTGTGTATTAGCATTGTGGCAGGACTGTCAGTTAAATCTTGAAGGATTCCTCATTCAGCATGCATGGACATACTATAGATTAGTTATAATAAAGTATAAACTAGGAGTTTATCTTTAGGAAAAGAAAAGAAGGAAGGAAAATGATGTGTTTAGGATATTTCGATCTAATAATGAATTTGTCCATTTGATTTCCATTTTTCTTTTCCTGCTATATTTTTGATTTGACAATATGAAGATAAATGAACTCGAAGTTCTTATGTCAAGAGACTTGCCCGTCATTCTATACTGACCTTGTTAATTGGTTTAGTCATTTTATTTGCGTATTGGCCATATGTGGTTGTTGACGTATAGACAAGGACTGCTCTTTATATTTTTAACCTGTTTTTCACATTAAATGTACTTACAGAATACCAGTGGAAGAAAGTGGTTAAAGAAGGTTCAGCAAGATTGGAGCATCCTTCAAAATAACCTTCCTGGTAAGAATTGGTGTCTTATTTTATTCTCACTATCTGTCCCAGTTTAGCAACACTTGGTTTTAACAGTAAAATTTAAACAGATGGGATTTGCGTACGAGTTTATGAAGATCGAATGGATCTCTTGAGGGCAGTTATAGTTGGGGCTTATGGGACTCCTTACCAAGACGGCCTCTTCTTTTTTGATTTTCACCTCCCTCCAGAGTACCCTGATGTTCCTCCGGTTAGAACTACTATCTAATTTTTGTTAATCTTTGGTTAAGCTATAATTTATTTTTATCATTTAATTAGCCAATTTGTAACATTCTCTTTGGATTTGATGCAAAGAAAATGTCATTTCCTCTGGTTCTCTGAATAAATTTGTGATGTTACAGACAGCATACTATCATTCTGGTGGCTGGCGGATAAATCCAAATCTATATGAAGAAGGCAAGGTGTGCCTTAGTCTTTTAAATACTTGGACTGGCAGAGGAAATGAAGTATGGGATCCAAAGTCTTCTAGCATCCTTCAAGTGCTTGTTTCACTCCAAGGGTTGGTGCTAAATTCTAAGCCATATTTTAATGAAGCTGGCTACGACAAGCAGATTGGGACCGCTGAAGGAGAGAAAAATTCATTGTCCTACAATGAGAATACTTTCTTACTGAACTGCAAGACAATGATGTATCTTATGCGGAGGCCACCGAAGGTGATGTTTCATATTTCGAATATTCAATTTTCCATTATAAGATTCTATTCTCTTTATGCGTGTCATATATATAGTTTTCCGTTATCTTTGTTTCATTAAAATTTTCTTGGTGATAAGGATCCCATCCTCAGGTGGTCCCATATTAGTTGGATTTTACTCAATCGGTTCATAGAATTTTCTATGTTGCGTGTCTGATCATATACATCCTACCCAGTTGTAGCTTTGGCTATGGCTCTGGGTCCCAGTCACCTATGTGTAAATCTACCATACTTTTAAATAGAAGATGATGGTGCAGTCTTATGTGAATTAGATTCGGTATTGAGTTGGGTGTGCGCCTTGAAATAAGTGGTATGATACGAGCACTATGAATATACATGGTAGGAAAGGAAGTTTATATGCCTGCCATGGCATCATGTTAAGTTTATCATGTAAAATATTACCACCAAACTATATCATGTATAAGTTATCACCAAACTATATCATGTAAATATTGAGCTTATTTGATGTTTGTTAATACTTGCTTGTTAAATACTTGGAGACCACTCTTCATGTTCTTCTTGTGCTGACTCTCAGTAAAGGCTGGATCCATTTTGTAGCGGTATTATTCACATTTCAATGTCATGTACAGGATTTTGAAGAGCTTGTCAAAGATCATTTCAGGAGGCAGGGTTATTATATCTTGAAGGCCTGTGATGCATATATGAAAGGGAATTTGATTGGCTCTCTCACTAAAGACGCCTCTGCTGTTAAGAGCGATGTAAATTCGACCTCGGTTGGTTTCAAGTTGATGTTAGCTAAGATTGTGCCAAAGCTCTTCTTGGCTTTGAGTGAGGTTGGAGCAAATTGTCATGAATTTAAGCATCTGCAACAATCATAGCATAGGTTTGAAGATGCAATTTGCCTCTGGATCCGTCAAGCCAACAAGGTCAATCTGTTTTGATTCATTGTTGTTTCCTAAACAATTGAGATACTTGTCAATGTAAAGGGTTTTCACATTCTATTAGATTTCAATTTTTTTTATTTCTTTAACTCTCAATAGAAATTGAAAGCCTTGTCTATTTTAGGCTGTGGGGGTTTGCTAGAGCAAAGTTGCTGGCTGGCACTCTCGGTTTTTGGTAAACGATAATTTTCTACGAGGAGCAAAATTGGCTGCTAGCCTTTGTTGACATAACTTTTGGTACGTTTTTGTACGGGGATTTCTGCGATTGCAAAAGCTTTACCTTTTGTTTGCTCATTTGTTCAGGATTTCAATGGATTGTATTGAATTAAAAATAAATAAATGGCTTCAAATAATTATATATAATTTACCATGTGAAATGGCTTCTCATACTTCAATTCCTTAGCTCACTTGTTTATTTTGAGTCATTACAGAAAAACCAAAATACATCTTCACTTCTGGGTATCACCAGCTGTGTGTTCTATTCAATATTTTTATTCAATTGATCAAGAATTTTGAACAAACTTTTTTTTAAAGAATGCTTTCTTAGTCCTTGTAGAAATCAAACTTTTTGATGACATTTTTCAAAGGGGCAATAGTATACTAAACTCACTGTCACACACACTACATGAATGCTAGGACTTGAATCCATAACTTTTCTTAGAGGAGCAATTGCTCCAAACCACTACACTAGTGGGTCTTTTGCGGCTGGACTTGAGTTAAATTTGCCATTTTATACCTGAATCTATTCAATTAATCCATTGAGCTTCAGCTTTAAACTTTTCGTTTTTACCATGTAGTGCATCTAATTGCAGATAGTGTCAATTCAAAATCCACCTCGTTGGAAAGGGAACTCGAAAGGTGCTTTTCCACTTTACAATAGGACATGTTTATCATGTAGCCTTTACCAGTTACATAATTGTAATCATAAACCAGACAATTTGCCCAGTGTCCATTCAGTAATTTTACCAAATAGACGTCGAGCCTTATAGCATGAACTTGTAATTATGTATGACATTAAAGTGATTGGTTATCTATACTGTTGTATTAGAGCGGCTTCCAGTACGGTGTGTACCCAATGTGCAGCAAAGTTTGAGTATTTGAACCGTGTAACATGTACATTATTAATAAGAACAAAATAAGTTTAATATCACACATCCAAATCTAGTTTAAAAAATAATAATAGTGGGATTGGAGAACCCATTTTTAGCGATAACATAATTCTCTTCTCACTGGTTTGGAACAGGTGCATTGTTCCCCTGCAATGCTTAAACTGAATCTACTTTCACTACTCTCTGCAAACCGGTGGATTCCACGTGTTGTCGTCATCGATAATTACTAAAACTTTCATGGCTGTTATGGTCCCAGTGCTCCTTCCCCTGATATGCCACAAGAAAGATAGAAGAGTTTCATGCTAAAGCACCCCAGCAAGCAAGATTGCATCTGCATTGCTATATATTAATTGCAAGGTTAGGTTTTGTCGTTTCTGATTTTAAAGATAGTAAAGGCCTTTGTGCGGGAGCATAGCTTGCACAAACATCAAGTTATCAAAGCAAGTGAAATTTACAAACATGGGAAATGTATCTTCTTCAAGCTTTATGCAGTACAAGGATGTAGATGTGAAATTTCGATTTCATGAACTTCTAAGAATTTCTCTAAAATCAAGTGACAACAAGATGAACACCAATACCATTACAAATTCCATCACGTAAGAGATGATGTTTTCTAGAAATAAGCATTCATGCCCAAGCATATCATCTTCATCTTTTAACTCAAGGTTTCTATGTGTTTTTATATACCCCGGATTACAGACTTTCTGATGCTAATAAAATCTTTTGAACCCTCAAAGATTCAGATAAACTAGATTATCAGCATCTGAAATTCAGCATTAGCTAGCTAAAAAGCTTATGTATGCAATACTATACAACTTACACCGATTGATCCTTTGACTAATTTACCACTCTTAAACACTACGCAGTTCAATATTAACAATCATAACTCATTCATCTCCATTTGGATCTAGAAGAAGACAAAGGAAATAAAATTTGGTTATACTACTTGTGTTCTTTGTTTTTCCCAAGAAGTTAAACTTTGAACCAACCAGACAGTATCATTCACGAAAAAGTATAATGCAATACTTCGTCTTAAACTTCAAAGAGTTCATCTAATACTCGGATTTTTTCAGCACAAAACCCAAATCATGTTCTCAGAAAAAGTTGTTCACCCAATTCTAAAACAATTAAACATTCTTGATTTCGTCCAAAAAAAAAACATTCTTGATCAAGCTCTCACCTTTTCAAAATATTGCTTTTAATTTAGTCCATTCTAATCAAAGTATATTATAACCAGTTGCTCAACTTCAATTATCATCCAAATTCCCTATTCATAACATTGCTAAATCAAAAATCCACCATCAAATTCAACCCATGAATCCAAGTAGAGAAAATACAAATACCATGTAGCTGAACAGCATTCACTAGCCATTTTCTATGTTTATTTTCATCCCAATAAACATCAAGGGAACTGGGAAAAAAAAAACTAAGGATAAACAAGTACCAGCAAAAGATGTTCATAGACCACCGGTCTTGATGAACCTTCTCCGAGCCAAAAACCTCGACAACGGAGGTGTAAGCGCCAGAGTAATCGGAACCCGAAGGGGAAACAGAGCCTTGTTACAGAGCACAGCCAATGCCAGTGCCCCACCAGTTGAAGCCGCGAGCTCAGCCGTCCGATTCCTCTTCTTTTCCTCAATCACAACCGTTGATGGGCCAATTTCGGAGGTGGGTCTGTCGCGAAACACCGACCCATCGGAGATTTCGGGTGGGTTTTGGGCGCTTTCGTCTTTGGAGGAGACGCTTCCCATGTGAAGCTTGTCGAGCAGCAACTCCACGTCGAGGTTGTTGTTGATGGCTACGTAGAGGCCTGTAATTGAGGCAGCTGAGACTGAGAAATGGACCCCAAGTGCCACCTTGCCGTACTTCTTCAGGAGCTCTTTGAATCGGCCAGCGCTGAGGATGGAAGCCATTGATGGACGAAAAAACAGTTCAGATTTTGGGGAGTCGGTGAGGTTTTTTTGAGAGAATGCTAGGGTTTTTGTGGACTTTAAGGTAAACTGGGTTACTGGGTTTCTTATAATTTTTTGTCAGTTTGATCCTTCTTTTCGGACAAGAAACATGAATAACTTGGTTATGGGGTCAAGGACTTAGCCATTCAAGTGGTTATTGGAGCTCCAAGTGGTTGCTCTTGGGCCTCATTCTACCTTGGTTCGTTTTTTTATCTTTTGGGCCATAATTGGTTAAGGACTACAAGTGGGAAGCCCATGATTGAAGATTGAAGCTTCAATTTTATATATATACATATATATATATATTTTTTTTTCCTCTCCATCAGCTACAGCTACTGCTACAGCATCATACTTAGTTCTTAGGACCAATATCCTTGAGGGCACAGATCTGCTCCTCTCCCATTGCAGACATGACAGTCACCACAAGATCCTTTCCATCAGCAAACCCATCTTTAATCTGGCTAAGCAGACTTTCATCGGTGGGAAGCCTCAGATCATCCTTGGTGTTTCCATTTTCAGTTAAAAGACTCACAAAACCATCTTCAGAGATATCAATCAGCTGGTAGTCGGTACGGTTGACATGAGGAACATCACAGTTGTGGGATGAAGGAACAATATCTTCAAGTTTCTTTCCATTAAAAATATCAATTGCAAAAAAGTGGCACTTTGCATGACCATGCTTGCCAGTTTTTGAAGTGGAAACTTCAACAACCTTGCAAGGCCTGGCCTTGTTGACTATGTAACCATTCTTCCGAATGGTACCAGCCTGCTGAGCTGAGGGTAGGTCTTGGAAGCCCCAGCATCGGCCTTGGATTCGAACTGGTGCTCCTCGTCAGACATCTGTCTCTCTCTGTCGAGCTTAGTAAGCTTCTCTGTTCCTCTTCTTTTTCTTTTCTACCAAAATAACGACGAGGACTTCAATTTGATTGATGAATATTGTTTGTGTATGTCTTTGTTTTTCATCATTAGAGTGGGTGTGAAATTCACTGTTTATAGTGAGTTTCACATTTTTTATGTGTGCAAGTTCGACACACTACATTGAACGCACATAAAATTATAATGTAACTTTAGACCATGACTAAAATTGATGATTGATATTATATCGAAAACTAAAGAATTTAATTCAATAGTCGCCACTTCTAACAATGGGCGGGATAACATGTTTTTATAAGTCCGGTTGCTGCTACAAATACTTCTTCAAAATGGAACTGTATTAAATGTTGATTCGAACTGAATTTTAAGATATGTAGAATATGTCCTTTGAGATTGCGTCCGCAAGCTTCTACCAAAGTGAACAAATAAACAAATAAAATACTCAAACTAGTGCTTTTTTCCATATAAAACACTGATGCTTCATGTTTCATTAGGAAGATGGTGCAAGTGGAAGGGATTAAAATGGCTGTTGTGGAGGTGTAGGTGGTGGTGATGGTCATGGTCATGGTTGTCAAAGCTGACGCCATTCTCTGCGGCTTTAGCTATCTCACTACACCATCTTGATGGGTTCCTTGTTAGCTCTAGCAAGGAGTCCCTCACATCATCAGCTTCAACCATCTCACTATCCTTTCTCTGTTAACCAACAAATAAATAGGGATCATTTTATATAAGATTGCTTCCTTCTTTTTTTATATGGAAGATGTTACAAAGCCCACTTTTCTCTCAATGCTTTTTTCAACTCTCTCACAAGGTAGGTTGACCTACATGAGTCTCACAATATCACGAGTCTCATATTTTGTGAGGAAACTTTTTGTTTACAACGGGTGTATACAACATAGCGTTCATACGCTTACACGTTGATTATGTGACAAATTATTGTAAGAGGAGCAAATGATTGTGTGTAAGAGTTGAAAAAAAAAGAAAAAAAAGTTGGGTTTTATAAGCCTTCCTTTTATGTACATGTTGAAATGTATTTTCTTAAGCCAGATTATGCTAGAAGAAACTAACCTCTACGACGAAAACATTGGACACGAGGCATCTGAAACTAGTCACATTGGCATTAATAACTTCCAGGCTTAGAGAGCTCAAGGCCTCCATCAATCTCACAAATCCACCAGGCTTGTGCTCACAGAACACTTTAACAAAGAACTGATTTCCATCTAATTGAGCCACTTCCACTTGGGGCTACAGTATTTTCCCAATTTCTTTGATTATTAGCCAAGAAATAAATGAAACCCAAAAGAAAACAAAAACAAAAAAGAAAGAAAAAAGATACTTAAAGAGAGAAGAACACAAGATATATCATATATACCTCCATCTGTTGTGTCTTGTGGTCATGGATAACATCTGAATCTTGGCTTTGTTTGGAGACGCTATCGTGTTGATGATCAGTTTTAGGCCCCCCAGGGTCAAGTCCACTTTGAATCTCTGATTGTATATTGTTGTGGTGGCCAGTGATGCCAGAGTTCTTTGGACCTTCATCCTCTGCATGATCATCAAGCTCATCTTGGAGTTGTTTAGCTTGCTTCTGCAACTCCTGCACATACTCGATTGCATCCCCAAGAATGGAAGCCCTGTCCAACTGTGAATCAAAATGAGTTGGCATTAGAAATAAGATGTCACTTTTCTAATAGTAATAACATCAAATGCCAGTTCACAAGAGTTGAGATTGCTAATTGGCTTTCTTCATCTTTTCTTGTATTGTTTATAAAGCTCAAATCGATCGAATACATAAGCGACGTGAGACATGTTTGCATAACATAAACACAAAACAATGAGGTATCAAAAGAAAAGGAGTAAGATGATATAATGGTTACCTTGGAAATATTGGGAACCAGAGCTCTAAGAGCAAAAAGTCTTTCATTAAGCTTCTTCCTTCTCTTTCTCTCAGCAACAAGGTTTTTGGCTTGAGGCCCTTTCCCTGCCCTCCTTCTCTGGTATTTTGCATCATCCTCATCATCATCAATCTGATCACTGCAATCTGACAGTCCATCTGCAGCTGGTCCTTCATCATGTAAAATCGAGTCCTGCTTATCATTGCCGTCCTGCTGATTCATGTCTGGTGCTAATGCCTCCATGTATTGCATATGCATGTGTTGTTGTGTCTCATCAGCCATCATGGACCTCTGCATTGCCTCCATCTCTTGAAACCCGTTTTCTGCTGTGCAAATAAATGGGTCCATTTGTTTATCTGAAAGAAATGGTTCATGTGATGAATCTCCATAAGAAACATCAATACTATTCTTGGTTCTGTTTCCCAAGTTGTAATTAGTAAATTGCTGCAAGAATTTGATTGGAGAATTGCTTATTGTACCCATGGAGACATCATATGGTAGGTTCAGATTATCTAACTTCGAACAAATTCTAGAGGAAAGGGGTGGCTGGAAATGAACATTGTTGATATCCATTTGATCATTTCCATTATCTAAGAGGTTCTTTGATTCGATTTCACTCATTATACTCATACCGGTTATGTTATCGAGGGTGTCCTGCTCCATTGAGATGCTGTATTGGGCTGTGATAAAATCAATAACATGCTGATCTTCAAATACCTGCTGTCACAGAAAACAGAACAATTAATACATTCTCAATGTGAGAGTTTTATTACCATGCAAGTAGATCATTTCTTTCAGATAATGAAGGAAAAGGCTGTACTTTATTGCTCATACAAAATGTGCATGCTTGTGGTAAAGATAGACAAATGAGAATTAAAGAGCAATGGAAACATTACTTGTTTGGTAACAAGCAGCTCAATTAATCCTCCTGGTATTGGAATCAAAACCTTGGTACCAACTGTTTCCTGCAATTGTAAATTGGAAAACTATGAGCTCAATACTAAAATTGCTTTCTCTTTCGGAAATAGGGGAAAGAAGCTGAGTGGTACTTGCCTCTAGAGTACTTAAACATGTGTTATTAGAGAAGTTTAACCAACTGGGTTGGTTTGATATCAAGGTCTCTGCATAAATCCTGTTCATAATCATGAGCTCTCATGGTTAACTAATTTAGATATATCAAAGAAAGTATCGCACCAGATTTTTCAACTGAGCTCGATATGAAAAGGGCATGTTATATTGCTAGATTGTTAATTCAGATCATACACATTTAAACAAGATTCTTTCTTATCGATAGTTCGGATTGACAGTTCCATAACATATATAACATGTCACAACGTCTAGCAACATAGTATGCCAGACTGTCTCGAAAGAGAAAATTTCTTATATATATATGAAAGAAATGAGGGATAAAGTAGAGAAAGGATAACCATGTAAATAGGTACATACCCGGAGTCTAGGGGTAGAGAAGAAGGCATTTTGGCAAGAAGATCACAAGCTGTGGTTCTTGGATGCTGTAACATGGTATCCCTACAAGGAAGGACTGGAGGGAAAAGAAGATCTTGTCCAGCATCATATTGGGTGATTTCAGTCCCCGAACAGCAACAATCCATCCACTCAATGAACCTAAAAATTAAACAAACCCCAAAGTCACACACATATATATTTGTGACAGGAAGAAATTGACAGATTAATGCAGTTGACTATAGTTTCTTATACCTTTGGTCTTCACTCAGTTTCCAGATAACACAATAGTCCCAGCCTTTCAAACCCACAAGGGATCTAAGTCTCTGTATGAGGCTTGGCATTATCATCATGATGTTCATTCCACCTACAAGGATTGATTTTAAAACATTTATAAATAAAAATCAAGCCGAAACGAGGAACAAATTAATTAAAATTCCAACAGTTAGCTAGAGTGCTAGTAGCTAAGAAGAAGAGAGAGAGAGAGAAAGAGACCTGAAAGATGATGGTTTGAGGAGTGCTTGGTCTTGCTTGGGAGATGAATGTGGCTACTGCCTCTTTTGACTGAACAAATTAGCAAGAAAAACAAAACGAGGATGGAAGAAGAAACAAAGAGAGAGATCCATACAAACTTCAGTTGATAGCAATAGTTAACTGCTGCACCATCATCATATTCATATCCAAAAGTTAGACTAGATATAACACCCCATCTCAGCAAACTCACAACAAAACAAAAATTTCTATATCTGGTACATATATTTTTGGAGCTTGGAGTAAAATCAAGAAGAAAAACAATTGGGGCCTCGCTGCATTTCAGAAAATGTATCTTTTTATATGGGGAGAACTTGGTAGGTGAACTGCAGTCCATGCATGAGTGTGAGATAGAGCTTATTAATTTTTTCTTTTTTCTTTTTTTTTGAAAAAGACTTCCCTCCTTCTCTGTAAGTAGGAACTCCTAACATTCCTATCAAGGGCAGTTTGACATGTATGCAGAAGTTTTTCTTTATGGGTTTTTGATAAATTATTTTTGCATATGTGTCAAACTGTGATATGCAGGAATCAGGAGTTTTTTCTTTCCGGAAAGGAGGCAAGCAGTATCTTTATTGAATTATTATTATTATTATTATTTTGGTATTTATGTTAATGATGGCAGGAGCATATTGCATGAGCTAATATAGCGTACAAAATGCTAACTAACTTTGCAAAAGTTTTTCTTTCGTTTCGGTTTGGTATATGTATTTGCTCATGTTTCAACTACTCTTAAGGCTTTAAACCAAAAACGGAAACCATGCATCAGCAATTCATCAAACAGGTGGTGAACAAAACGCGGGCTCTGCTGTCCCCCATTTACATGAAATGGCCAACAGTCCACAACAAAGCTAGCTACGTATGAAATTGAAGCTAAGGCTTCCACAGAGAAAAACTCTTTTGAGACGTCTTGACGTAGAACAAATATTTGGGCTTTGCCGTGACATATCAGCTTTTTAGGCTAAATAATTTTGTTCGCTAGGTCAAAAAATACCATTTTAAATGTTAAGGGTATTTTTGGAATTTTGTATTTTCATCTTTTGCTTCCAATCCAATTAGGCTTCTCCCTTGGAGATGTCAAATGTAAATGTTAAATTTGAAATTGATGGCTTATGTAGCAATTTGACATTTTGGAAAAAATTTAACTCCACCCGAAATGCCAAATATCATATTATTTTATTATATTTTTAAAAGAAAATGGGGCCCATATGATGCATAAAGTTTTAAAAGAGAGTAAATGATAATGGGGTTCATGATTAAAATAATATTTGACGACAAGTTTTTTGATTTGTTATTTTTGACATATCTCTTCTAGTCTTTAAATCCATGTAGGATTTGACTAATCGGTTGGAACAATTTTAACCTTCAATTTTTGTCATTTTCACGTCCATGTGGCAATGTGACATATCAGTTGGAGATGCTCCAAGTGATGCTAGAGTTTGAGCTAGTATTAAAAACAACGGTAGCTTTCCGATTAGAGTTGTTATTCCCATTACTTTTCAATAAAACTTTGAGATTTGTTTCAACAAAAAACATATGGTGAATTTTAGACTATGTTTTAAAGCTATTGGTTCCAGCCCAGTGATAAATTACCTTAATTTATTAGTGGTCTCAAATTCGAACCCTCATAGCACATTGGTACTGTGTGAGTAAACCCCCGCATCCTTCCTAACTTTGGCCCCAAAAAAAGCTATTGTTTAATTGTTTAATTGCTTTTTCTTATTATGTCGTGTCACAGTAACTAACAATTAATCAAACACCATTAACTAACAATGTCACTCATCGGTAAACTCAAACGTAGAGTCGTGTGTTTGTCCGTCACTTTGCATTTGAGTTCGATCCTCCTTCCGCATATTATTGTAGTTTAGACAAAGTAATAGTAACAACATGAAGCATGTTTAGTACTGAAAACGACCATTCTACCGCTTAATTATAGGAAAAGTGAAAGAAACTGAATGTGCCTAATTAATTGATACATAACTAGTGGCTAGATTAAGCTCAATTAATAATTATAAAGATGTTGGAGGTGGTATGAAGAAGCATGGTAATTGTGGAGATGGTGTTGCTGGTAATGATGGTGATCATCATGATGAAAGTGATCCAATCCACTCCCATTTTCTGATGCTTTTGCTTTGGCCATCTCAGGCCACACTTTTGATGATGGGTTCCTTGTTATCTCCAGCAAAGAGTCCCTTACATCATCAGCTTGAACTACTTCACTGTCTTTCTTCTGCATAACCAGACATAATATAAGCTAATATTAAGGGAAATTTATATAAATACCACCTAAATTTTTAGGCAAGTGCACGATTACCACCTACCTCTAACTCCGTTAAGTCAAGTCACAATCAAAATCAAAATCCTAATTAATCTTATTTGATAAGGTTAACTTATTATTACCTCAACTTTAAAGACATTGGAGACAAGGCTTCTGAAGCTGGTCACATTTGCATTGGTTACTTCCAAGCCTAAAGTATCCAATGCCTCCATCAATCTCACAAACCCTCCAGGCTTGTGCTCACAGAACACATTCACAAATAATTCATTGCCATCTAACTGATGACTCCCACTTGTGGCTGCAATTTTTTGTCCAAAAAATATATAATTTATTTTACATCCAAATATATAAGAAATAATAAGATTTTATATTAAGTCTATATATATATATATACCTCCATCTGTTGTCCTCTGTCATTTGTACTATCTGAGTCCTGTTGCTGTTTTGAGAGGTTGCCAATATCACCTGCTGTGCCCACATGAAATCCATTTGGAGGATTATCATCATTTTCTGGCTTGTTTGTAATGCTTGTTCCATTTTGATTTAGAATCTCTGGTTGGAAATTGTTGTGGTTTCCACAGATATTGGCACTAGTTTTCTTATTAGGTCCTTCATCATTTGAATGCTGTTCAAGCTCATCTTGGAGTTCCTTTACTTGCCTCAGCAAGTCCTTCACAAAATCAATCGCGTCCCCGAGGATGGCAGCCTTGTCCATCTGAGAATCAACATGAGTAAGCATTAGATGCTGCTAAAGGGGTCATGTTTTTCTAATCACATTAGCTATGATCTCAACTATTAATCAACATATCAACTGCCACATGAGAAAATGTGGTTCATTTAGCATTACTTTTCTGTGTTACTTTCCTATTGAAAATGCTACTTTGAGAAAGAGCCAGGAAATTATACTAAAGTTCTGAAGAGTTGGCAAAAATAAGGCCAATGATGATCATCACCTTAGAAATGTTGGGAACCAAAGATCGAAGGCGATACAGTCTTTCGTTGAGCTTCTTTCTTCTCTTCCTCTCTGCAAAAAGGTTTTTTGATTGAGGCCCTTTCCCTGTTCTCCGCCTATATTTTGTGTCATCTTCATCATCAATTTGATCACTGCAATCTGAGCCTGAATTATCTGCAGTTCTTCCACCCTGGGCCTCATGTTTAACTGAATCTAGATCCTCAACACCCTGCTGCTCCATATTTTCCATAACATGCATACTATTCTGCATGTTCGGTGCATCAGCATCAGCTTGAAGCCCCATCTCTCCCAAGGACTCATGTGAACGCTGCTCATAGTACAGATTACTATTACCATTCTTCATGCTGTTCTCTGAGTTGTAAGTGACATGTTGTAGGAAATTCATTGGAGAAGCGCTGCAGAGGCGGATTCGATCAACTGATATGTCGTATGGCACATTCGAATCATGATCCACTGAAGGGGAAACAACAGGTGGCTGCTGGAAATGATTACTGTTTAGATGATCATTTCCTTCATTCTCATTGCCTGGAAATACATGTGGTTGTATTTCAGTGCTCATATAATTTATATTGACAGGGAAGCTTGTATTGCAGCCAGCACCAAGCAGGGTGTCTTGCTCCTTTGAAATGTTGCATTGGGCTGTGATATAATCAATCACTTGTTGGTCTTCAGAGACCTGTGAATTTGACAGTTACCAAAAACAAACTATTTGTGAGAGAGGTGAACAAATTATTTTTTTCAAATCTAACAAAAGAAATTAAGGAAGGTTTGAGTGAAGCATCATAAAATATCATACATCTTTAGAGACAAAGAGCTCAATCAACCCTTCTGCACTTGGAACCAAAACTCTGGTCCCATCTCTTTCCTACAAAATGTAAGTAGAAAGTATGTAGTTACATTTCATTATATGTTCAGAAAAATCACTTTCTTTTGGAAATAGCTAGGAAAATGGGAACTTGAGCTCACTGTCATGGCACTTGAATCTCTGTTAGAAGATGAGTTCAACCAAATGGGCTGGTTTGATATTAAGGGATGTGCATAAATCCTGCTCATGAGCAGCCATGGTTAATGATATAAAAACACTAATTAATTTCTTTTGTCAAGATATGTATGGTAATTAAAAGGATTTATAGGTACCCAGAGTCTAAGGACCGAGAAGAAGGAAGCTGGGCAAGAACATCACAGGAATTGGTTCTTGAGTGCTGCATTGTATCTCTGCATGGAAGGACTGGATAAACTGGAAAAAGAAGTTCTTGTCCTCCATTAGTCTGAGTGTTCTCATCAGCCCCAGAACAACAACAATCCATCAACTCAATAAACCTAAAAAAAATTAACCAATCTAAAAATTAGTCACAAAAAGAAAACATGAATTAGTAACAGTTAATTAAAAATTTCCTCTTAACCTTTGGTTTTCACTCAATTTCCAAATAACACAATAATCCCAGCCCTTCAAACCCACAAGGGGTCTAAGCCTCTCAGTCAAATTTTGCATACTGATGATCATGCCTCCTGCAATAATTAACTGTAAAAGAGCAGTGGAAACATGGAATTAATTGCATATTCTTGTTGTGATAGAATCTTTGCTAGAATCAGCTAGAAATATTTGTCAGAAAACCAAATTAAGATGACTATCAATAACTACAACAAATTGGGAATTCTTCACAATGCTCCAAGTTTTTTGTTTATTTCTATTGGCAGTTGTGTTATGTTGGTTGGAGGAGGTCTCAAGTTAAACTCATATGGAAGCGATGACGATATATGTATATATTTTGTGGTGAGTTCGATGCCTAGTTGTAGCTCTCATTTTAGTACACTAACAAGCACTCAACAGAGAACCAGACCTGTCAGGTGAGAACAATGCTTCTTGCTTCCAAGATTAATGTGGCTGTCTCCTTTTACTGAACAAAGTAAGAAACTTTTTTGGTGAAGAACAAAAAAAAAATTAAAAAATTACCAAAAGAAGAATGGAACCAGAAAGGAGTAAGCAATAGTTACCTACTCCTTACACCATCAGTCAAATAAAAGCTCACAGAAATCTCCAACCACCTCATCCCTGAAAACCCATCTCAGCAAAATGAGAAGAAACAAAGCTCAATATTCTATTTTGAATTTTCCAGTGAGATGCCAAGAATGCAAAAAACGTTGAACCCTGCGTCTCACAAATGTTCCTTTGTTTATATATATATGTGTTTTAAGGCTCAGGCTACCTTAAACCTTTGGTTGGTGAACTGCAGCCCATGCATGAAGGGGAGAAATTTGTTTTTATTAAAATGATATAAACATTTCAATAAAACAATGCCGAAGGAACCACATTTCTTAACCGTAAAAGTTAAACCATATTACGTGACATACGGAGTTCACTGTATATCAATTATTATGAACAATTGTATACAAATACTTCATAATGTGATTAAATTAATGTAATCTTGCTAAAATTACTCCTTTTTTAATGTGTTTTTAGATAGTTAAAGAAGAAGAGATTAAAAAAGATTGTATGTGAGTTGGAAATGATGGGTAAACGCAAATCGCATGACCTTAGAACCCTAACTACCTTACCTAGTTTTTTATTCGTTTTGGTTTCAGTTTCTTTCATGCTTCAACTACTCTACACCTTGGAAGTTGGAGCTGAAAACAAAAACAATCAACACATCAGCAATAATATTATCATGCTATCATATAGGGCAGTGCCACTGCCATGTGGTGCAAGACTTGTCCACCCATTTTGATTAAAGGGCCGGCTAACAGCCCCAGCTATACATAATATTATGCATACACATATCTATATGCACGTACGCGTGTTACATTATTACACTTTAATTTTTACAAATTAGCACACAAACTTTCAGAAGAAGAAGAAAAATCAAATTCGAAGCCAAGAATTTAACTCAAAATGTAACGTTTTCGGAGAATATTTTTTTAGAATAAAAATAAGAAAACAAATTTGCATTTTCAGAATTCGAAAATGCGTCTAGTAGATTAATTGAAAAATAAATTTAGAAAATAAAAATAGTGAAAACGTGTATGGTAGGACAATTTGATAATAATAATATGTGAGTTATTTTTCAAGTATTTTTTTGCTAATTTATGTCCTGCAAAATATATATTTTTTAAATTATGATATTTTTAAAAGCTAAAATTATTACAAACAATGACAAATGTATAATTTGAGAATAATATTGTATAATAAAATAATAATAATAATCTAACTTTAGAAAACCCTAGATAATAAAATTCTTAGTTCCTTTAGTTTAAAATAAATATGAAATTGAATATATATGATGGTTTTATCATAAATTAATCTACACTGGTATAGAAAAATAAAATAATGAAGTGGAACGAAAAAACTAAAAATTTGAAGGGAAAAAAAGGACAAATTAAAAATTAAAAACCAGACCAAAAAAAGAAGCAAGCAGACCAATACACTGGGTAGAAAATGAAAACGATAATTTGGTGTTTTTAATTTTGGTACATGAGTTTGAATTTATTTTCAAAAAATGAATTCCAACAAAAATTAAAAATACATACCAAACGAGTTTTTAATAGAAAATAAAAATAGGGCTTTAAAAACGTTACCGAACAGCCCTAAGTTATTTGGAGAGAGAAGTTTTAACAAACACTAGGTACCCACTTGCACCTTTCCTCTAACAGATAGATGCAATAGCTTAGGTAAAACTCCAACTCTCTTGAAAGCTAATGAGAGCCCGTAATGGGGTCTACCGACCTCGATTATTGATTACGATGCATCTCTAAGTAATATATTTAAATACTCTTGCAAGTCGGGGAATTCAATCTCTCAGCTGGCATGTTCAAGTTCCTCCACCTGTGCGTGCGGCTCATAGAATTTTGTTTGAAGCTTTACAATGTGGACTTCCGTGTGGTTTTTGACTTTTTATTTTATTTTATAGAGAGGAGAAGATTGAATAAGGTTTACATATCCGTGACAGAAAATGACTTACATCACGATCTGACTAAGGCCGGCATGTGAGAACTCAAATTTTCATATTGATCAAATCTAATTTCCTCCCACGAGACCATCAATATTACACTAAACAGAGAAACCAACGGAAGTATCCATAAAGTCATTTGGGACCGTAATAGTTATTTCCCAACTAATTTATAGGCGGTCCATGTTCTACTTATTCTTCGTAGGGAGCTACCTTATTCACACCTTTAAATGCAAGAGAAACAGTACACTTATTTTTATATCCACATGAGCCTGCCATTTTTTTGGGGAACAAGGGTGGCAAAATGATGAAGGTGCATGATGTAGAAAGCATGAGCTTCTAGAGAGGAGAGGCAGATGATGCATGAAAAAGAAAAAAAATCACTTCTAGAATCGTGTGATTTATGGCATTTAAACTAAAATTCACTAAAATGAATTCTGATTATTCAAATTAAATTTAATAGGAGTGCTGCTATTTTCATACTCTGTCCTATTTTCCTACCTACCTTATCTTAAATTTTGTACAGATAAATGTATCCCTTTGTAAAATGACTTATAAGGACTTGGGGAAAAAAATATCAACTCACGTAACCCACTTGTTCTATCGTTTGACATAAAAAAGCGTACAATTTCTCAGTTACTAAAACATTTATCTAATCCGTCAAACACAACTTGATCCTCTCCATTATCTCAACTGCTCATGATTCGCAAAGAGAATTTGCTTGAATTAATAATTAAACGGTATTTTAGGAATAATGGTGGGTGGAAAGATATGATTGTATTTTTTCAAATTTATGTGGTAGGTGAGAAGATAAGGTGAGTAGGAAAATAGAACACGGATGAAAATATCAGCACTCATTTAATGATTAATGTCAATCTATTGAATTGGGGATTTCTAACTTCAATAATAGAGATCTTATCCTTTTATATTCACGCAATCAATTCTTTCCAACCCAAACAATCACGTAAAGGAGAAATTATACAATGGTACAGATGTACCACGTCAGCATGTGATACTTCCATTCAACCATTGCCATGTGTCTATTTTAAAACGGAATTCTATAATTTCTCCACGTAAAGTAGCTCATATCTTATGGCTTATGACTAACTTTCTAGAAGTAATTTACACCTATGCTAATGTCAATTGATCCCATCATAAAATCAAATCAAATTAAATTGTTAGAATATGCAATGGAATCTACACATCAAAATGTGCGTTCTCGATGAATTTGAACTTAACATATTTTGTTAACAATAAAAAGAGGAAAATTACTAAACTAATAGCTAGTAAGTTCTTTTAAATGCTCATTAGCACTAACAAGGCTATAGTTCAATAGTAAGAACATTACATACATTGCAGATCAATGATCTCATATTCGAACTCCAATAACACCTCCCTCCTCCCTTTCCCAACTTAGACAACAAACCAAAGTGCGAAAAATTATTTACAATTGATTACATGCATGATGTGGATGTATCATGTGCAAAATTATTGGTACATGACAAGTATTTTCAAAAGAGTATACATACAAGAAAACGTACCTACCACTACTTAAAAAACATAATATTGTCTTCGATTTTCCCCTTTTGGGGCAGGCTTTTGTCTTTAACTATTTACTTTCCATCACCTAAATCTTTGTTCTAAACTCTAATTTCCTCCACAAAAATTGTAGCCAATTGTTATTAGGAGCCACAACAGCATCAGCCAGAACGTCAGCGAAGGGGGGCCATGGAGAAAAGTGGGCAGGGGCTGGCTCACCCCACCACCTATGCCGTCTGTTTCCTGTGCAGGATTCATAATAATAATCAACTTGGAAAAATATTAAACACTTTCACATTGGAAAACCTGTGAACTTTTCGGGGTTTTTAAATTTATTAGTTGCTTTCTAGAGAGAACTGATTAGTCATCCCCATGGTCAAAACAAGAGTGCTCCACCAACTTTTAGTCATCTGCTCTTCGTCACACAAAAACCGTTTCCTATAGAATCGCTGGGAGAGCAGAACAGAAGTCCCCACAAAACCCATTTCATTTCAAGGTCTTTTCTCTCACTCTGGCCCTTATATTTTTTTTCTGTTGGTTGTTATTTTTGGTGGAATTCTGATGTTGGTTTTCATTGGAATCTGTTAAAGATGCTAAATTCTTTAAGCCCATGAATGATCTTGTGGTAGTTGATGAGAAAGTTTAGGAAATTATATGTGCATGTTTTTATGTTTTTGAAGATTGCTCTTCATACTCTGTTTGGTTGCTGAGCAAAAAGTGAGAATACCAAGGGACTTGAGCTTCTGTTATGATTTAAGTTCTATGGGTTCTTTTTTCATATGAAAAATCTGATCTTATCAGCTTAGCTGACTTGTTAAATTGACCTGAACTGACTGGTGAATGTTAATTCTTGTCTGCTTGGTTGCCTGATGGTAAAAGGTTCAATTTTAACTTTTCTTATCTGTTTTTTTTTCTTTTCCCTTTTCTTACTATGCTTTATCAGCAACCAAACGAACCTTTATGGAAGTTATCAGTATTTCTGAGTGTTAATTTTCATGATTTTATTAGAAGAAATGTTGCTTTTTTTGTTTCGGTTGAATGATTGATTATCAATTGTATGCCTGCCTGATTATTCCTGAACTTCTGTACAAAATATTAGAGAGAACCTAAAGGTTTTGGAATTTGAAGAAAATTATAGGAAAATTTGTTAGATTTGAAAAGAAAATTTCAGAAGCTTCCATGTGTCTGGATTAATAAAAATTTAAAATTGTTTAATGGAATTATAATTTGCAGCCTTGTAGGTGAGCTCAATAGAGAGATGTCTTTGATAGGAAGAGTACACCCTGACTGCGTAAATGTATCCAATCCATACCATGAATGCACTGAAAATTGCTTGAGAAAGATTCAGGAAGGGAAAGGCCGGAAGACTAAAAAGAAATCAGGTTAGTATTCTTGGATCAATTTTTTTTATTTTTAGATAAATGTAATTAAATATGCTTGAACACTGAAGATTGACAAATTCATTTTCAGTATAAATTCTGACTAGTTTTTCTTAAAATGTGAGTACCCGTGTTTTCCCCTGTTGGCACACATTTCATGTCATTGTTGCTCACATAATTTCTTATTGGATAATCCGTTCTGTGTTTTTCATAAATGATTGGCATGTTGTTTAGTCTCATAACTCTTTTAATTTTGAATACCTTGCGGCTTTCATTCAAATTTTATCTGGGCAGCAGATATGTTTTACTGTCTTGATTGATTAGGAAGTAGTAGGGTCTTACGAGGTGCAGTGAATTATTCGTTTAGAGATTGTTTCTTGTAGTGAATTAGTGGCTCGTAGAGTGTTTCTTCTTCTTTGAGGGGTCTTTTCTTTTAATCATTTTCTGAATATAGGTTGGAAATTTTAGAATTTTTTTCTTTTCTTTTCTTTTCAAAGATAATGGAAGCACTTTTAAAGGTGGTGAGTTCAAAAAAAAGGTGGCGGACGATAGAAGAGCATCTAATCCTTACCATGACCCTGAATATTACCTGCAACAAACCGGTGGTGCCAAACCTCGTGGGGATATAAAAGAACCAGGTTTTTCCCCACTTTCGTGTGATAACTCTCAATACACTGTGTTAAGTAATTTTGTACATTTTTCCTTTCCATATCTGCAATAATTGAAAAACCACATAGGAGAGCAAGCTGTTCATACAGAGCTGAAAATCATTCCAATTGTCAAACCTATGTTTTCTGTTTGACAACAATTAGATGCTCTTCCCATGCAAGATATTTATTTCACCATCGCTTTATATAACCTTTCATGACATTCCCTTCTTACATACGAAAAACCTACAAAACTTTAATCCCCCAGTCCTGGGAAATGGAAATGCCATCAATTCATAGCCAGTGTGTAATTCTAAAAACAGAATCTAGTCTCATGTTTGCCTTAGGAATGCCTGAGGTTCTGCAAGGAAATCTTCTTCTTCCAAATGATGAACTGGAGTTTCTATGAGCTCCTGGGCAAGAGAAGCCCTTCTTGTTGTTGTGCAGGGAATAAACAGATTGTGAATTATTCATTCCTCTTCCACCGGCAATGCAAATAATGCTCATGGATTGTAATCCTGATTGTTCGCTAATCCTGGTTGTTCCCTTTTCTAATGGGCTATTTTAATTGCAGGTTCCATACTTGATGTTCCTATATTGGGCAGAAAAAAGGAGAGATCCCGACCAAAGCCCCCTCAAGAGCTTGACAATGTCCCTGGGCAAGGAGCAGTTTATCATTCAGATGCTCCGTTATCTAAGGAAAAGGTGAATTTAGAGAATGGTAAGCGTAAATCTTCTTTCACCTGACATGTTGTGGATTTATTTATGCATTTCCTCTTTCCCCTCCCATGCACATATACTATAGGTACACTGTGCAGATGTAATTGTGCTTTTTTTTGGTAATTTAGGGTCAGTTTTGATTGCAGGCTCCGTCCTTGATGATCCTATTTTCAGCAGAAGAAAGCAGGGATCCCAACCAAAGACTTCGGAAGAGCTTGAAGATGTCCCAGTTGAAGGTATAGCTTATCCTTCTGATTCTTCATCATCTTCATCTAAAGAAATAGTGAAACTAGGGAATGGTGGGCATGCATCTTCTTCCACTTGACAGATTGTGGATTTATTTATTCAGTTCTCTTCCCCATGCCATTCCCATATACACATGGATGCAGACGTATTCATGCTTCTTTTTCCTAATTTATGGTCAGTTTTAATTGCAGACTCCGTGCTTGATGATCCTATATTCGGCAGACGAAAGCATGGATCCAAACCAAAGCACCCTGAAGAGATTGAAAATGTACCAGATGAAGGTGTACTTTATCCTTCTGATTTACCCTCGTCTCCATCTAAGGAAAAGGTGAAATTACAGAATGATGAGCATAAATCTTATTCTCCACCGATTTCTGAAGTAAAAGATCCTTCTTTCAACAAGGGACAAGTGCAGTCCTCTCTGTTAGTGCCTCCATCTGGAATTATCACAATGGTGCGCTCCCTCTCTTTCTCTTCTCCCCACACCCCCCCACCCCCCCCAAAAAAAGGAGCTAACGCACAAATTTGTTACAAGTTGTGTCTTTTTTTTCGTATCAATTTGACTCCCCTGTCATGTTATCTGTCTCTGACAGCCTGAATATCCCAAAGATCCTCCAGAGAATGGTGCTACTGATGTCACTAGTGAATTACCTGGTCATGGGGAAGACAATGAAAATCTTCATCATTCTGTTCCAAATCTTACTGTCAACAATGCTGAAGAGGGCGCTGCTGGTTCAGCTTCAGATTCTAGAAGCTTTAGTTTCTCAGGTACTCTCCAACCTTTTGAAGAGAGTGATGAAGAAGAGACACGATCTGTTAACTCTGATTCCAGTGTGTCTGTGGGAAAATACCGTGTGAAAGGAAGTTTCTCTTCAATTCTCCAGTCGATTGTTGACAAATACGGTGATATAGCAGCAAGCTGTCAATTGGAATCAATTGTCATCCGCTCTTACTATCTCGAGTGCGTATGTTATGTGGTTCAAGAGTTGAAGCGAACTTCAATCAAGCAGCTGACAAAGCCTAAAGTCAAAGAAATGTTATCTATGCTCAAGGATGTAGAATCCTCAGGAATGGATGTTGGTTGGCTTCGTCTTATCATCAACAAATGTGCAGAAGCCACTGAACTTGTCAGTCAGCATCGAGCATTCGAAACAGCAAAGGCCAACTGTGATCGCGATATAGAATCAACAAAGAAAGAACTAGAATCACAAATGGAGGTTTTGGCTCAGAAAGAAAAGGAGGTTGCTGAAACCAGAGCCCACCTGAGGGAGCTTGAGCTTAAATCTTCTGCTCTGAGTGAGACTGTTAGTAACATGAAGTCCAAGGTTGATAATCTTCAAACCAAGCCATTGTTGGACAAAGTGTTGTGAGGCGACTTCAAAAGCCGTAAAGCCTGTAATCACTAGGTCACATATAAAATGTTCTGAAGGGTGAAACAAATTTAGTACATCCTTTTATACTTGTAGCTATATAGTAAACATAGGTTATCGTGTGGATTTCGATGTGGTACTTGTACTACAAGTCGTGAAGATTAGGGGATTGAAGACGCTACTGACTCAGTGATTTGATGAAATCATGTCACTTTTCTTTTGAGTTTTTCTGTTTCTATTTATATGAACACAATGGAGGTAGAAGAAAGTAATTGAAAAATAAATGCTTCTATATCCTTTTTTCTGAACAAGTGAGCTCCTCATCTCATATAAATTAGATCCGGCTCGTTTTCTATAAACTGCCAATGTTCTTGTTTGTGCCATATTTCTCAGCTTCATACCATACTTTTAGCATCTACATCATTTGTGATTGGATGGAGATTTGATGAAATTTTGGAAGGGAAATCTAACCTTGTAGCAATTTTTTCCCATGTGATTTTAGAAAAAAAAACATATATATAATGTGGATAGCACTATTTACAATCCCCAACTAATTATGTTATGCCACACGTGATAAAAATTCCACATGACAAAACATGATTGGTTGAGAATAACTACAATACTATCTCCATGACATGCAAATTCTTGTGATTTTAAGTTGTTGGATGGAGTTCTTGGATTTAGATTTATGAAATTTGTATGCGATAATTGGGCAAATTATCACAAGTTCTGTTGGGCCAGCCATTTAGGTTGACCTTCGTTTTTTTGGTCGAATGCTTTGGGACAAACTTTTTCATTTCCATATCAATGAGGAGGCATATTAAAAATAAAATAAAATAATCACAGCTTCACCTCACCGCCCAAAAAAATAGAGAAGAAAGAAAATATAGAATTTTCCTTTTTATTCGAATTCGCGCGTCAGTCTTAAGCCTTTTGTTCCTCATCCCTCTTTCCCTAAGCAAAACCTAAACCCAGGCACCGACGACAGCAATCGAAGCAATTCATCACGCAGGTTCGTCCTTTATCTTCGCAATTAGTTTCGTATTTGATTTGGCTATGCTTCTTTAGGTTTTGGTTTGAGTTAGGTTTCGTTTAGTTCCCGATAAGCCCATGAATGATTTCAGGAATTGAAATTATAGAGCCAGACTTCATTATAAGCTTTCTAAGTAAAGATTTGGAATTTGGAAGAGTTGGGTTTTTGAAATTATTGTCATTGGTTTGGTTATGGAATCTGAAATTAGGTTTATTTGATGAAGTTTATTTCAGGTAGCTTCAGAAATATAGAATATCTGAATTACGAAAAACATGTCTGACGAAGGAAGAGTACACCCAGATTGCAGAAATGCATCCAATCCCTACCATGAATGCAGCGAATATTGCTTTACAGTTATTGCCGAAGCTAAGGCTCGAATGGATCAAAACCAATCAGGTAATGCTTTTTTCTTTAACCAGTGCATTTTGTGTCTGTTTAGTATGTCATAATTGGCTATTTTCTGTTTTGAGAAAGATTTTCATCTTTCTTGCACTTCAGTTTTGACTCCATAACTGTAAGCTGTATGGTCTTGGACAGAAGCTGCTTTCATCTGAAACTGAACCTCAGGGGACTGATTTTATGGGATAATACATTATTTCCAAATGTTATTACGGAGCAGGGACTCAAGTTATCAATTTTTCCTCCTTTTTTATATAGAAGTCTGCATTGTTTTTATTTTTATTTTTTATATTCAAATATGTGTGGTAGAACTTTAGCTATACTTGAAAACTCTAGGTCCTCCATTTCTTTGACCCCTTATGAAACTATTGTTCCACCCCAATTTGTGTCTGTATACCTAAATCATTCTGTTCTACACTACATCAGAAGATGTGCAAGCCAGTGGCGGTAGTGGAAAATCCAACTCAGAGGCCGCTGAGCAAGAGGAATATGTACATAATGAAAAACCAGATTCTGAAGAACTTGCTGATGATGGTGATGACCATCCTGAGGAGAATATGGAAGGAGACTTCACAAAGTTCACAGGGAGGAAGAAAAAATTGTGGGAATTGAGGATGAAGATGGTAAGTCCTTGTCATTAAGTTCATTGGAATTTAAAATATAAAACTGTTCCATCATACTTCTTTATTGATTCCACTGTTAACTTTTATTTAGAATAAGGCAAGAAAAGACAATCAAACGGATATTGCAGCTGAAAAGAAAAGACTGGAACCTCCACAAGAGTCCAGGGGCATTTCTAAACAAAAATGGCTTGAAGAGAGGAAGAAAAGAATTGGCAAACTTCTAGATGCAAATAATTTGGATATGAAAAGTGCGTACATGCTAGATACACAAGAGATGGCAGAGGCAAAATACAAGAAATGGGAAAAGGATCCTGCCCCAGCTGGCTGGGATGGTATGCTTTAGAATCTCTGCTCATTAATTCATTATTATTTCTGTGTTTGGTTAAGGTTTTAGCTGGTCTCCTCAGTTCGTTGTTAATGATGATACATATGCTCTTTATGTTCCTTTGTTTCGGAACATACTTGTAGCTGTATTTGATATGGACTCTTGATTTTTATCAAACTCAATTTGCTTTTGAAGTTATAGAATATGAGAGAAAGTTTGTTGATGTAAACTGGAATGGCTTAGTTACTCTTAATGAGTAAATACGAATATTTAGGACATATGAGGAAAGGAAATGGCATTGTGTAACCTAGGGTTAAGCAAGAGAAAGAGGCGTATTATTGTTATTACATTATTTATTTGATACTATGCCGTACATATGTTTAAGCTAAATTGGGTTTTGTATACATCATATTTTCAACCATGTGCTTTTATGCATGCTTGCACACATATCAGAATTCTCTATTGCCAATTATGATGCAGAAAGAACAATATTCTTGATATCCACTTTTGTTCTTCTAGTCTTGTATAAATTTATAAAATCAAAATGTGATCTGACATGTTGTTCAAACAGTTTTCAATCAGAAAACTCTGTATGATGCATACAAAAAGCGAACAAAGAACATTGAGATTGACTTGGAAGAATACAATAGGATGAAAGAGGCTGATCCAGAGTTCTATCGTGAAGCTTCCAGCCTCCAATATGGGAAGGTATTTTGGTGTTGAGGGAAATCTGATTCCTGGTAATCTGGTTTAAAATGGAGTCTAAGCCCTGAATGTTCTATTTAATTGTGCAGGCTCCAAAGATATCAGAGGACAAGATTGATAAGATGGTGAAGGAACTCAAGGATCGGGAAGAGAAGAAGAAGTCATTTAGCAGGAGGAGGAGGTTCCACGATGAGAAAGATATTGACTCGATCAATGACCGAAATGAGCATTTTAATAAGAAGATTGAGCGAGCCTTTGGTAGATACACACTGGAGATCAAAAACAATCTTGAGCGAGGAACTGCATTGCCTGACTAAGGTAAACTCAACAAAATGCACTGTCTTCCAATGTTTGTCTAATTGTGTAATCAACTGACGTATGGGAACTTATGATTCCATCGACTTACTTCTGGCAGATTGGTGCTGGGGAATTGTAATAATACATGGTGAAAGTGTTTTGTTATACTCAGATTTCGTTACAGTTTTAAGTGGCATAATAAGTTTTCGTGTAGGAACTGATAATAGTTGTCCAGTTAACACCGGAATTTATCATTTTTTCATATGAGCATATATGCATCATTTAAAAAATATATGAAAATGCCTGATAATATGTGGAATTGCTATTATCAGTTTTATGTTCACTCTGAAGTGCCTAAAGGCAGATGCGGCCCTCACGCAGATCGGTCCCATGTGATAGGAAAGTGGAAACTTTATCTAAATTTGGGTGATTTCAGCCCTGCAATAACAGGCTAAAAATCACGAATAATGGCATGTTGCCCAAAGAGGAATGGAATGGGCCTACAAAACTCTCAAACGTCCTAGCTATAAGTCCTTCATGATATGCAGTGCTTTTATTGATTGCATCTTCTTATGAATGTTTGAGAGGGTGTTAGAAGACCACATCCAGATTCCCCCCCTTTCACCAAGAATTTTTTTTAATGTCCCAAAACGCGAAGTTCCTCTCGTGTGAGGTCCAATCACCATTAAAATGGTAGAGCAGTGCATGGCATATCATTGTAAATAAAAAAACAAAGTTGTTGGCGCTCAATTTCAGAATGTTGCACAAGTTGGAAATATAAGAGTTAGAAAAAAAATATATATATTGGGTTGTATAGCATTGCTATTCATTTATTCTTCTGAGATTCAAGCTTTTGGTGGTGTGTTGAGCTTCACGTGTATCTCATGTTCCACGCGTTGATCTGTAGGTGCAGCTTTTGAATCTTCTACCAGTTTGAGGCAAGATGAACTAAAAGATACTACACAAGGATTTCTTTTTCTTTTTAGAACTCAGAGCAGATGTGGATTAGGGTATTTAACGAGAGCAGGGCGTCTTTTTGTATTTAAGTTCGAGTCTCCTTGAATAATTTAGAGTATCGCTTATACATAAAAAAAATATCAAGAAGCAAGATGAGGTTGACTGCTGCTTGAAAATTTGTAGCAACGATTTTCAGAGAATTGTTTTGTATTATTAACCATCTACAACGGTAAAACCCTGTGGTCCTGCTGGAGCGACATTCCTATCATTTCAATTTCTGTTCATGCTTATCAAAAAATACTGAAAAATAATAAAGGAGCATAGTTATTTTTGAACCACAACTATGCCTCACTGGCATCCTCGTGAAGAAAATATTGAAGACCCGGCAGGACAGGTGAGGACCACAGCACTAAATAAACCAATTTGAAGCCTGATTTTTTGACGCTGCATGGACCACTACTCTCTCTCTCTCTCTCTCTCTCTCTCTACATCAAATAAACTTAGGTTTCCAACGAAATGACCATCGTGAAAAGACGAGAGGCAAATAAAATAACAGGTAAAAAATATACAAAATGGTCATTTTCTCCTTCCTTTTTCTTTTTTGGAATTTCAGTGGACCAATGAGCTTCATCGACCCATGTGCTTGCCATGACATGCAGTCCAATGCGTGGCAAATGCAAATACAGAGAGTATTGGTTTATATAGTCCCGTCCCAGTCCAGTCCAGTCCCATTCTGCTTTCACTTTCTTACTTTATTACGAGGCTGGGTTATTATAGTCCCACTCTGTTCCGAAAACTGGACCCAATGCACTTGTCATTTCGGACCTTTACAGAAAGGCACAAAGAAACCCGGGCTATAGCAGCACCTCACTCACAGAACCCTGCAGGCCATAATGTATATAATAATATATATATATGTGTGTGTATGTGTGCAGAGGCATCTTCAATGCTATAGGCTGCTCTTCTGGAAGCACACGTGGCCTGAACCCACAGGAATCCAAGGCTATCAGGACAAACCACCCCGCCAACACCCACACCTACACAGAAAGCAGCAAAGCTGCTTTGTAGAGCCAGCAGTTGTGCCAAGAAAGTTTAAAACTTTGGCCTGTGCAATGCATGGATTGAAGACAGCTAGCTGGCTTAATTATTTTAGCTTTACTAATGCTAGTTGGTCTAAAAGTTTACCTAGTAAATTGCTTGTTTGATTTTCTATTTTTAAAGGGTTTCCAAAATATAATTATTAAGAGAGACCATAATGAAAATTATTAGAGAGAGAGAGAGAGACAAGGGAGCAAAACATATCACTACTCAATGCACATCATGCACAGCTAACAATAAGAAATTAAAAGATTACAGAGAAACAAGAAAGATATAAGATGATCAACATCAAGATCTTCTCATACACAATCATCAACAAACTAATAAATAGAACAAAATATCAGAACTTGACACTCTTTTCTTCCTTTTTCATCTCCTCTCTTTTGAATCAGTTGGTTGGGTTGCTTCTGAATGATCCCAAAGCCTTGATAGCTGCTGCTCTGAGAATGTACTGGTGGTATGCAGCTGCAGCCAGAGCTCCAACAAATGGCCCAACCCAGAAGATCCACTGCACAAATTCACAAAACCATTGTAAAAAAAGACCAAATAATCACAACAAACAACAATCAAAACGGCATGTAGTATGAGTTTAACAAAGACCATAAGCAAAAGGGTCTTCTTACCTGGTCATCCCAGGCTTTTCCGTTGTTGAAAATCACAGCAGGACCAAAGCTCCTTGCTGGGTTGATTCCGGTACCAGTGATGGGGATTGTAGCCAAGTGCACAATGAACACAGCAAACCCAATAGGCAGTGGAGCCAAAACCTGCTCATACAAACCAACCCACATGTTAAAATCATCAAAATCTCAAGACCCAGAAACCAAAACCCAAACTCTTTGTGGTTTGGAAAACAAAACAGAAACAAATTATGGAAAGGAAAAGAGAAACAAGAAAAGCTAAAGAATTTGAGACTTACAGGCACGTGGGAGTCACGTGCACTCCTCTTGGGGTCAGTGGCTGAGAAAACAGTGTAGACGAGAACAAAGGTGCCAATAATCTCAGCACCCAAAGCTGTGCCCCTGCTGTAGCCAGAAGCCACCGTGTTGGCTCCACCACCCTGTGAGTTGTAGTTGTGTTTCTGGAAGGCCTTGACCAGCCCAACGCCAACAATGGCTCCTAAGCACTGCGCCACGATGTAAGCCACAGCTCTGATCAACGAGACCTTGCGAGCCAAGAACAGCCCGAAAGTCACAGCTGGGTTAATGTGACCACCTGAAAACACAAAGAAACCAAAAACTCATCAGAAATCAAGCACCAACAGGGCAAAAAGATGACATGGGTTTTGAAGAAAAGGCCTGAAACGAAATGGGTTGGTGATATTTCTTACCAGAGATGCCGGCGGTGCAGTAGACGAGGACGAAGATCATGCCACCGAAGGCCCAGGCAATACCCAGAAGGCCAACGCCATCGCAAGGCCCGCTCTGGACCTTGTTGCCTATGACAGTGGATACGGTGATGTAGAGGAAGAGCAGGGTGGCTATGAACTCGGCTATGAGGGCTCTGTAGAAAGACCACCGCTTGAGCTCATCGCTGTCGATGAGAGGAGCTGGTGGTGGGTCCACATAGTCCTTCCCATGGTGGTGGGCTTGTCCCTCTTCACTCACTTCTTTGGACATTTTTCTCAAGCAGGTAGAGAGCGCTCAAAAGTTTGGTCTTTTGCCCAAAAGAGTGTGTAGAGAAAGAGCTTGGAGGTTTTTGGGAGTGAGTGGTTTGTTTTTAAGAGTGAGCAGTGAGGAGGGAGAAAGGAAGGGAAATGGTACATTTATGGATAAGGGAGGGGTATTTTGGGGATTTTTGAAATATGTGAGAAATGGTTGGGAGTGGGACAGAATAGGTTAGGGAGAGAAAGAAAAAGGATGTGTTTTTTTAGGGTTTTTAGAGAGAGAGAGAGTTGTGGGTGGGGCCAGAGGGTACAGCAAGACCATGTGAAGGTTAATCATCTCTATGACGGTAAAGGGAAGAAGGGGTTTAGGGAGGTTATGCTGATGGGTAGGGCCAAAGGTGAGTCAGCCTGGCATCCGACTAGACCACGACCTACAACGGTTATATATCTCTCCAATCTCTCTCTCTCTCTCTCTCTCTCTCTCTCTCTCTCTCTCTCTATGAAACTTGTAGGGTTGAAGAGATTGGTTTGGAACCGGTGGGTATATTTGTATTTGTTGCGTTTAGGGCTGCATTGCATTGAGAGCTGTATGTAGAGTAACCAACCTTTTCCCTTGAACAATAATTCAGCTCAAATATGTGGCTTATGTTTTAGTTTAGATTGAAAATTGAAACTCACCAAACCAAATGTTGAGCCATGTTTAAGGGTTCAATGTTTTTTACCTACTTCCGGTTGAGGACACATGTAATAAACAAATATGTGACTTTCTACTTAAAGTAGCATTTTGATTTCTGAGTTTCAATTACACTAACCCTACAAAGGCTGCTTTAAAATGGGTACTTTCTAATCGTAGATTTTCACAAGTCCTAAAATAAGATCTATATGCATTTACGGACACACCTGACTTTAATAGAATTCAAATGACAATTCTAGTTGTGCAAGTCATTCTTCTTCAAACATTAATATCACATCATCACTAATAATTAGAAAGCATCAAATCTTTAAAGGCTTATCTTGTTAAATACATCGGACTTCAAGACTGACGGGTTGAGAAAGATGACATGTAAAATCATGGTAGCTACTGATTAGTGCATTGAACATGCATTAGACATATTCACTAAAACCTATCAATGAGAAATGCTAACGTGACATGCTCAAAATACACGAGGTGACAACAAGTCCGTGTATGAAATTTCTCTTGAGCAAGTCCGATTAGCATCTCTCATTCTTAATCTAATTAGGATTTGTATAACATAATTTAATGGAACACACGAACATTCACAAATTTGGATTAAGAGATGGATGACCCCCATCCCCTCATGCGGGTTTACCCGAAGACATGTGTAAGGCATGTACAGAAAGAAAAGGGACAAAACTATGGAGACAGTCGCATGTCTGTGTATAATCACAGACAGAGGATTTGAGCTGGACTTACATTCTTTTTGAATTATTTTAATGGTTGAAATTGAAGATGTGGGGATCTTTCACAGAAAAACAAAAGAAAACGGTTGTTGCTGGTTGTGGGAAAGTTTTCTTTATTTTGATAGTAGAATCATCGTCCAAGACGTCTTTTAGCCTGGCTTTTGTTGATTGCTTTGTCTTCATCCAATCCAACGGTACTATTTTACTTGCAAATTGCAATGCGAAGAAAAGAGAGTGATGCAGTGCAGTCACGAGCATCATGAGAGATGTATGTCCGCCCTTTCCTAATCCTCTGAGAAGCTCTGATGATTTTGATTTCAAAGTACCTGATCAATTTGTCGTGGAACGGGCAGGCAGGGCCCTCATGTTTTCTTCTGCCCAAAATACCCTCAAAATTGATGGAATTTGATTATTTATTTATTTATTATTATTTATAAATGAAGATAAAAACTAGTACTAGTAAGTACTGACTGGTAAATTAGTGGCAATGAAGTAAAAAAAAATTAAATGGGTGAGAAGAGAAATAGGGGGAAGGGTGGGGGTGACTTCAATTACAATTTTTTTTTCTTCTTCTTATGCAGTGCATTTTTTTGGTATTGTTTGGCCAAGTTTGGAATGTAGAGGCTCATAGCCTCATAATATCTATTTCCTTCTTCACTGTTTTGTTCAGAAATCCCAAAAAATAAATTCGCATGTTGAGTACAATTCAACTCTTTTTAATTATTTAATTTGACGGGTTCATTTTTCTCCCTAGAATTTAGAATGATAATTAACATAAGATCAATAAATTATGCGCACGTAGCATGTTTATAAGAACGAAAGTAGAAACCCTAGCAAACTATGTGAAATGTTATTTGGCAAAAGAAAAGTGTAATCACAAAATAAGTAGTGACTAATGTTTTGAAGAGAGAATTTACTAACTCGACATTTTTAGTATTTTTTATACAAGCGAATCGATAATCTAAATTACTTATAATTTATAAATAGACTAATTTGCAGATGGATTGAAACTTGAATGTAAAAAGAAGGAATCACTACCTTGGTAAAGTAATCTAATCCATGTCTCTCACCTAACTCATAATTTGAACAAGAAATTCTTTGCTTAATATTCAAATTTGTGTCACATCGGTAAATTAATTAACATGAGGGGACAAAAAAAATCCACGTGTCCAGTAGCTAAAACAGCTAGATGCTTCCAGAGCCGTCTTTCTTCAACCGTTGAATGGGTAACGGAAGGGCGCAACGGTCATATTTTCATATTCATCTTTGTGGCTGTGAGTGAGGCAGTGGGCCCCGCAGAGCAAGGGACCCACTTCCTTTATAAAGCTGCCTGCTAATTTCCGAAGAGATAGAGCTAGATAGAATTACTGATGCGACCAGTGAAGAAGGCACTGAGCACAACTTTTGATTCGTTCTTCCATTTTACGAAAATGTCCAAATTCTTATCCGCAATGCCCTGAAAACAAATTGCATCTCCTCAGTCTGATTATGATTAATTGTGTTCATATGCCTCATCATAATTCATTTCTAATTTTACACTTGACTCTTGTTTCCTTTCCGAAGGAGAAAGACTAGATACATTGTCCATTGTATTTTCCCTTTCTAAATCAGAAATCCTCGAAAATTGTTTAGTCATTTATGATTATCGAATATATAGACGAACTCACTATTTTCATTAAGCACTAAATTATGATAAAAATAGTTCAATAATTTTCATACGATACCATCACATGATGAAAAGGAAAAAAGAGAAAGGTGGAAAATGAATGTATAATACGGAAAGTATGTCATGTTTTCTCTAACATAATCTTTAATGAATTATATGAAAACTTCTTTTTCTCCTACTTGAGCAAAAATGAGAAAGGCAAAAAGAAAAAGGGTTTACACATTCATGGTATTCGGGATTTGGATTGTGATTCGGATAGAAGGGTATGGCTTTTTTCTGAACATGAAAAAGGGAATGCCAATTAAAGGAAAAGAGAAAGGATAAACAGTTATTTGGATGGTATTATGGCAGTAGAAAAGCCAAAATTGACCGTAATTTTAGGAAATTTGTGCATGTAAAAATGCATCATCTTTGTTCTTGAGAAAGCTATATAGAACATCCACAACAAAAGTACTTTGTAAACCTCATAAAACTTGTTTCGGAGAAAATCGAACCAAGAACTTCTAATGCAGAGTCGCGTACTCTTTAATCATGTTATATTACAATAAGCTCTTCTTCTTTAACAAGTTTTTAGATATGCTTCAAAGCAAAAGAGAAACTACTAGCCCATCACTTGCCCACATAAAATTTGTACACACCAATCACTCTTGGAGAATGGCTTGTATTGTATATATGGTGAAAATTTTGAGAAAGACCCAACTAGAAATGTTATCAATCAATAATATATTTTTCTAGGGGCATATTTGTCGTATTGGGAGATTACAAGGATGGGGGTCCCCCAAATTTTTTGATATGATCTTGTTGGAAGCTTGCGAGGGAGGAAAACAAAAATGAAAGCGTGAGCAAAACAAACAGATTAGACAAAATGTCCAAATCTAAGTAAGTTTTGGGTTTTAGTTACTCAAGGATAAGGGTCCATCTTGTGTTTTATATTTAAGGTCTATTTTGGCTTAACCACAAAGGCTACGATCACTCATAAGTTGCAGATAACTTTTGGAAAAAAAAAAATTTTAATTAAATTTTTTTTTTGGGGGGTTGCTACAAAAAAATTTCCTCGATAACGATCCTGAGAATTTATTTTTGGGGAAGACATAATCTGATTTGATTTTGAAGATCTTCATTTTAAAACAACAGAAATGATGGGAATAATCCACAGACGATATTCCCTTTCCACACCTGGTTGATTAACTAAGAGATGGATTAATTAATGTAAGTTGGACCATTAGAGATTAGTGGACCATCTAATCATTGATGCTTAGAACATACAGCATAGCAGAGAGATTATTCTAGCTTCAACCCCAATAAAACAATAATTGTTTAGAAAACAAATATTAAAAGTACAGCGTATTAGTAAATACTAATACGAAAATGGTTTTTAATAAAGAAACATAATCTATACAAACATGTAAACCTCATTTTCTCATCACTACCTTAAGCCACTGAGTTTTACAGAACATACATTCACATGGATCATGGCCGGCCGAAATAGCTTGGCTGGGCGAAACCGGTTCAACCCAGCCAACTTGAACATCACTTACGTTGTCGGGATTCAACTTCAACATACAGTAACTTGGATCACGTCACATTGTCGAGGCTATACATGTAAAACAATTATAGATGATGGAATTAATTGTTCCAAAATTTCCTGCACATCCAAGCAGAATAGGATAAAGAGTGATAGTTCGTTCTTTTGTGGTTGAACTAATCTTGGTTGCGAGATATACAGCAACAGAGTCTGCAATGAGTGTGGTTGTGACAATAGTAAATCTCTTCCCAAGTGTTATCTGCTTCGTGATCGAAACAGTAAAAATCGGAGTCCAATATTCAGATCCCGAGCAAACTTGATCAATATGAAGAGGAGTAATCATAAAGTATATATCTCAATCAAGTTTCCAATCAAGGGTTTAAAATGCTTTATCTGCGAGTGAGCGTCGGATAGACACTTCACTTGTGCACAAAGCGTGTGATGACCCAATGAACCTGTTTAGAAACGGAAAGTGTCAAAATAAATGAATGGTGAAGGAAGGTTGTGTATAATTTGGGTTTCAGCAAGAGTAGCTTTCTATTGACACTTACAATGTTATTTTCAGGATTAGACCAGTACAATCCTTGTATCGCAATAATGGCTAGGTTGGAAGTTACGAGAACAAAAATACTTAAAGAATGTACTCCCATCCACTCCAACACAGATGTAATGCACCTGTAACCGTAAACATCGATCTGCAATAAAGAGCAGACAGTATACTCATCAATTGGGTTGTTACCACCCTCATTAACTAAAAATTTGTAAGGATGAGACTTGTTATACCTACCTTGACTGAAGAATGATGCAAAAAAAAATAATAATAATAAAATTGCAAGCATGAGGCTAACATTCATTTGGAAGAATCATAGGCATTTAAATTGTGCCAGAAATTAAAGTCTGACATAAGTACAAGGCAAGAAGAAAACGGGATTGTGTGCCACTGAAATTTGATCTTTTGGTATAAGCTCCTACCATCCTTCATGAATGATTTGTTTATTAAAAAAGAACAAATAGACCGAGCTTAAAAACTCTATTTTCAGGTATATTTGCTAGAATTAGTATGGTAAATGGAAACTTAAAAAGAAGAGACCGAATCTCAGATAGGAAACATGATCATTATGTCCAAGTCTCATTAGCTCACCAAAGACAAAGCATGGTAAAACAAGAATCATTTATCACTTCCAATGTATAAAATAAACTCTTAGCACTGACCAGTAGATACAGAGCGCAAAATGTGATTCCCGCAGAAGCTGAAGTAATTAGCATATAACTGATTGTGTACAGAGATTTATTTACAGGAATGCCTGAAAATCAGAAATGAATGGTAGTGCAGGAAAGTTAGTACTAAAGTGCATTAGATCTAGCTCAAATCAAATCCACATACTAAGAGCTTGAGATTCATCAGTGAAATGTAGATTTTGCTGAAATCATCTTAGCCGGAGTAATTTAAATGAAGTACCCACTGAGTTCAAGGCAACAATAACATTTTATACCTATGAAGGCAAGGAATGAACCAAGGACAAAGATTGAAACTGAAAACAAGGACCAAGCATTTAGGCGCCCTTTGTGGTCCTGAAAAAGTAAACAGAACATCTGCTGAGTAAATTACCTAAGCAATAAAAGCTTGCATGAAGATTAAAGATGATAGACAAGATAATGTACAACTCGTTGAACGAGTCATATGTCACAAATATCACAGCATAGAGTTCAATGCATCTTAAGGACTATTGTCAAGGTTTTTGTTAAAATTGTGTCAACACTAGAAAGCTGCTAAATATTTTTCTAAAGTGAATATTGAAATCCGCTAAACTCATGAACAAGGCATTACCTCTATGTGTGCAAGAATGTGACCATATTGAAGTCCAATTATGCAGGTCACTGCAGCTGTTAGGGAGCTGTGAACACATAGTGAATGTCAATAGACTGATATTTGTAACTAGCTGTGATGAAATGCTACGACATAACAAAATCAATTACTAAAGAAGAGGAGCCAGTGGCCAAGTGGGAGACAACAATGGATGATAGTGACTGCTCTAAAGTCACAGAGGCAGAGAGGATGCTTGTACAGGCTGAGCCAATTAAACCAAGTAGGAACACATTTCTACAGCGACTGTTATCTTTGTTATTTTGATGCTTCTAAAATATTTGCAATTATGGATTTGATATGAATTGAGAAATACTATGATGGGCTGTATTAGGCATCATCTAGAGTGGCTGTAAATAAAACAAGATATTGACATGGAAGGAAAGTAGTTCGAATTTCTGTAGCTTGACAGAAACCTCCATTTGAATTGTTGGTTTCTTCTTTTTCTGAAGTTTGCGCTAAGTAAATCTTAAAATATATTGATTAGCTAAAATGGTATGTCATGAACAGAATAACTGAAGCAAACACAACTTAACACCCTGTGAATATGATAGAATAGAAAATGGTTAGATAGGCCACCTTAAAATACCTTCTGGATCAAAAGGAGCATGACACCATGAAGGCGAACTCTCTGGAACCTCACCATCGGCAGACAAGTTGCACTCCTGTAAATCATGATTTTCATAAGGAAATAATCACTCACATAAGCATTATAGAATAAGTAACAATGAGCTAAGTTACCTTCAGGTTCCTGTAAACCGGTTTCAAATATAGATGATCAACACCCAGAATACAACGATCAATCATGCCAGCAGAATTACAGGCAGGTCCAAGATCTCCTCTCACAGAACATTTCACCTACATTAAAGTAATCAGAATGAGATAATCAAAGAAAAAAATAAGGCACGCTATTCAACTAAAGAAAGGCTCATTTGGAACAAGGTGGATTGGTATCCGGGAAGATGACTTTTACCATAAAAACCTATCCTAATATCAACTTGACAATGAAAACACTCATTGGCAGATGGGTATCTTGGTATGGAAGAAAATATTAACTTCTGAGAAAAAGAAAAACGCTGTACATGTTCTCCTTTTACATACATGCATTCAGATGCGGAGATGCATGCATGTAAGTTCTATGCTTTAAGCATGATACTAACAACACAAATCATTGAAAGACAGCATGGAGAAAAAGGGTTATAGGCAGAAAGCAATTTTAAAGATTCTACAATGTAAACATTTGCTTGTTCCATACTGTAAAACATTAACCAGACAAGCCAATGAAAGACAGAAAAACAAGTATTAGGAGAAGAACCAAAGTGATGAAGATCCCATGACCTAAACATTTTCTCTTTTCCATCATACTCTAAGAATGATAAAACATGACTTTAAAGTTATTGAGCCATATCAGGAATAAAGTTACTTGAACCATAGCAGGAAAGAACATATACATATAAAAAAAAGGAGAGAAGTTCTGAGCGTGGTCTCACCAAATAAACAAAACTATCATTAGAGGGACGCACAGAAGTTGGTGTTGATGCTTTGAATTCCCAATCTGGTACATACAAACCATACAGTAACCCTGCGTATATGGCTGATAATGAAAAGATGACACACCTAAAAAGTAGAAAACATAAATTGACACTACATAAGAAGAAAATAAAATTTATAAAAAATAAATTCAGTGTATGAGAACAAAATCAAGTGATCCAAATATTGCTTAGACATTACTCCAGTTGCTTTGCATTCTAGATAAGACACTAGTGATATGCTAAGTTGAATGTCAACTTTTTGGAGTACATATTTGGAGAACAATAACCCCCTCCCTGCTCATCTATGTTGTTATAGACCACACCATAAATAAAAAATGGATGTTTTAGTGATCATGTTGATGAAGTCCTATTTATCATGTAGATGACTCCACATAAAGCTCTATGCTAAACACATATTATGAAAGAATTCAAATAATCTACTTTAAGTGTTCACAGGCCAACAACCAAGGAAGTCAGACAATGCCCGTAGACATCATTCATAGGACCATCGTTCTTCATGTTCCTTAAACTTGTTGGAAAACACACTCATGATTTCTTAGGTAGAAGTCCAATAAAAAATGCATATTATACACGTAGCTACTAAATATGTTAAGTAACAAAGTGCTATAGTCTATGGATTGAAACCTTACCAGTGCCAGTAATAACTCCTGAAAAATCCCACTTCACCCCATGTCTGACGTGATAACCAGATTTCGCATAAAGCCGCAACAATATATCCAAGTGCTATCCTCTAATTAAAATGACAAAGGTGATAGAAAGTCAACTACTGTATACCCTAACAATAAGAACAATGTAAGGAAATGTATTCAGTTAGAACTATATGTATTCAAAATTCACTCTGCTAAAGCAAGCAACTCTCTGAACTGGAGGCTAATGTGATCACCCTTGTGAGACTTTATTTTTTGAAAAATGAACTGAAACCATCAGATCAAAAGTTAAGGCAATTACATCCGCTTTCTCTATAAAAAAGTTAAGGCAATTACACATGGCAATGCTATAGAAAAATTACACGTGGTAATTCCTTAGAAAAACTACACATGGTAATTCCATGGAAAATTTACACACGGTAATTCTATAGAAAAATTACACATGGTACTTATATACAAGAATTAAACCAATTCTCAAGTATTTGGCACCCAATTACTAAACCCACATCCTAACCACTTATCTTTTCACTCGGAGATGTGCACACCCCAACTATTCTAGAATGGAAAGCAGTTCAAACATATTGGAATGAAAAATTTATGCACCTGCAGAATTCCAAACCACCGTATTCTTTCAATGTCAACTCCAAAAGTCAAGGAAGTTACTCCATGGAAATAACCACCTGAAATGACATGTATCAAGCACAGTTGATATTTCCAGTAGTATTACATAATCAATAGAAAGAAGAAACATGTAATACAATGCCAACTGCAGGATAAAGGATGATGGAGATAAATGAATTTTGGCATAGGAAATAGCATAGATGTTATGTCATTGGCAAGATAATGCTTCTCTTTTCCAGTTCGTGTCATGCTAATACGTACACTATGTTGAAAGGACAAAAATCAACATCTTTCTTGATGTATAATATCATTTAATATAGCATAGATGTTTCTGTGCACGGCATGCTTATAGAAGAGCTTACACTGAATAAACAGAAAATATTACCTTGAAGCAGAACGCCTAGAAGAAAAAGTTTTAGGGCCTTAAACACTGCCTTCCATGTAGCTTCTGCTCTGTTTGTCACCTTCTGTAATTTTCAATCAAAATCAAGTTTTTAAATTCTATAAATTCATAACTAAATTAAGAACCTTAATAAAATAAATAAATTCAAATAACCTTATATTCCCAATCACAATACTAAACTCGAAAGTTGAAAGCAACAAGTTGCCGAATTCTATGTAAAAAAAACCTCTATCAACTCTGTAAGTACCTTGTAGACAAGAGCAAGAGAAACTCCAGCAATGAATAGAAAGAAAGGCATAACAAAGTCTGCCAAATGGAGACCGTTCCACGGCGAGTGAGCGATTATCGGAAAAATTGAGCCGCCATAATCAACTAGCATCATCAGCTGTGGAATTCAAACAATGCAGATTAAATTTGGCAAACACAAATCTATGTCACGTCCTCAAAAAACTTCCTAAAGATAAAGAAAATGAATTGAAAAGTGAAAATTCGATGTTCTGCTTTCGCTTTCCAAGAGTCGAAAATTTCACTTCATCTTCACTACCTAAGCTGATCGAAAATTACAGGAAAAAGAAAGAAAGAAGAAGAAACGAGTAAGAGTAAGACTTGAGAGCATCAGTCTCTATACTACTACTCATTTCCCGCATTTTCTCAGCATTAAACAATACGGATCGAAAGTCAACGCGTTTCACTAGAAGCTTAAACGTTACAATTCGAAACTTTAAATCGAAATGGAGGTGTTTAGAGAAGGAGAGGAGAGCTCACGAAGACGCAGAGGCCGCGAAAGACATCGAGAGAGGCGATACGCGGAGGTTTCGCGCAGATGGTCGCCGGATGGTCTACTCCGTTTAGTAACGGCGCGTAATCGGCCATTTTATCGGCCGAGACGCCGAAATATCAGAGTTTCGGTAAAGCTGCGGGCTGTGAGTGGCTGGCAGTACGAAAAGTATCGCCTTTATTGGATGCGAATGCGATGAAGAATACGGCGACAAGAGAATAGAAGAGACGCCGGTGACGTTTTTTTATCCCGTTTTGGTACAAAAATACGCTCCAATGCACAATGCTATTTTGTCGCGGGGCCATAAATTGTTACGTGGCGCGGTTTTATTGGCGGTTCAAATGTTGGTTGCGAAGGCTTACAGCAGAAGGGTGTTCGTATAGTTTTTGAATTTTGGATTAAATATGTATGGGGTTGTAGGGGCCTGTGTAGATTTGTTTGCTTTAATGAGCTAAGTACTTTTCAGAATGGAGCTCGTGTTACTCACTAACAATAGAAATATCACATTGATTGCGTACTAAGTAGTGGTACGAGCATATGAAAGTACCACACTCGATATCATGTTTTATTGACTAGTGTCGCATCGCTTTAAGAGCAATGACGGATCTATGATTTTTAAATGGACTAAGCTAGATTTACTTTATAAAGAAACTTGACGGGCATAATGAGCCGTATATCTTTCAAAATGTATCTAATACATAAGATAGAAGCTAATTAAAAATAATAATAATAATAATAATAATAATAATAAATAAACGTGAAATGCAAATACAAGATAAAACTATTTAAGTTGCATTCTTCGAGTTTTTTAAAAATTAAAATGATTAATTATTCGTTCATTATCGATATTATCAGCTAATTTTTTATTATTTTGTTGGTTGTGTGTAAATACTACATCGCATTTATAAAATTCTTGAAAAAAATATAGGGTTAATTACAGTTTAGTACCCTGTGGTTACAACCTTAAGGCACGTTAGTCCATGTCTTTTCAATTTTTACAATCGCATACCTCGAGCTTGTAAATTTGTTACAATCTGATTCCATCGTTAAGGTTTCCATCAATTGTACCGTTATTTGTTGACCTGGCACTTATGGGCCCATTTTTTCGCTAGTTTTGAAGTCCTTCCAAGGGCATTTTGGCACTTGAATTTTTTCCTCTCCCGCCCTCACGCCCACCAACTCGTAAACCAAAAATTAAGCACCATATTACCAAAAAAATCTTCCACACTTGCAAATCTTCCACTTGATTTCCTTCATTCGCTGGAGAGGATGACGACACAGAATCAATTGAGAGAAGGCTACGATGAGTTGGGATCCACGACCACCTGGAGAGGACGACCCAGTTTACGATATGTAGGGATTGAGGTTTTATTTGAATTTTGTTTTTTTTAAATAAAGGTTCCCAAGTTCACATATTTGGATATTAGGGTTTTAATATTGAATTTATTTTTTTGGGGGAGGGGGGGGGGTGTTAGGATTCTGAGTTCGATTTTTTGGGGAAATGGTTTCAAAGTTCGCATATTTGGGGAACAAGGTTTTAATATGGGGTTCTTTTGGGTTAGGCTTATGAGTTCAAAGTTCTGGGAATAAGGGTTTTCCAATTCGCATATTTGGGGTTTTCTGGTTATTGTCAGTGGCCTTTATGTAAGTAAAGTTGGTCTGTGGTCCTACTGTAACCCATGTGGATGTTTGGCTTTTGGTCTGGAAAATGACTTTACTGTGTTGAATAATTCAAATCCCAGTGGTATAGTAAAGTGCATTCTAAAAGTGTTTGCTTGGATTTTTCTGTGTGGTAATTGTTTAGTTGGTGGTTTATGTGTATGTCTATAAATCCATGCAATGTGTAATAGTACCCTAATGTTGGATCATTTATGTATGCAGACGATGATTGCTTATTTAGCATTCAAATGCACCATGGTGGAAGACTGATACACAAGTACTATTTGAATGGAACTGTTACTTACTTTGATTATGTGGATAAAGACAAGATGTCTTTAACTGAAATAGACTGCATGGCTATGTATTGGGGGCCACATAGGTAGGATTGATTATTGGTATAGGGTTGAAGATGAGGGTGATTTGAAAGGGGTGGAGTTTGACTCAGAAGTTATTGAAATGTGTGAAAATGTATCTGAGGTTAGGATGATTAACATGTACATGGATCATCGGGATAACCTCGATGATGTTCTGAATAGCCATACTGATTCTAACGTGTATTGCCGTTATTCTTCACAAGTATAGCATTATGCTGATGATGTGAGAAGTCCAGTTGTTATCCTCTAAGAGCTACCAGAGTTAGATAAAGCAATTGTACTACATGATGGGTTGGATGAAGCTACTTCCAATGAGGCACATAGGACAAGGAAACTAACTCTATCAATGAATTCAACTACTGCCAAAGGCAAAAAAAATGTGGCAGCAATTGATGAAGGGTGTGTACAACATGAGCCAAACAAAGGTAATTCCAACGGCAAAGAGAAGGTGGCAAAAGTTGATGAAGGGTGTGTACAACATGAGACAAACAAAGTTACTTCCAAAGGCAAAGAAGGGTGTGACAAGAGGTGATAGCATTATGTCTTTGTTTGTTTTTTCAGGAAAATAGAAACAAAAAGAAAGCAGAAGCTGCAGCACCATCTGCAGCATATTCAAGCAATCCAACTGGAGTGAGAAAAATGACTAAATGCAGCAACACCAGATGCAGTAATTATGCTTCTGTCCAAGAATAACAAACTGGAGTGTATGATCAATTAGGGTTTTGTATGGACAGATTGTATTGGAAGGTGTTTTTTGGCTTTGGTATGAATCATATTTGGTTGTTGGCTAGCTTTGGTAATGTATTTTGGTTGTGGAGAAACTACATTAGAGGTTCTTGTCTGCCTCTGGTATAATTGTATTTTGGTTATGGACAAACTATATTAGAGCCTGGGTTGTTTTGACATTTCGGTATGAAATGCTTTATGTAATGCACTCTTATTTTAGTGTAATGCACACTTATTTTGTTAGCAGGCTAAGAACAATGCATTCTGTCTTTGTTTCTCTTCTTTTGTGTCATCAGTTATTTTGTACAATATTACCTTCATAAAATACTGGGAATCACCCTTGGGAAGGTTTTGGAGTTGAGTATGTAATTGAAGAAGACGAGTATTGGTAGGGGATCCAAAAGCTTGTTTGAGGCAGGTCCAGGCTTCAGAGGATGTCGAAGTACCGACTATGTGTGGAAGAACATTTTCAGATAATGAGGCAATGATCCAGCTACAAAGCATTTGGTCACGCTTGCGCCAAGTGAGATACTCAGGATTGGGTTGAGAAGTACTATTGTTCGCAGTTATTTTTTATGGTGGTGCAACATCAGATCCATCTATGAGACCTTCTAGATCATGAGAAATTAGGAGAGGTTCAAATTGTATTGTCCAAAGAAGATAATTGGTGGGAGTGAGTTTTAGAGAAAGGAAGTGTGACGGGTTGGGTATTGGAATTGTTTGATTAGGAATAGAAATGGAAGTGGTTGTTGTGTTTGGAATTGTTTGATTAGGAGTAGGAATGGAGTTGGTTGTTGTGTTTAGAATGCGCACAGAGGTAGCATCAGAAGAAGCCATAACATAATAAGGATGTGAGATGGGAAGACACTTGAGGATCAAAGGCAATCTGATACCATATAAGATTCAAATTTCCTCACACAACTGTGTTGAGGTTTTCTTCTCTATATACATGATTGTACAGTTACAAATATTCAAAAGTTGAGCTGTTACATATCAAGAGGGGCTGTGATCAAGGAATGGTTACAAAATAGATTAGGATATGGAGCAGCTAAGATCATGGAGATTCTACAACTGATGTAAAAGTAATTGTAAGATATTTACAGCTAATACAACATAATCAATCAAGCAACATTACAAGCTATGGTTTCACAACCAACATTACAACCAGTTATTGGTCTTACAAAAACCTGCAGTACACAAAAAGCAATTGAAACCATCAAGCAAGTTCCAGTACTGTCTTCGTTCCACTTGAACCCTTATGTTGATTTGCATTTGCTGAGAGCATAGCAATATGGACGCCAATAACGATGAAAAACCAAAGTAGCTTATCTCTCTTGCGTGCATCATCAGCCTTATCTATCATCTTCAACAACCCAAGAATTATCATTTTTTATTGGGCACACATTTGAGGATCGAACCAGTCAAAATACCCATACCCTTTCTGCTGAACATGAGGTAAATAACTTAAATAATCACCCAATTCAAAAATTCTTACAATTTGAAACCCTTACACCCAAATAACAAAGAAATTACTGAAATTACCTTGCGGCAGCATGTCCAGAATCTTCTCTCTGGATTATCTTTGGTCCAAGAGGTTTCCAATTGAGCAAACCCACCACAAAAGCATCGACGCGCCTCACTCATTCTAGATTTCCTTACTTCACGAAGAAAATTGAGGATTTGGAGATAATTGGTGTTAGAGAATTTGGGAACTTATGGGTTCTTGTTTTTATCGTGCTATATGGACGAGGAGTTGAAATACAAATTTTAAAAGTTTCCGAGTTCCAAGCCAATCAGCCCATGCCACGTGGGAATCTCAAGACAGGGGTTGGAGGGCGTGAGGGCGGGAGAGAAAAAATTCCAAGTTCGAAAATGCCCTTGAAAGGACTTCGAAACTAGCGAAAAAGTGGGCCCCATAAGTGCCAGATCAACAAATAAAGGTACAACTAACGAAAACCCTAACGGTGGAATCTGATTGTAACAAATTTACAAGCTCAGGGTATGCGATTATAAAAATTGAAAAGACATGGACTAACATGCCTTAAGGGTATAACCACAGGGTACTTAAGCTCTAATTAGCCCAAAAATCTATATGGGCTATAGCGCATCTAAACCCCAACATAGATACGACCCTGATTAAGAGTGAAATTTACTATGATATGATGACTCAACGAGTATGGTATTTCCATGTATTCGTACTAAGCACGATATCATACCATAGAAAAATCGGACACCAATATTATAGATTTTAGTGACAAATTAGTAAAACAGTACCGTGTCATTTTGTAGTAAAGTAGGGAAAAATACTACTAAACTATAATCTAATATAATTGGGAAAATAGTAATGTTGTAGGCACTGAAATCATTTCCAAAAGTTTGAATCATATCATTCCACTTTCATGTCATTTCGTAATCAATTTTTTGTTGATATCTCTAGTATTACTGTTGAAAGTTTGTAGGGCTACTTCTTTAGTGGCAACCCATCTCCGTAGTTTGGTCTCCCATTCCTTAGGCCAGACAAGTCTCTCTCCTCTCCCAAAAAATAAAAAGAACAACTTGAATTGATTGATTTCGTAATAGGTTAAGCAAATATTTGGTTTTGGTGAAACTTAATAATTTTATTTTATTTTCTTGATAGTAAATTTGAATAGGCTTTAAGGAACTTTTTTTATTCTTATAAATAAATAAAAAAGAAGAAGAAAAAGTAAGGGGTATTTAGCGATCAAGTGATTAAGAGCATTTACCATCGTTCCTGAAGTCCTAGGTTCGATTCCTCCCTATATCAATATCGTTTATAAAAAAAAAGCAAAAGCATAAGATTCTCAATTAATTAACCACAAATTCCTCTGGTCAATCTTCAACATGCATATATTTTTTCTGGTTGTGTTCCACTATTATTTACAATAGTACTTGAAAGAATCTCAATTAACCTTCTCGAATTCTTCCCAAGGTTAAATTTGACATGTGATATGGTTGTGGTCCTTGATACTTCTTGATATATTCTTTTTTTTTATATTCTCGTTGTCTGCCTTTTGATTTGATACGATATGTGTGATTTACTTTCCCTTTGATTCCCCCCTATATCAAATTGATCTAGGTTATAAGCTTAGCTACTTTAATGTTGTGACTTTCTACTTTTAAGTTGAATATTTTAAATCATGTTCCCTATTGAAATCCCCGTTTCTGACGGTTTCCTATACCGAATAGGCTTTTCTGTACGCTATATAAGGACATGGATATTTACCTTATGAGTCACACAAATCAAACCTAGCTGGTTTTTCTTTTTCTTAAAGCCAAGGTGACGATCAATCCAAAAGAAAAGAACACGTGATGGCCAAGACAATCAACAGAGAGGAGCTGGGCAAGGTTGAGATTATATTAGACCAAGAATTAGAGAAAGCACAAGGTGAGATTGGTGTTGGGGATGCTATTTACTTGGAGGAGCTGTTATCCGAAATCAGGGATAAGTGTGACCAGGGATTGCAGAACCTCAAAACCAAACAGGGGGAGTACAAATTATGGGTGGACAAGTTGGAGCAGGAGTTTCAGTTGAAGTTGAAAAAGAAGAAGGAAAAGTTTGAGGAGAGTATGAAGAGAGAGAAGGAGAAGCACAGAGAAGAGAAGGAAAAGTGGGAGGAAGAGAGAAGTTTATTGAAGGCAAAGTATGAGGCGATGCGGTGGACTTAAGCTGGGTTTATTCTAGGTTATATATTTTGATTAAAAAAGAAAATTAATTAGGGTTTATTTTATTGTTTGTCTTCATTATGTATTATTCTTTTTCCTTATTGTTAATCAGAGTTATCAATTAAGTTTTGGTCCAATTGTTCTTGTTCTTCTGAAAATTAGCACCATCAATACTTGTGTTTTGATGCTTGTATAATGCTTATGTCCAAAACAATGTTCTTTTGAGTTCAATGGGTTTTTTGAAATTTTTTTTCGCTTTTACAGGCAATATTTTAAGGAAAAGGAGATTCAAACTTGGGTTCAATGGGATGAACACACTGTCTTGACCAATTGGCTTAATCTATGTTAGTGGTTATGTGTTACGTATTTAGGAAAGTTAACAAAAAATAACAATAACTTGATTATTTTTCACTTTAACAGACTTTTCAGACTTTCTGAGACCATAAGAAAAAAGATTTGTGCAGAACCAGAAGGACACAGAGGAAGAAAAAGAAGAAAGCTTCTAGTGCAAGTATGACATCGTATTTTTGTTATTTAATAACCCTGGATTTCCACAAAATCCTCCAATACATAGTTTAATGCGATTGGCATATGTTCGCGCGACTTTTTAAAATATATTAATATTTTAATAGTACAGCCGCACGGTTATACTCCTTAAATTTATACGAGTATCCGAATAATAGTATAGCCGCGTGGCTATCATTTTTATAAGAATAGTTTAATTAGTATAGCCGCGCGGCTATACTCTTTGAATTTGTACGAATTCCCTTTTTAATGTATAGCCGGTCGGCTATACTCTTTAAATTCATACGAACATTTGAATGGTAGAGCCGCGCGGCTATACGCTTTAAATTTATACTAAAGGTATAGCCGCACGGCTATACTCTTAATATACGGTATAGCCGCGCGGCTATACTTGTTAAAATGGTAGTTATAATTAGGGCTGGGCATTTGGACCCGAAACCCGGCCAAACCGCCCAAACCAAACAGATGGGTTGGGTTGGTTTGGTTGTTTTTCAATTTTTTTGGTCATAGGTTTGAACCTAAACCAAACCGAAATATATGGTTCGGTGTACGGTTTGCAATATTCAAAACCACAATTTTTGTTTTCACTCTATTTTTTTCTTCTCATTCTTCTTATATTTGTTTTCACTCCCTCTCCCCGTCTCCCTCTTCTTCTTCTTCTTCTCTCTCTTTTCTTTTTCTCCTCTTCTTCTTCTTCTTCTCCATCTCTCCCTCTCTTTTTTTCTTCTTCTCCTCTCCATCGCTTTTATTTCTTCTCTCTCTCTCTCTCTCACAGAGCCAAAAAACCGAAACCGAAACCTAACCAAACCAAACCACCAAGTCCGGTTAACCGAAGTTGTCGGTTTTCATCAATTATGGTTTGGTTTCGATTTTCAAAATAACCAAACCGAAGCCTACGGTTTGGTGTTGGGTTGAGTCCAAAACCGAACCAACCCAAACCGAGCCCAACCCTAGTTATAATATCCAAATTGGGCTTATTGGGCTTGGCTATGAAAACGGTAGTTATAATATCCAAACTTTCTCTAAATCGAGCGTTGATGCTTGTTGGGGCCCGCACATCCAACAATCAGATTTTACCCACGCCTTGCAAAATTCTTTAAATTATACAAACAATGATAATTATGTTGTAGAACCAATAGGAAATACATTTCAAGAAACAATGATGTTGTACAACCAATACCAAAATGCCACGTAAGTTAAGGGAAAAAAATAAAATTAGGATTGTCAAGTATATGTAAAAGAAGGAGAAGAACAATTCCCTCTATCCCAAGAACCCCAGGAAGGTTTCTGTATTTTTCATAGGCAATTAAAATGGCAGAGAAGAGCAATGCCCTAACATTCAAAGAGATTGAGCTCCAAGTAGATCATTTGCTCTTCCTGGTTGAGAGGCTTGCAATTTTCTTGGTCATAATTTTTCCCAAATTTTCATGCTTTTCCTTCATCTATTTCATTCTCACAACTTTCTTATGCATGGAGGCCTCCCTCCAGCGTCAACTTGTTTCTAAATCAACTGTGAGTTTTATATAATCTTCTCTGTTAAGTAAGTCAGAATTCAATTTGAGATTGTTGCTAATCACTTGCTAATAATTTTGATTATAAATGTGCAGCCAAATCAACATGTGTTTGTGTTTTTGCTTGAGAGAGCTGCCACCATTTTTCTAGTGCTCTACAATTGGGCTACAAACTATTGGTATATAGCTATGGCTTCCTTGGTGATATCTGCCAGATGCAAGATATTGGTATATAGCTATGGCTTCCTTGGTGACATCTGCCACATGCAGTGCTTGCATCTTAAATTTCATGCCTTGGCAGAAATTTCACAAGAATGGCATCCCTTGCCCTAACCCATGCTCGAGTATGATGAATTTATGCTTTAGTGTGATGAATTTGTGGAAAGATAAAGTGAGTGTTGCTTTTGAGTTGTTCTTTTATTTATTTATATATAATGGCGGAGCTCTAGAAATTTGTCCTTATAAGAGCACGATCATAAAGAAGCTACCACAAAGAAACACCGGCATTTCGTCAAATACATAGCCCTGCCTTTAAAAATAAAAATAAAAACTCAAATACATTGAGAGCATAAATTTTTGGTTAATCATTTTGTTATGCCTAAATGATGTTGTATAATTTGTGCAGGAACGTATGTTCTTGTTGGAGCGGCTAGCAGTCATTGTGTTTGTTTTGTATCCAAGATCTGCAACTCCTTTTGCTGATTTCTTCTGTTTTTCTTGTATCTTGGACCTAATTCGCTCTGCCTTGCGGTTAAATCCTAATGGAACTGTGAGTACTCAAACATAACATTCCCTAAGCATATTATTATCGTCTTGCACAAGCACCCACATCTCTATACCGTATGTATACGTGCATATAGTAATATTCTCTCGAACATAACATTCAATACGTTGTCGCGCACAAGCACTCACATCTCTATATTGTATGTGTATGCACACATAGTTAATGGTCTTTTGCCAAATATCTACCATGTTACGTTTCAAAACGTATCGAAAAATAATTTTTGGTTTGATGTTCTTGAATTAATTCTTGACTGAATTTGACTATATATGTGCAGGAGCAGGGTGATGGCTATCTATTTCAGATTGAGCGAGCCATGGCGATTCTTTTGAAACTCCACTGTACCAAACGAAACATATTCATAGCAAGAGTTGTTTTTGTTGTCACCAACAGTGTTTACTTTGTTGACACCCTTGAAACCAAACAAAAGTCAGCCTTTCGACCGAAAAAAAAAACATAAGTCAGCCCAAAAACAACCTCAACAACAGCACTCGGGCCAAAACAAACCAAAACAGGGGCAGCAGATGCAGGGGATTATCAGCTCTGTTTCTACAACTCACACTTCTAAATTTAGAGTAATTCCTGATTTTTTTTTGTTTTGTTATACAACATTCATATGTGATCTGCATGATTAGAAATTTAAAACAATTGAATTTGACTTTCTTTTATAAAATTTATAAATAAATAAAACTTTGCAGGAAACTGAAATTGAAGAAGAATCAGCAAAGGAAGAAAATACCAAATGGGAAGAGGGTTTGGTGGAAGCTGATGGCCAGCTGAAAGGAAAGGCTGAAAGTGCAGCAGGAGCATCAAAAGGAGAAAATAACAAATGGGAAGGGGATTCGATGCAAGAAGACGAGGACCAATTGAAAGAAAAGCCTGATACTGAAGAAGAAAACACGAAACGGGAAGATGATCTTCTAGAAGTTGATGACAGTTGGGAAGATTTGAATTCACTGGAAGAAGTTGATGATAGTTGGGAAGAAGAATTGGTGGAAGCTGATGAAATTGATAGTGTCAGTGAGATAACAAATTTGATGAAGAAGGGAGAAGTTGAGGGCAACGAAGAAGTTGAGAGATTGAGGGCTGAAAATGAAAGTTTGAAGAGAGAGAAGTATCTGTTGAGGCAGAGACTGGAAAGAGAAAGAGAAGCATATGAACAAGAATACAAGAATATGTTGAAGAAAATGCAAGAGGAATTTGAGGGAACATTGATGTTAGAGAGACAACTTTCCACAATAGGTTGTCACAATGGTTAAGAGAGGAAAACTATAGATAGATGGCAAATTTTTGTTCCTTCAAAATTGTACTACGAAAGTGACCTAGGTGGCACGTTTTGCCGAGTTACTTTTTTTTGTTAATTGCATCAGTGATTCCAACACTCTCCAAATGCAAATTTTATTTTTTACATGATACGAGCTTATTGGTAGAACTTGCCCTACACTTTCGTACTTAACGTCCCTTCGTCCTATCGACAATAGCTTGACAGTGGCTACCTTTCGAGGAATCAAGCCGACTGCTTAGGAGCTCATATACCGTTTTATGATATGTTCTTTTTTCAATTTGGCATATTAAAAAGAGAAGAATCACTAGACTGTGTGGTGTTTAAAAAGGTTTTTTTTTTGGGCTGTTAAGTGTTGGCGTGAGTCCAAATGAGTTTTTGTAAGGATAATCGTCATATGCACTTATATAGGATAAAGTTAGCTAACAACTTGAATAATTATCGAAGTTAAAATTAATCTTAGTCTACTAGATACAGTAGAACTCCATCTCTTAAACCCTAAGCTTAGCTCTCTCCCTCTCCCTCTCACCCTCTCTTGGTAGGCAAACAATGGCAGAGACAACAAAGGTCTTCAAACTCATAGAAATGCTACCCAAAATAGATACTGTCCTCCTCAAGGTCGAGAGGCTTGCCATATTCATGGTGATAATCCTTACCAAATTTGAATGGCCATCCATCAACAAGCTCATTCTGACGAGTTATTTTCGCGCTGAGCTCTCCCGCCGTCATCGACTCGATCCATTAACTGTGAGTACTTGATGGATTTAGGGTTTGCATGTGCACCTGTACATGTCGTATATTATTCGTAAGAGTTTTCTTAATTTAATTATTATTATTTTGGTGTTGTTGTGTGTTAACTTATAATTTTATGTATGCAGCCGAAATATTATTGGTATTGTTTTTGGCTTGAGCGAGTTTGGAGTGCATCCTTAATACTTACCTATGGGTCTGCAAGCTATTGGTCTATACCTACTGTGGTTTCCTTTGTGATATACACCATATGCATTGCTAGCACTATGGAGCTCATGCCTTCGAAAGGGCAGAAGTCTCGGAAGAATGGAATCTTTAGCCCTAACCCTAGAGTGAGTTCATGTTCATTCATAAATCTTTACAATTATATTTATGATATATATATATATATATATATATACATACACATGCATGCATAAGTATTAAGTAACATTTGATGGTATTTGTTTGAGATTTGGACGCGTACATACGATGTACGATGCACATGTGTACACATGTTACATAATGCGTATTTTATATTATGAATCTAAATTATTGATCAAGTTGCTTCTTATCGGAATATGCGATTCCGATTCACATTCTAGAACTATAAGCATGATCAGAATTGTACATTTGCGCTCAGTATTTGCGTTTTTGTATATGTGCAGTTTATGTTGAGCTGGTAGGCCTTGTGAGGGTACCATGAGGTTCATGGGCATAAGTTATACTGTATATTTGTTTTTGTATATATATAGTAAAATAATCCAATATTTCCAGATCAATTATATATATTTAGACTGGAAATTAGCTGTACTTTTACTGTCTGTTATAATACAATTACACATTTTATTTGGTTTTGCCTTATTTATGTTCTAATAATCTTGTAGGAAACAAACATGAGATCAGAGGCGTTGAAAAAAGTGGCAACAGTGAGTACTTCAAAAGAGAGGGACGCTTTCTTTCTGGACCGGTTTTTGAGCTTGTTCTTTGTTATCTCGACATCCTCTGTTGCAAATATCGGGGGTGGAATTTTTTGTCTTTGTCACATTCATCACTTAATTTCCTTCACCATGTCGTTGGACTACAACTTTTGGCCACCTTTGAGTGCTAAAGCTAAAAATACACGAGGTATGTAATATATATATATGTTGTTCTCTTGTCAAACAGCCTGAGATTTTATGTTACTAGACAGGGAACCCGAATCATTGATAAGGTGAATTATGTTACTATATATGCATGTGGTGTATACGTTACACAAATGCATAAGATTTCTTTTGATGGATTTGTGTTGGTTGACTGTGAATCTTACTCTTTGTCCCGAGAGTTAACTTGATCAATGACTTGCAAGATGAGCATATTATGTTGTCAAATTGTCTGATAAGAGATTTCTTAGCATACAATCAGACATGAACATATGTATATTGTATGTATATACGTGTATATATATATAGAATTTTGTTTGGGATACTTCTACTAATGCTTCGCTGAATTTGACTATGCGCAGCGTGGCGATATCTGTTTTGGATTGAGCAAGCTGCGACAATGATTTTGGAACTCCATTGTGTCCATGGAATCCCATACAGCTTGGCAATAGCGAGATGTCTCTTTGTTTTGACTAACATTGGTTACATTGTTGCTCTATCCATTGAGCCAAAGTGCCAGCAGATGATTATCAAAACTATTTTTAAATTCAGAGTAAGTCCTGATCCATTTTATCAATACCTTCTTACATATACACATGCATCTTGAATTTTCTCTACTATTTAAGCATTTATTTTGTTAACAGAGGGCACCAAAAGAAGAAAATAACAGAAGGGTAAGAGTATGAGAGGAACTTAATCCAACAGTGATGAATTCATAGAGTAGATGTATATTACTTGCATTTTGTATGGAGAATCAGTCTTTTTCTTAGGCATTTATTTATTTATTTTGCAGGAAGCTAACAAGGGTGAGAAATCAGAGAAAGAGACTCCAAAGATAGAGAATGATGGACCAAAAGAAAATTTAGAAAATCATCAAGAATCAGCAAAAGAAGAAAATAACAAATGGGAAGAGGATTTGGTGGAAGCTGATGGCCAATTGAAGGAAAAGTCAGAAGTTGAAGAAGAGGCAGTAAAAGATGAAGATAACATATGGGAAGAGTATTTGGTGGAAGCTCATGACCATTTGAAAGAAAAATCTGAAGTTGATCACCGAGAAGCAGCAAAAGAACAGGAACGTTTGATTTTGCCAGAATTGGGAAGTTTTTTGAACTGGAAAGAAGAACGGAGGAAAGCTGATGAAGTTTCTAATCTCAGTGGCAATGGGAGCAGTGAGATTGAGAATGAACTGAAGACCACAACAGCTGAAAATGTAAGAATCTATACTGAGGAGGAACTTGTGGACATTGAAGAAGTTGAGAGATTAAAGGCTGAAAATAGTATTTTGAAGAGAGAAAAGGAATTTTTGGAGGAGTCAGAGAGACTTATATATAAAGATTCTCTCCATGTGTGGGAAATGCATAATCAAAAGCTTAATGCAATGCGTCTAGAAGCGAATCGGGAGTCTGAAACTTTGGTTGGTGAGCTAGAGAAGCACTTCAAGTTAGAGAAAGACATGCTGGCAAGGCTTTATGCTTACGAAGAAGATAACAACAAATGGGAGCAAGAGAAGAGAGAAATTGCCGAAAAACTTGAAGCTCTAACTGCAGCTTTCGAAAAAAACCAAGGTACTGTGCAAAATGGCACAGAAGATCTAACAAAAAGATGGGAAGATGAGAAAACTGAACTAACTCAACAGCTTTCTGCAGCAAATTATTGGTACCAATACTATTATCAAGTTGCGATGCATAATGAAGAAATTCTCCTCAAGTTGGACCAAGAGAGGAACAATCTTTCTGCAAAGCTTTGTGCTGCAACACAGTGCTCTGATTATTATAGAGCTTGTTTCCGTGACTGTGAAGAAAACTCCCTCAGGTTTATGGAAAAAAACAATGAGCTTGCTAGACAGCTTCAGGATGAAACTATTTTGGCTAGTTCCTATCATAACCGTGTTTATGAGCTTGAAGAGAAATGTCGAATGCTCGAAGAAGGCAAAACCAATCTCACTGCAAAGCTTTGTGCTGCCACTGCTTCCTCTGAACTATATCGAAGCATGTTGCATGATGCAGGCTGTTAGATTTTATTTTATTTTTTCTATTTGCTCGGATAGGTATATGTCACAAATGATGAATTGATTTCTTACTCATGTTACTCTATTTTTGTTAGTATTTTCTATAATAATAGATGAATCAACATTTTCAATTGAATGGTAAGAAAGATTGAGAAATAGACCCATCTGATTTGATTACCGATATTTATATCTACAACTGTGGCAACATGCGCGTCATTTGGTAATACGCCAATTTGTCATTAGTAGATAAAAGAATTTCCTTCACTTCCGAATCCTAAACAATTTGATTCCCTCGTTGGAATTTACTTGGTTTGGTACCCTCTTTTTGAACAGAATTATTTGCCTTCACTGGATTTTGATTTGTCTAATATTTTTATCAGTTCTTTGGTTTTCAATCTTTTATGTAACATTGAACGTTAGGTCTCTCAAATATAGCAGAGAGATCAAAGTTTGTATGATGCCACTATACCCCAGGTTCGGGGCATGACAGAATGGAAGTAGACCCAGAAAAAACCAGAGATCAAAGGGGTTGTAGCAAACAGCGTCAGACCCATCTACTTTTCATAGATAGGATAGTAATATGAGCAAAAGCTGGGAGTGTTAAGATTTTATAATCAACACCAGCGATCGCAGTTTTATATTACAAAGTTTGCCCTTCAGGACTGCTGAATATGAAAATCATTTTTCTTTGTGAAAGACAGAGTTTACAGGGCAAATAGGAAAGAATTGAAAATGGGTAAAAGATGCATGTTTGGTATTCAACTTGAATTCAACTTTTTAAACTCAAAAATAGAATTTGTGTCCAAAACAAAGAAAACTTGTTTGGTAGCCCTATTTTTAAAAACTCAAACTCAAAAACAACTAAAAAAACACCCCTATTTTTTCTCTAACAACCTACAGTTCTCAAATTTTTAAGATTTAAAAACAGTTTTCAAGTTGCATACCAAAAAAGTTTTTGAATCTTAAAAATAGATTTAAGAACTCCTTATTTTTAAGAAACATCAAAGTTTTTGAGTTCCCTGTTCGAATAAAATATCAAAAGCCACTATACCCCAAGTTCGGGGCATGACAAAATGAAAGTAGACCAAAAAAAAACCAGAGATCAAAGGGGTTGTAGCAAATAGCATCAAAGCCATCCACTTTTCATGGATAGGGTAGGAATAGGAGCAAAAGCAATTGCTAAATTTTATAATCAACACCAGCGATTGCAATTTTATTTGACAAAGTTTGCCCTTCAAGATTTATGAATATGAGAACCATTTTATTTTGTGAAAGACAATTTACAGGGCAAATAGGAAAGAATTGAAAATGGATAAAAGATAAGGGCTTGTTTGGTATTCAACTTGAATTCAACTTTTTAACTTCAAAAACAGAATTTAAGTCCAAAACAAAAAAACCTGTTTGGTAGCCCTATTTTTAAAAACTCAAACTCAAGAACAACTAAAAAACACCCCAATTATTAAAAACAAAAAATATCTGTTTTTTCAGTTTTTTTTTCTAACAACCCACAAATTCTCAAATTTTTAAGATTTGAAAACAGTTTTTAAGTTGCATACCAAACAAGTTTTTGAATCTTAAAAATAGATTTAAGAACTCCTTGTTTTTAAGAAAAATCAAAGTTTTTTAGTTCCTTATTTGAATATGATACCAAACGCCCCTTAAATTTTCTGCTTGACCATGCATATACCACAATTTATAAAAATAAATAAAAACATCATGCACCAATTTATAAAAATAAAAACAGAGCAGCAACCAATTTAGCTAATAAAACTGTTTCATATTAAAATAATAAAAGAGGTTTACAGAAATCTTGGTAAGATTTCAGCAAATTGATGAGTAAACCCTTCCTCTAGAAGCAAAATATGAACGGCCCTCTAACTATATCAACATTCCTAGCATACTATCAACATTCTGGACAAGGAATGTCATCGACTTCATTCGAATGCCCATTCGTTCTCCTTACGAATTTCCTCTTCTTCCTCCGGAGTGAAATCATTCTGGATGTTAAAGGTCTTGCGAATCTCCTCTGGTGTCTTTCCCTTGATCATGTCAGCCACAGTCTGGCAGGTCAAATCCAGCAGGCTCTTGATGTTCAGATAGTTTGCAGCCTGAAATTGGCGGGAAAAAGTTGTTAGTCAAAAGATGATGATAATAAAACCTTATCAATGTCGCATACGCAAAAACTGCTGATAAAACCTAGCCAGTGATGCATATACAATCAGAACCAATGACAGATTTCATATTGCAGTACCCTGCACAGGTCTCCAGTTACAAAATTCAATGATTTCACAAAACAACAATCAGCAAACTATAATAACTGCAGTTCTTGAGTCCTAAAGATAGAAATTAACAAAGCTACGAGACTCTAAAACTCAAGTTCTTGAATCCTAAATATAAATAATATATCCACAACAAACAGTCAAGAAGAGGCATTAAAAACCCAATCTTTTTCCAAGTATCACCAAAAGAAACATAAACAAAAACCCCTTTTCTGCTCAAGTTTCTCACAATTAAAACTAAAATTCAACACAACATTCAAGAATATAGAAGATGCAACAAAAATGAAGCATAAACACTGAAAAGATTTGGTTTTGAGGGACTATACCAAGATTGTATCAAACAGAACACTCTGGTCGGTCTTAATTCCGTTGACGAAGTCATCGTTGAACTTCTTGACGGTGTCCTTGTTCTCGTCATTGGCCGCAAACTCAACGTGCTTCCGGCAATACTCTATGACCTTGGCGAGGATATGGCTTTCGACGATGGGCAAAGGAATTGCATTGTCAACGCAGTCGTCCTCCGCCATATGCTTGATGGTCTGCGATTCCAGAGCCACCGCCTCTTCCACCTCGAAAATCTGGCCGTCCGCGCTCTTCAGGGTTATGATCTTCTTCTCAGTGGCCATTGCGCCTTACGGTTTCAGAGAATTGAAAGTGCGAGAGCTTTTCTTTGGCTTTCGCAGTGAGAGAGAGAGAGAGTGTGTGTTTGGGTGAATTGGTACTCCAGAGGGTGAAAATTGGGGAGCTTTATATAGGCACTGAAGGTAAACCTAACCCTAGCTTTGAAATCTCCCTGTGGTAAAAGGACACTATTTTTTATTTTCTTTTTATTTTGGTTAAATCCAAAAAGGATTTGGAATTCCCTAATTTATGCGGAGACGCGACGTCGTGTTTCGGAAGGATAGAAGATAAAAGAGTTTTAGAATGTTCCAGAATTTTCGTGGTTAATAAATCCTATTTCTTTTTTCTTTTGCCATTAGGGAACAGTCGGGTCTAATACAAGACCATATTAGAAATTGTGAACTTTTTTTGTTTTTGTTTTATACTATAATTACTAAAATAGCCTCAATTGTATACGTATTATTCTATCCACACAAAAAACAAAAAAAAATTGTACACATATTATTCAGCTTTTTTTAATTTTAAAAAAGTATAATGGATATTTCAACCAAGGAGACGGGAGCGGATCCGCTGTCCCCAAATTGGTGTCCCCTCCATGTCTCCTCTCTAATTTGCTGACACGTGTCAACTAACATAACGGGAAGTTAACTCCGTTAACTTTTTTATTTGACAATTTTAAAAATTAAAAAAATTAAAAACTGCCCAAATAACCTAGCAGCCAGCGAGCGTCCTTCCTTGCTAAACCCAGCGAACGTCTTCCTTGCTAAACCCAGCAAGCATCGTCTTCTCCGCGAGAGTCTTCTCCTCTTCTCCAATTGCAACCAACAAGCGTCGTCTTCCTTGCAAAAACCAGCCATACCCACTCTCCTCCCTCATAATCACTACATCTTCTCCACAATCAACTCTCAAATACTTGCAAAACTCAATTCTCCTCCCTCCTAATCTCTGTTTGGAAATTGCAGCACCATTAAACCAATCGATTATACCTTTTGTTGAAGCCCCGTGGATGGAGGTGAGCAAAGCTCTGTGTATTGGAAACTTATATAATATACACTAAATCAAAGTATTATTTATTCAATTTTCTTCTGGAATTGCAGCCGCAGTGTTCAAATCCATCAGCTTCTCTTCTCCTTCACAAGGTTTAATTAACTCAAACTCAAACTCAACTGGCACCATTGCTTGGTTGGTCACAACAGAAACTGATGATGGAGGAGGAGGAGGGTATGGAAGAAGAGACAGAGTCATTAAACTGGTGCTTTTGACGGCATCAAAGCTTGTTGGTATGGGAAGCTGTGGAAGAGCATGAGCAAAACCATCCAAGGTGATGGGTCCTCTCCTCTGCCTCTTGAAGGTTGTTGGTGACAGAGCAAAACCATCACCTCGTGAATATCGTTAGACTCCAAATAACTAAATCTCTATGTCATAACAGCAGTAGATTCAACTCCAATTAACCATTTAATTCACAAATTCTTCAAAGATAGCCAAACACATGAAAGACCCCAAGGAAGAGGATGCTCGCTGGGTTTAGCAAGGAAGAACGCTTGCTGGGTTTAGCAAGGAAGGACGCTCGCTGGCTGCTGGGTTATTTGGGCAGTTTTTAATTTTTTTAATTTTTAAAATTGTCAAATAAAAAAGTTAACGGAGTTAACTTCCCGTTATGTTAGTTGACACGTGTCAGCAAATTAGAGAGGGGACATGGAGGGGACACCAATTTGGGGACAGCGGATCCGCTCCCCAAGGAGACTAACATGATAAAATGTACTAGGGGTGGGCACATGGTGAAATGAAAGAGGTGTATTTATAAACAAAAATTAAATGTACGATAGGAGGAAAAGGGTTGTGTGTTAAAAAAAAATTTGTTCAACGGTAACGGCTGTAAGTTCAACCTTCATTCCACATCTGCTTTGACAATTCGGTTGGAGTGATTGACATGTTATCTCTAGCTGTTAATTATTTATGTGGCACTTTTGACACATCAGTTGAAGATGCTCCTAGATTTTAAAATGGAAAAACTAGTAACTGTTGGATTGGAATTTGCTTCGTCGTCAAGTTTCATCTTTGTTTTTCTTTTTTTCGCCGAAATCTTTCTTTTCATTTATCATGGTAATTACCTTTCTTGCCCTCATTGTCATAACTTCCTTTTGTTGTATATATGACTATTATATGAATCGAGAAATTGCAGTTTTATGTGACTCTTGATATCCAAAAATACTATATGTAGCAATTTGTTGAAAGAATCCAAATTTCTTTGAAGAAGGGATAAAACTCTTGATATCCAAAAATACTATATGTAGCAATTTGTTGAAAGAATCCAAATTTCTTTGAAGAAGGGATTTGTTAAATGATGGAATTTAAGCAAATTTGTAAAATGTGATTGTCGCTCGAGTGAGGAGTAAGTGAACACAAGTCTTTCAAACAATGGCTACTAACTGGATCCATTAGACTAGTGTAATGGTTTTGAGTAATTGCTCTCTCGAGTAAGGTCCTACGTTCGAGTCCTAGCATTCGTGTAGTGCGTGTAAGTTTAGTATATTATCATCTCTCTCGATAGGAAAGGTTCTCCACCTAAAATAAAATTATAAAAAATAAAAGAAAGAGGCTACTAACAAAGTAGCTAAAGTCTTAAAAAGCCTCAAATATAACCAGCAAATTCCAAGTTTCCAACGCAATTTGAGCACATAGAATTATAGATGAAAACAATTATATATATGACAGGATTCTGAAGCCAGTATTTTATAAGACAACATAGTAGATATACATGTTTGTCCACATTGATCCTTATAAAATAATTTTAACAACTGCACTCTCGGTAGCTAGAGCCTGGATTTCCCATCAGTAAAATTACTCCATTTGCACCAGGAAAGCCCTGAATATAACCCTTTACACCGATGCTCACAGCCTCGAAACTGGTAAACCTGCAGTGGAACAGAAGTTTCAGCAGAAGATAACTTTCCTGTATGACCTTGACATAGTTTTAAAGACATTGTTACCTAAGGCTTTGGCATTAACAATGCTAGGACTGGCGGCCGGTGGTGGAACATTCTCGTTGAGGAATGGTTCTACCTGGTTTGGATTTGACCAAATTGGATATCCTTTAATTTTTCCCTAAACCATGTAGTAATGTAAAAGGGGTCAGTACTTTAGTGCCACAGATGAAGATATTCTTTTGAGGCCATTTTTGAATTATGTGAATCTTTTCTCTTTTTGTTGCTGCGATTTTCGAAGAGTTAAGTGACATACCAGGACATTGAGAGCAGCCAGTGTTGCCATTCCTTCACGAGTCCACTGCATAAACCATCAAGGGACACGGTTAACTCTCTGATCTGAGTAATTCTAAGTTCTGTAGCTTGATATGGTAACAAATTGCTATGTTCTCAAATCAGAAAGGTAGGTCTCCAAACTGTCAGCTTAAAAACAATATGGACCTAAATTACCTTGGAAGCAGAAGCAATGTGAGGTACCACAATAGCATTCTTTAAGTCGGCAAGCCCAGGTTTCATGTAAGGCTCATCCTGATACAACACCATTTATGAACCACTCAAATGTTAGAGATGGTGACCAGGAGAAAACTGGAATTGGGCAGGGAAGGTGATATTATTTACCTCAAAGACATCCAGACCAACTCTAAACATGGGATTTTGTTTCAAATGCTCTACAAGAGCCACTTCATCAATCACAGGCCCTCTGCTACAGTTTACTAGTACTGCTTCCTGTGAATATATATGTGACATTATTCAACAAGTAAATACAAATGTGAATATTTCACAGTTTTATACAAATAAGAAACATTCGTTTGAGCTTCACCTTCTTCATGATTGCAAGTCTTTCTTTGTTGACTAGATGGTAAGTGGTTTTATCCAGAATTGGGTGAAGGCTTATCTGGAATGAGAATCAATAACCACGGCATAAGAAAGAGAGTAATAAAAAATGGGAAAAAAGGTGTGAGGGGAGCAAGAGCCATACCACATCTGCTTCTCGAAGCACCTCCTCCATGCTTGCTGCTCTTTTCCAAGTCACAGGCTGTTCACCATTGGCTTTAAGGAACTCGGCATAAGCTGGAACATGAAACATACAGGTATCAGAAAAGAGTTGGGCAAGATTTATGCAATAAACTGACTAGACATGCCTGTAACAAACTTTTCTAGCCGTGTAGCCTGGTACAGATCATAGTAAATTAGGTTCATTTTGAAACCTTCAACCTATTAGAAATCAACAGTCACTGATCAGGATTGTTAGCGATAAATCGTGAGAATCAGCAGGGGATTAAGGAAAAGAAAGCAAGGATAAGTCTATGCTTGCCAATCACTAGACTAAGAATAACATATTGGAGCAGGAAAAATACCATCATTCTGGCATATGCAGAACCTATACGACCAGCTCCAATCACACCAACAGTCTGTCCTTTGAGTAAGTTTCCCACAAACCTGCCATAGTAAAAGAGACCACTAAATTTTATAATTCATGTACAATGAATGGACAATTGAAGAATCGATAGTTTTTATAAACACAGTAGCCATACAGGTTAGGAAGCCATCCATCATATAAGCCAGCCCTCATAAATTCATCTGCTTCAACTATTCTTCTAGCAGCTGATACAGAAAGTGAAGCTGCCAGCTCCGCCGTAGTTTCTGTAAGTACTCCCTAACCATAGGAGCAATAAAACCATTTCAATATCCCCAATTTTTCCAAAGAACCAAAAAACTAAGATCCTAAATTTTATTGCATGTACCAAACAGAAATAGCAGATAAGAGGTACTAGTTTTCTGTAAATAAGGTTCCTGACATGTTGGTTAGTGACCATATGTGCAAGCATTTCTGAAGATATGTGAAATCAACAAAACTTCTATCAGAAACACAAGTATATGAGAAAACTTGCACTATTGGTACCTATAAAACTACAAGAAAACAAGCAGTGGAGTTTGGAACATTCACTTTTCTAGAAATAAAATAAGAAAGGGAAAATAGAGAGAGAGCAAAACTTACAGGAGTGTTTCCAACAGCAACTCCATACTTGTTAGCAGCATTAACATCAACATTGTTGTACCCAACAGCCATGTTACTGAAAGCTTTGCCTCCTGCTCTGCTAAGTGCTGAGAACAAAGTCTCTCCCCAATCTTCTGTCAGCTGAAAAACCAACACACAAACACAAATTAACCACTTTAAATACAAAAAATCCAAATTCTAAGGACAACCAACAAAAAAAAATTACTTGCCTGTCCAATAACTCCATCACACTTATCCCCAATCAGAGCAATGATATCCTCAACAGACAGAATTGTTTTCTTCTGGGTACATATCTAAACACAAAAATCAAACATTATCTCATCAAACTCACATAGCTAATGGTCCAAACAGATTCAAGAAACTGAGAAAGAAAAAAAAGAATATCACTTCAACTCTGCAGTCTTGTTCAATTAAGAGATTTATCCAGCGAGTTCCGGGCATGGGTTTTGTGCTGACAACTCTGTATTTCCCATGTGGGTTCCACACTTCAATTGAAACTGGTTTGGCCATGAAAGCTTGTCAGCTGCTCAAAGGGTCTGGCTGAGGATGCTGACTGTAGAAGCAGAGAGCCCTTTAAATTTTTGGTTCCAACTGTTCTGGTATGGTGTGGTGTGGTGTGGTGTGGTGTGGTGTGGTGTACAATAACATGTAGTCTTCACCAGTAAGATTGATTGAGCGTGTGGACTGTTGAGTTTGTGATGTATTGACCTATTGGTTTTATGGTTTATATGATAGATTGATGGGTCCTTTCTTTGTTTTTTGTTTTGGTTTTAGGTACAGAAATAATATGATGGGCTCTTCTTGCTTTGGAGTTTTTGGACCTCTCATTAGGTATAAGATAATGATGACATGGCATCATGGATGGATGACACATAACCCTTTTGTTAGTATAAGGTGATTAGGAAAGTGACCAATGACATTGGACCATTTTCTAGGCACATGAGAATCCCAATTCTAGCAATTAGAAATAGGATGGAACCTTGATTTTTAAGGGGTATTTTGAATAATCAAATAAATTATGTTAGTGATTATGTATTATTCACCAAATGGTTTAAAATGTCAATGTGTGTTGATTGCAAAACTGTGGTAGCTCAGTCATAGCTATAATTTAACAATTCCTTAATCTAGCTTAATTCTAATCCATTTCTTATTCACCTTCACCGCTCGAGCTAATTTCAAAAGCGAAAAATTATGCGTATGGAATGAGGGAAGTGGGTCTTTGGACCCATGCAACCTTATATGGGTCTTGATTTGAGATTGGAGTTTATGAAGTTGTTCCATTGCAAAAGAACTATCAAATTTGGACCATATCTCAAAACAATGGGTGTTGCTGGGTTGGTCTAACCTTTCCCTTCTAACCAAAGCCCACAAGCTGTGACTCATGAAGCTTGAGTTTGTCAAAACTAGACTCAAGGCCCATATCTCAAAATTAATCAGACTTGTTGGGTCATTAAAACTGAAAGCAGATGAACAAATGGATATTCAATCAGAAAAAGACAACAACAACAAAAAAGATGGATATTCTTAATATATTCCAGATTTGGCTTACTCTTTTTTTTTTCTTTTTCTTTTTTGAGCAGGAGATTTGACTTACTTGGGTGTCTGGCTTTATGAAGATGAAGCAAATATAAACCCAAGGTGAATAGCAAGCCGCCTTAAAAATTTAAGTGGCCAAAATTTCTTTGGCAAGTGCGTGTGCACAGCACAAGCAAGCTTGGGGAATGCATGTGTAAGCATGTGTAACCAGGATTCTTCTATCATAGGAAGGGAGGAGGTACCTTATCCTTTTAGGCATTTAATACTCTCCCAAGCTCATTGTAGAAAAAAGTCCAAATTTCAAAATCAATCACCAACTTGGATTTACCTGCTTTGCATCTATGTTGTATATACATGTGTATCCACTACTAAATGGTGCTCTCCATATCCTGTGACAAGCCTTCACTTATTCATATTCTTAGTGCAATAGATTATCTTTTTTATGGAGAACAACTTTTATAGGACGGTTATAAAGGGCTTATAGGGTGTGCAAAGTGGGCGATAACACAAGACTTCTAAAAAAAAAGTCTCTTATGAAACCTTTTAGTCCAAAAATAATAATAATTAAAAAAAAGGTAAGAAATCAACTTTTGTTTCTGCTCGGGATTTTCAAAATCAATGGACCAATCATGATAACAGTCTCATGTGTTTTGCGTGTTTCTCTTATGAGTTTACATTATTACTTGATAATTTCATTTGGTACGACATTATTATTTATGTGGTGGTAAATGTTCAAAGTTGAGGAGGAAGAATCATTTTTAGTGTGCTCCAAGTCGAATCCCATGTATATTAATTTGACAAGTCGGTTGTCTTGTAAAGCTGAAGGTGGGAATGGTAGGGCAGGCTCTACTCAATTTGAGCAATGGACGGAATTGTTGAGTTGTTGACCATTACACTTAACAATCCTAATGAATAATAATAACGATTGATGCGTCCCTTCAAGACCAGGAAGTGGAAAGTGGAAAGGGAAGGGAAGAAAAATAGTAACAGGCTTCTATTTCTATCTGTTCAAAGGGGACGTTGTGGACAAAATGAGGCCATACAATTTGTTTTAGAATTTTAGTTCATAGAGTTTAGAACTATAACAACTGGTTACCTACCCATTATTTATATATAGCCCACTTTATTTTATAGAGTTTAGTTTACAGCAGCTATCAAATACGAGACTTTAAATGTAGTATGCATACTCTTAATTACTGGAGTTATAATCTTCTTATATATACAACAGCATTTATAAAAGGCCCATATTTTAAATATAATTTCTTAGGATAATTTATATCCGGTTACGATCTAAACGATAATTACATACTTTCATAATATTTCTCTAGCAAAAGATAATTCCTATTTGAACAATCTTCTTCCCCACCCGCCCTATCTCTAAAATATTTTTTCAAACTTGCAACTCTATCTTCAAATTTTTTTTTCCAATTTTCAAATTAAAGGTTTCACATATTGATCCATAGTTAGCTCAATAAAATGAGATGGTAAATGTTGATAAAAACAGAAATATAAAAATTGCTATTTTATAAATAGAGAAAGGGGGTTCTCGAGAAGAAAATTGAAGAGCTTGACAATTTAGGCGGGTTAAGATGCGTCAAAATAAATTATAAAATTATATTTTAGAATATTCTATATTAAATTTTCATTTTTCGGTTAAAATTTAACCTTCTCTGAGTTTTGAGCCAGCTTATCTTCTTCAGTTATACTTCTTCACCACATTCCCTCTCCCTCTCTCTCCAAAGTCTCTTTACCTCCCAAATATAAACCCTTACACAGACACACAGAGAACAAAGAGGTAGAGAGAGAGAGAGAGAGAGAGAGAGAGGAGAAAGAAGCCATGGAAAGGCTTCTGTCCTCTTCATCCCCAACCCCTTTGAAACTTCATCTAAAACCCTCTCCTTTTCTCCATCGACTCGGTCGCATTGACTCGGGAAAACTCAACCTCCCCGCTTCCCAACTGCCCAATCTCAGACGGGTCAGCTTGGTTTCCTGCAAACGTCAAAACCCATCTCCACTGTCTTCTTCTTCTCCTTCTCCATCAGCGTCGTCGAACATTTTGCCGTCTCTCTCGTCGAACCAGGCCGAGTCTCCAATTGGGTCGGAGCCAAAATACCAGCTTCTCAATCAGATCGCAACTGGGGCTTCTAAGCAGCGCAAGGTATTTTGATCTCTTGTTCAATTGAAAGAAATTGATTATAAAAAAAATTATTTGATTTTTTTTTATAAAAAATTTGTGGGGCTTTTTTGTTGTTTTTGCTGCAATCATGTTTTGAAATTGCCAACAATTGGTTTCATGGGCGATGGAATGTTTGGTTATTTTCTACGGAGTTATTTTTTAATTCAATGTAGTAATTTTTGCCCTCTAAATCTGCCATCATCTTTGTATTTCAGAATATGCCTATGTGAGATTGTAATGTCCCATCATTCTTTATTAGCTCACGTCCGTATAGGCAATAGTAGCAGTCTCATTTGTTACTCTCTTGCAAATTTTTATGGCTGGAAGGATTGTCTTTGGTGGTTCGAACTGCCAAAAATTTGATTGTCAACCAATTTGACTTTGGGGTCCTCGAAGAGAATGCATCTCTTACAGTCAAGTTTGGTCCTATTCATATTCCATAGTAATCCTTTGGATTCCAGGCGGTTGGAGAACTGGATGGTATACGCGTTTAGTATTTTGTAGCTAAGTCCTCTTCTCTGCCTGGAGAAATAAGTCAGTACAAATATTCAAAGCTTCTCAAATCTCTGTGCTTTTTAAAAACTTAGCATAGCTTAGTTGGCATGGTACTGGAGTCCTAGGGCTGAAGCTCGTCTCACTAACCACTAGCAGCAAAGCTTTGACATGGGGGGCCGGAAGAAGGGAACAAAATTAGGGAATTTCGCATATGTACCGACCAGTCGATTGGATGTAGGTAGCTTCATTAGATTAGCAATGTTGGATTTTAGTATAGGTCTGGGTGTTTTTGTTGGTCTCAAATGCTTTCATTAAGGTAATATGAGCCAAGTTCAACAATTTTTTCGAAAGGTGTAACAGTCAGTATTCTGGAGTAACCTATCCCCTGTAAGACTGCAACGGTGCACTGAGATTTTCGAAGTTTCCAAATGATTGCTATACGGCTGTGTTCACGTTTCATATTTTCAACAATTTTCAGATTTCATACAAGGAAATTTCAGACATTATATTCAAAATTTGACGACTTATTATATTGGTAAGCAAGATATTGAAACTGGATGGAACTTTAAACACATGCTATCTCATAACAGTTAATACCAAAACTACCAGCAAGTCAAGTGGATTCTCTCTTATTAACTTCTTGTCTAATTGGTTGCACCCTCAGGGTAGGTTTTAAATCTAATATTTAGAAGAGGACTGTGGATCTTAACAGGGAGTCACTATGATAGAAATCATGGATTGGAGTAGGAACATAGATGATACTGTCTAGACAAGTTTTCATTATTGTCCAAGTGTGTGCATCGGTGCAATTATATCTTACCCCATGGCAGTTTCGTATTTGACTTACAACTACTATCAACGTGAAATTTGTAAGTTATATCGAAATATTCTTTGAGAATATATTGTTTCTTTATTTTTGGCGTTGAGGTGGGGCTGCAAATTCCCACCTACAGTTACTTTCACTTTTCACATGCAACCATTAATCCATTTATTTTGACCAGATAACTTACTTTTATATTCCTAACATGTCCAGGCCATCACCACTGGGGCATTTGTTGTGCTTTCTGCTCTTGTTTTGATCTTAATACAACCAGCTTTTGCACCAGCAGCTTTTGCATCCTTTCAAACTGCAACAAAGGCAGGTAGCCCGGCTGCTGCTATTGGGAGAAGACTGATCCAGACTGAATTACTTAGTAGTGCATGGACTGGTTTCTTTGCTGGTTGTTTACACACATTATCAGGGCCTGACCACCTAGCTGCTTTGGCTCCTCTCTCAATAGGACGCACCCGCATTGAAAGTGCTTTAGTTGGAGCCCTATGGGGATGTGGTCATGACGCTGGCCAGGTTATCTTTGGCTTAATATTTCTACTGCTAAAGGATCGGCTTCACATTGAAATCATCCGAACCTGGGGCACAAGAGTTGTGGGCATTACTCTTCTAGTTATTGGTGCTATGGGCATTAAGGAAGCTTCAGAAGTCCCAAGTCCTTGTGTTGCCTTAGAGAATGGCGAGTGTGATGTTAGTGTATATGAATCTCTAGAAACCCCTACAGTTGGGAAGAAGAAGATTGGTTTTGCTACTTTTGCCACTGGAATTGTCCATGGGCTGCAGCCAGATGCATTGATGATGGTCTTACCCGCACTTGCCTTGCCATCTCGCATTGCTGGTGCTGCATTTCTGGTTATGTTTTTAGTTGGGACCGTGGTTGCAATGGGAAGCTATACAGTCTTTCTAGGCTCATGTAGTCAGGCACTAAAGGATAGAGTTCCTAGAATAACAGAGAAGCTAACATGGGCATCTTCCCTGGTTGCAATTGCTCTCGGGTTTGCCATAATCATCAGCCAGTTCTTCGGGTATAGCCTGTATTAGTATTTTTGACCGAATTAAGATTCACATTTTGCAGGCTTCTCCATGAGTGTTAGATAAAGATCATAGAATGATTATTCGATTTGTTTAGAGCAAAAGTTCATCTGCGCAGCACCATTTCTCAGTGAGAGTACCATCATATTTTCTTTTTAAAGCTTTTTCCAGTTTTAATATAGAGGGGCAACCTTTCTGCAGTTGTAATTCTTTTATGATTGAAATCAGATTGGCTTAACGATTTGCATTACTTGATTTGCTTTATGTTAAATGGTTAACCTTTATCTACAGAAATGGTTCTATTTTGTTGCACCAGTTCATAGCAGTTATCATTTATGGAAATGTAAATTCCGCATCCAAAATAGTCTCGACTGCTACCCATCCAAGCAATGATATCCAGTTGTATGCAATGTCGACAGAGTGAAGACATTGTTTGGGCTGGTCCTAGTCCATAGTTTAAGTGCTCAAGCATTGACCATTTCTGAGTGTAAGGTCGGAATTAGAAATTTTTCAATAGGTAGGCTAGCTAAAGTTATTAGCTTAAAATCTAATGATCAATTTTTTTTGGGTACTTATTGTTTCTATAGTTTTTCTAGAAATAAAATTATACATTGAAATAAAATAATAAAAGATAGAGAGTTAAAATCATGAGTGTTTATTAGGAGATTATGTTTCTTAATTGAGCAAGCAAATTAAATATAAGATAATTATAGGCCTACAAAATTGAGTGAACAATGAATTACAAGGCTACATTTGGGTGGGCTATACTAAGCTTTTATGGGATGAATAATATTAAAATACATATAATATATTTTAATTTTAAAAAGAAAAGTTACCTAGGCTAGAGCCCATAGCAGCTCTCTACCTAGTTCAGCCAATGTGTCTAATGTGGAATTTGCACTGTTTTTTTCTTTTTGCCTTCAATCTAATATGACTTTTAGCAGCTAAAAGGAAAAAAAGGTGGAATTTGTAAAGGTAGAAAATCAGATAGGCATTCAAAGACACTTGGGGCCTCTTTTTGCAAACAACATGGCGTAAATTGAGCCATATGTTGAACCAAAAAAAAAGTTTACGAGGTAGCCAACGGATCTAATTAAATGAAAAAAAGTCTTAATTTGTAGATCAGTGATTTCAAATTTGAACCCCCTGTGATACCTTGGTAGTGTATGTGTAAGAAACTTTTCTCCCTTGTAATTTAAACTATCACTTGTGTATTTTTATTTTTTTAAAATTATGAGGTAAATTGACAATATAGATATCATATTATTCTTATTCTTGTTATAAAATATTATGTTAAAATCTAGCGTTGTCTTTGTGCATCATGTTGACTATAATGAATCCTATTAACATCTAAAAGATAATGTATTGGGGAGAAAATATTACATTACCTACTAACTCTCTGTACTTAATTTGTAAGTTAGCTGCATTTTCTCAACTATTTACATATCACTTCTTGATATTTTTCCAGCAGCCTAAAGTCTTGTTAATTTTATAGGTATCTATCACGTTACTGTCAGAGGCAACATGCTCTTGATTAATTATTTACAAGTGCATGCATTCGTACGTTGGGTTAATTGGAAAGACGTCTTATTTCGATACATGATCTAGATTCTAAAGCATACCTAAATAATTCACAAAGTAAATATCTTGAGTTTTTTTTAGATATAAAACTTTCTCGTTTATAAACTTTGAACTAGAAACCTCTTCCAACAAAATAAAAATTATAGTGCTATTACGAAAAATTGATATCAGTTCTATGTCCAAGATGAGTACGTATTGTTTGAGTCCCAGGTGAATTCTAAGGAGTGAACCATGCCCTATCATGTTCAATTGATATGAATTATTATCTTTATGAATAACGAAAAATGTTTTCTACATAAAACAAAAACAAAATCGACATAGTGTTACAAAATTCAATTATTTTGTATAATTATTATTGTTAATTTTAAACTCAATACTCCTTTTGTGATAACTTTTTATCTCTCTTTTATAAGAGTTTTATTTGTATTGTCATTGTTTGGTTGTTTCAAGCTTTACATCTTAGTTGGGATGCTTATGGCATAGTTTTATCGATTATGCGTGATCGTTAGTGGATGCGCACAAGATATTATCTTAATTTTGATGTTAAACCTCTCTGTTCATAGCCCTTTGTAGTTAGTGACTTTCTTAACTAAATTATGAATGTAATCTTAGAATTTTTATATATATAAAAACTATATGTGTTATAAATGAAATGAATTTGTAACATAAAATTGAGATATTACCATTATGCTTGCCGTACACAAAAGAAAAAGAAAATTCCTATTTCAATTTCTCCTAAGACAATAAACCCGCGAATCGAAATCTCTGCCTACTATTATTAAATTGTCCTCACAAAATCGTGAAAAGGGCCCCAAATGGAAAGAAGAGAGAAATATCACGGAAATGAGATGCACCCACAAGAAGTTGAATCAGAGCCCCACATCAGATAAATTTTAAATAATAATTTATAAAAAAGAAGAAAGAGAAACGCTGTACGGCTACTACTGTAAACAGCGGATAACTAGGAGGACCACCCGCAGCACCAGAATCCCCCGTCAACGCTTACCCCTTTTCTTTTTACTTTTCTTTTTTGTTTTGCCCAAAACGCAAACCTTCAATTACTTCCAAGTATTTTATTTCATTCATTTTCGAAACTACCAATTTTTCTTCTTTCCTTTTTATGGCACATTTAACATGGCATGGTACAAAGTTTTTTGAGCATATCCAAATCTTAGTGGAAATTAATTCGAATTATCTCATCTTTTTAGTTTCGATCTTGTGTTTATATCAAAAATTAAGTACTTGTGAACATATGTACTTTATCATCATGAATCGATACAATGTGTTCGACTCTAATAAAAACACAAAGAATCCGCCATGTTACAATACATCTCTTACTAATCTTTTATTATAGGTGATATAGCAAATATGGGTAAAACTTCCCAAATAACGAAAGACTGAAACGACTCTCGAAAATAAGTTTTGTAAAACCCCCTCTCAACCGGGGACGGACCATAGAAGCAAAATACATGTAGCATACCACCAAGTCAAAATATTTTTTTAAAAGCAAAACTCAATTATACCCTTTTCTAACCTATTCTCTTTCTTCTACCAAACAACGCACTCAGGTCAAAATTATATATATATTTTCTTCTTTTGGTGTTATGGATGGATGCCAAAGCTCAAACCCCAATTCAATTCCTAGGTTGAACATGCATTGGGCTTATCCAAAAAGAAAGAAAAAACTTCTTAACACTCATAGCTAATGAAGTTTTTTGTTAAGTTGAAGTGAATGTTTCACTCTTAGTTAGGTGTTTTTTTTTGTTTGGTTATAAATGATTCACTTATACGTTAAGTTCGTTATTTTTTTAGTAGGTTTGTACATTAGATAAATTTAGCCCATCATATTCTGAAATCTCGAGACCGTCCCTACTCTCGACCAACTTAAGTACCTAACAATATTGGAAATCTTGGAATAGAAGAGAAATTTCTTAGCTTGAACAAGAGGCTGTTAGGAGAAGTATAAAAGGTAAAACGTGTAGAAGATGGACCATATTATGCTTGGCGATTATGATGCATATTCGAACGACGGCTATATGATAATGTGGACCTAAAGAAATTCCAAAAACCCCATCCCTACATGTTTAAGATGCCGACTTGACTTTTTGTTTGCTCACTATAAATAAATGAAAAAGATGTTCTTTCTTTTCTTATTAGATAGTTTCAATGTGAATTTTATATCACGATCAAGTGAGTATGCAAAGCAAGCAAAAGATCCAAAGTCCCTGGTTTACAAAGTTTAGCTGCTAATTTTTAGCTTTAAAAAACTTTCATTGACTTTGCAAGAAATTAAATAAAAAATAATTATTTTGTGCATGAAAATGTTTTTTTTTATCTGACATTTCTTTCAATGAAATCTGTCAAGGCAAATTGATGACCTGCCAAATGCAAAATAGGTGGTGTACAAATCCGCTATGAATAATCAAATCAATCCACCATTGACAGAAAAAGAGAAGCAAAAATATTGAAAAAGGAAAAAAGCAGCACCCTCCATGAAAGGAAAAAGATGCTCTGTGCTGTATTTTTCTGTTCAATTGGGTTGTTGGTCGTCTAAAGTACAAACTAAAATCTAAATTCAGAGACCTAAAAAGGAAAAAAGTAAATAAAATAATTAAAAAAACCATTTGCATCGAAAATGGTTCTGTTCACTCCATCATCAATGATCATCATTAACATCATCCTGCTAAAACCAAGCATTCTCAGTCACTTTCTTTCCCTTTTTTTTTTTCTCTCTTCACTTTTTCCCGGAAAATCAGCCTAGAAAATCAAAGCCTCTATGCTGGCCTTCTTTGGTGTTCTGCAAACAGGACAACAATCAAGAACCGCCTCACAAGCTTTGCATGAACATAGGTGTCTGCAAGGAAGGAACAGGACACACGAACTCCGAGAATTACAGCTTTTGCAAACCTTCATCTTCATCCTTATCTGTTCATAATCAACACCATCACTCTCTGCTTCTTCTTCTTCTCTATTATCACAGCAAGACTCTGCATCGTCTGCCCCATTAATGAGACAACACGAGACTCTCTCTCTATACTGTTCTAGAGTGTTGTTTAAGGACATAACCATGGCTTCGTTTTCTTGTGCCACTCTCTGCCATGCTTGGTTTTCAGCCTCCAACTTTCTCAAGAAATCTTCAAGCTCCATTCTTCTCCTGTTCGCTTGTGTTATTTCATCATCCTTTTGCTTTAATAGTACTTGGGTTGTAGACTCTATTTTCTTCAACAGCATTGCAAGCTGCTGCTTTCTCTGTTCTTGAAGTACCAATCTCAATCTCTCGTTCTGTTTTTCAAAAACAAAAACAAAAACATGGGAATTGAGAAGAAATCCAAAACCATGAAAGCAAAAGCAATTTCAAGTAAATTGGATGAAACCCAAGTCATATTAATCACAAATTGTACTTTAAAAAACTGGTTTCTAACCTGTAATCTGATGTACTGATCAATCTCTTGTCTATGCTTGGCAGCCTGAGCTTCCATAGTTTGAGAACAGGAGGCCATAATGCTGCTACAAGTATTGTTGTTTTCCAAAGTGGGAACCAGAAAACTGGTATCAAAGCAGAGATTTTGATTTATCTGCTGCTGGTTTTGTAGTTGTTGCTGCTGTTGTTGCTGTTGTTGCTGTTGTTGTTGTTGTTGAAATTGGTGTTTCTGTTGAACATTGAAACAGAAGTCACTGAACCCACCTCCACTGCCACCACAACCATTGTCTACCATCCAATCCTGTGAGCCACACAATGGAAACCCAAGATTCTCTGAACGCATCTGAGCTTCAATGGCCATCTAAAGCAACCAACCCAAAAGATCAAAACTTGAAACAAACCTTTCTCTTCAGATCTCTCAGGCTTTCTTCTCAACCAGTTCTTGGACCCAAAAACCAAAACCAAAACCAAAACCAAAGCCAAAACTAGGTCTCTTGATTGAGGAATATGTTCACAAAGGTGGTGGACAAGAAGTGGGGAGCATATATATAATAAGTGAAGGAAAGAAAGGGACCGAAAACATAAAAAAATATTTTAATTAATGAGGGAGTGTAGAAAATTGGGGAATGAATAAATAAAGTAACAGGAAACTTGGAAAAGGGTAAGGAGATGTGGCCTAGGATGCTTAGTTTCTGCCTGTCTTTTAAAACTGCCTTTTTCTGCCTCTTTTTTCTCTCTTTGTGGATGGATGGTGTTTTGTATATATTAGCATTAAAAAGAGAGAGAGAGATGTATGGGACGCGGTAAGCAACAACGTACACATGCAGATTTTGTGACTAAACTATCGGGTCAGAGATTTCAGAGGAAGCGTTTGTTTTTGAATAGAAAGAGAAAGGGAAAGAGAGAGAGAGAGAGAGAGAGAGAGAAGAATTCAATTCCAAGTGGGTGAGAGTGAGAGGGGCCTCTCTGTTCTCTCTTGTGAATGAGTCAGTTTTCATATTTATATCTCACAAAAAAGATGAGAGAGAATTATTAGTGATTTTGTCAGTTTGGTCATCTGGAAAGGCTGAGACTAGCCAGAATAGGATCCTTTTATTTCTCTCCTATTTCCATACACTTTCCCCTTTTTTTTAATCTTGGAAATGTATATTTATAATTTTTACTTATTTTGGGCACCTTTTGTAATCTTAATCAGGAACATTGCACCTCAGAATGTGGTGTGATCATGCTAATCTGTTCAAGTATTATAACCCAGTTTTGGAAAACATGCTTAATATTTTTCTGGAAATTTGTATATCAATTAGGCAGTATTATCTTCTTCCTTATAAGATAATTGACAGAAAAATGTGTTAATGCAAAATTACTGGGAAAGTCCTGCCTGCTAATCTTTCTAGGTGTTGCAGGATTAAATGTAGGAGATCTTTTTGCAACTAAGTCCTTTTTTTTAAGTAAAATGGATTTGTTTTGAACCAATTCAATGTATCAAAAAATACCTAAAATATTGTAGGCAGGCGTATTGATCAGTTTGTTTGATTTCCTGGTGTTAGGATATTTTCAAGGCATTGTTTTATCATGATGACGTGGTTAACTTGTGGAGTTTTTATTGAATTGGTTTATTATCGATTCATCGAACTATGACGATATGAGCGCAAGCAACAGAACTAAAGGCAGCTAGAAATCCTCTAACCAATAATCGGATTGAACCTTTAAACAATATTGATTATTATGTCACAATTTCCTTTCAAATCCTCAAAATTTATCATCATATATATGTGTTTCACATGGTTTCTTGTAGTGAAAAAGGGCAGGGATTTTTTTATTTTATTTTTCCTTTTGCGGCTAGGAAAGTACACCAAACGTAGGACTTAAGGAAGTAATTTAATTGTATATGACCTTTTGAACATCCCTACAAGGCAGTGCATAATATTTAGTAAATCTATGAGTTGTTGTGACTTACCTAATGAAAACACACTTATTGCGTTAATGGGTCTCAAAAAAATATTAACAAAAGTTTATTTTGAGTAGGAATATGACGTGCACACCAACTCAGAGATCAACTTACTTTCATACCATATCAATTAATTACTATCAAGGAAAACGATATGCTATAATAGAAGCTAGCACAGATGATTAATGTAGAGATTCCAGCTAATATCCCTTGTAATAACAATCTTAATATTCGGGAAGAGGCTTCCTTTAAGCATGTATTTCGGGAAGCTGACTTCACAGCTGATGCTATTGCAAGTTTAGGTCATGGTCTTGCTCCGTCCCATATGTGGGGACATGAATTATCTCTGAGTTGTTCTATTCCGTTTTATTTTGATTTAGTTGGGCCTGCGTGCGCTCATAGTTTTCAATTGTAGTTGTTTTTCCTTTCCTATAAAAAATTTAAAAAAAATCTTAACATTTGACTATAATAAATATATCTACTTCAAGAGATAAACTTCTATCTGTGTTGCATCGTCTTCTTTTCACGATAATGCAAACAGATAGGTAGAATAGAGGGCAATGAAACCGGAAGATGTAAGTTATTAACTTAACTATTTTCCTAACTTATTCATAGAGACCCATATTGTGTTCCCATAACTTATCGATCAGGATTTTTCGATGGGAAGTCTATTAAGGAAGTGACTCATAATCTTCCACCCCTGAAAGTGACGATGGAGAGAAAAAAATGAAAACTTGACTCAAAATAAATATTTCTGTCAGCTGCCATATGAAACTGTTGTTTTGTTCATCTCCCTTGAATATTGGACCGCTATTTATACCTATGAAATGATCTCTATTTCCTTCCCCTCTGTAGATAAGAGTTATCCCACTAAACTCCAAATACCAATTATTCAGTCATTGAAAAAAAAAGAAAAAAAGACAAAAAAAAAAAAAAAGAAAAAAAAAAAAAAGGTTAAATTGTTGTTTTTTTGCTGCAGAAAATTTACAGTTTGGTGAGGAGCCATGTGGTGATGAGCCTTTGGGTTAGGACCCCATATGAGGGCATGAGGGCTTTGTGATACTTTGTTGTGACTGTTTCTGCAATGAATATGTGCAATCCATGTGAACCCATCCACCACTTCATTGACTGGCTAGTTTTCTATTATTATTGAATTGAATGATCTGATGAGTCTCTGAAGTCTCTGAGCCGTGAAATGTGCAAAAATCCAAACCCCATTTCTCATCATCTCATCTCTCTCATAGAATTCGATGCAAAAGTCTCTTCTGCAGCTTCCCAACTGCTTCTCTTTGTTTTGTAGCTTTCGGCAAAGTGATATGGACGCTCTACATGTCCTGCCTCTCTTTCCCTTCCCATAATTGGTGCCAATCTCTCCCCCTACCCATAAGTCTTTGCAATCATATAACTCGCAAAGTCATTTGTAAGGAAAGAGAATTCCAAATTCAATCCCGTTTATTCTTTTCAGATTTATGTAAGACTTGTTGTTATCGTGTAACATAATGTCATAATAGTTCAGTTAAAAGATACACATAATTCTATATCGGAAATAGATGATTCGCTTAATAGAATCAAAACTGAATTAGATTTAACTTATAATGAATCCGGATTGTATAAGTTGGGAACAATGTTATACAATTCTACAAAAAGTTTTTATTTTATTTTTTGATATCAAATACATTCAATAATTTGTCACAAAATAGGTGGTTTGATTTATGGTTGGAAGGCTCCTACCTCATGACCCACCAAAGAAGGGTGTGATATGGAATACTCTGTCTTGACGTGCCTCAAATTATGACTTGAAGAACAGGTAGACCCACTTTTGATGGGGGCATTAACAATTTAACATTATCTTATGGTTTCAATGCTAGCCATAGCCAAGTGGTTTTGTCTAGGTTCACCTAGGTAACCTAGCAAGGTCATACATTCATCCATTCACAAGTTCACAACGGCATCATTTCATTTGTCCCCTTTCATGCTGCAGCCATGTTTTTGGTATTCTATGTACCTATAGGAAGAAAAGAAAAAAGCATGAAAAATTCAAATAATTTCAATTTTCAAGTCGTTTTTCTATGGGTACACGCGTATAATTATTAGTCAATATAAGACATCTGGAGATTTGATCGATGTTTAGGACTTTAATTGAATTATTATAATGGTGAGGTTGGAACCAACAACACCTAGTGCCTAGTGACATCCACCATTCAAACATAAATATTATTATCAAGTAAATTAATGGTCATTCTACTTGAATTAATCTCATGAATGACATGAGGGGTGGTAATCCTTTTTACCTTTTCCTTTTCAACAACCATGACCGGACACAATAGTAAAACAAAATAGCATGAAACAAGTTGTTGATTTAAATTTCGGATTATACGTCAAATTTGAAAGTGATCACATATAGCATGTATTCTCACATACAGAATTGCGTTGAACGATTTCTGATCCTTAATGCATAAAGAACTCACTAGACATCAACAATCAAAATTTATCGGGACTTACTCATCACTCTTTGTTGTTCCTTTTGTAATTAGTAGTAATTAGTTAAAGATTATGTTTGTGTTGTTGGGAAAAGGGCCCCAAGTTTCTTCCATGTTGCTCCCCTCATAAAGGGCAAATAAATAGTCGATAATTGTAATCATGTCAGGTTTGATTTCTCATGTTCTTACCTTGGAGACCGACACACGCAAGTCATGTGAAGTTTCTTTACAGGCAGTTCCTCCCAGTGTTATCTTCAAACTTCAAAATCTTGGTCCTGTCTGTCGACCCAAAATCACAATTAAAACAAAAAATAAAATAAAATATATATATTATGCAGAAAGAAAAATGAAAAAAATAGTTATCATTAAAGTAGCATATGTAGCTAGCTTTTGTGGTGCTTACTTCTCTCGTGCATCTTCCAGACTTTGACTGCATGATTTTGTTTTCATTTCAGTCACACTGTCTCAGTCGTGCATGCATAATATTATATTTTTGTACTTTTTTCTTCTTCTTTTTGCTTGCCTTTAATTGATTTGGAGCAAATGAACACGTCTTCGACTCTGCTTTTTCTAACTTTGACGTGTAACGTATAGCGTGATGTTCTTGTTTGTTTTCAATCTAATTTATGTTTTTTCTCTTTTCAGATCTAGTTTTTCTAAATATGTGTGTGAACTTGACCATAGGAAGACTAGTTTCTTACATGTTTTCGAAGTTAGAGAAATTCTATTGACGATTGGAAAGATCCAGGAAAACGAGACTGCTAAATTTAAAGGTTTTTTAGGTTTTAGACATAAAAAAAATTTCACTTTTGGAAAAAGCCAAAGCTTTTTCAAAAAAGACAAAAAAACCGCTCAACTTTCAAATCAAAGACATACAAATGTATTGGATTCCTTAAGAAATCTAAAAATAAATAAGGGCATTTTTGTCCATTTTTGTTTCTTTTAAAAATTTTCTCTCTCCTTTTGCTTTTTCCAAAATGTCCCTAAATTTAATACGTTATTCGTGAATGTTGATTATTTATGACAACATAATATCATTTTCAGAGATTTTAAAAAAGTAATATTATCGTACAAAGTTATGGTAATATCAAAATAGTATATGTCATATAAATCATGTTGAATAATATAAAGTTTTATATCGAAAACTTCACTAAATAAACTACAACTTATAATAAGTGGCCCAACATGTTACTTTTTAAAGAATCTTCATTATCATCCTTTGTCCAAATCGTAAAGGTTTTGATAATATGATTCTTTATTTCCAATTCCTTATCGTTATATGCAATATCTCTTGTTCAATATTTTAATGTTTTAAAGTTTCATTATCACTAACAAGTGACATTCTAAACCTTTTCCTATTTCATCGATCAATTTTGTTTTTTGTTTTATCTTAATCATTCATATATTATCTTTATCTATCTAAACATTCTCACGTAGATGTATTGCTCATATTTTTGTTTAATTTAAACTCATTTCCATACCCATTTTTTTTATAAAAAAAAAAATAGCCGCAACAGTTTCATTAATAAACGGGCATTACAAGATCATAATCCCACAAAGAGCTCTTGTAAACAATAAAAGATACGAATAATAACCACAACTATTGCAAGACAATGAACAAAAACAATTTTACATCTTGAAGACTCAACTCATTAGAAACTGAAAACATAAGAGGATCCATAAAGCCACCGCCTTACCCTCTTAATATTTTGTTTGTATTTTTTCAAACATTGTCCTAATTCCCCATTTTACATAAATAAAATAATATTGGGCCCCTTCACTGTTAATTGGTAGCCTGGATACGGCTCAAGTTCACTGGAGGTTAAAAGTTGTACCCATAAAGCCCAAAATTAAATCCTTTATGGGCCAAACTGAAATGTGGCAAATTGATGCCTAATTATATAATAATATTATTAGAATTTGATGGTCTCGAGTTCGAATTTCATGACACGTTAATAATGTGTAAGAAACCTTCTTCCTCCTTGTAGACTATCGCTTGTAAATATTATTAGAATTTAGAACAATTGCATCATATGCACCTTCGACCAACATTAATATTTATATACAGTCATCGAAAGATATCATATATAATTATATATATGGTCGTAGAAAAAACAGAGGAAGGCGACAAAAGAGTAACATCTTAGCTCCTAAACATTTCATAAATGGTCTAGATCATTGCCAGTTTAAACTTTTAATCAACTGTTTTTGCCGTCGGTGGTGTTTCTCAAGTCAAGGCCCAGGCATCTCCATCATTTATCATCACAAAATCCATAGTTATCAAACACCAGTTTCCAACAACCTAGAAGGCCCTCAGCAAAGCAATGTCAAGAGAACTTAGGTTTAAAGTTCCACATGTTTTTCCGTTTTAAGGAACTTTTTCAACCAGTCCGCTGATTGTTTAGGATGTCTTTTCAGCCCATTTTTGAAGTCTATGTAGTTGATGCCGAACCTAACTGTGTAACCGGTGTTCCATTCTATGTTGTCAAACAATGACCAAATAAAGTATCCCATCACGTTAACACCATCCCTGCTCAATGAGTCAAAACAACTATATTAGTGAAATTCTTGGCCGAGGAGGGAGAAGAAATCTTTGTTTTTACTAGGAACGTGCACTTACTGGATCGCTTTATGGAGATAATAAAGATGGCGATCAAGATAGTCAATTCTTTTCTTATCGGCAAGTGATTCCTCCATCGGAATTTTGGGATCATTAGGGTCATCGTACCCTACAATAGTAGGTAGTAATATTTGACACAGGCATGAGATTACCCTTAAAATGTTGAAATAATGTAAGTTGGTGGCTAATGCCATAATTACCATTTTCTGTGATGTAAATCAGTGGATTTTGATAGTTTCGCTTTGTGTAAAGTAGTAAATCTCGAAATCCTCTTGGGTAAACATGGAGCCAGTCAGAAGCACCCTGCCAACCCAATTTATGCAAATTAAATCATATAATTAATTCATGGTAAGCTCAAAGAGGGTTTGATTAACATGGTAAATAACACGTACGCACCAGTGGACCAATGGGGACGCCATTATGCTCGACTGTCACACCATCATGTTTGAAACTTTGTTAGTAAATGTGTAAAATTAAGAAAGAAAAAGCCATAATTTGTGGCAGCTTAAACTCAAGGTTTTCCACTTACCTGATTGATTAACAAGAGCGTCTGTCTTGTAGTTTGGTTTTGCATCATTTTGGCGAGGTACGTCTGCTGCATACGTTCCTGAGTAGTAATTTAGTCCAATAAAATCAAATGAACCTTTTAGCATCTCGGATTGCTCTTTAGTGAACTCCGGCAATCGGTTTTTAACAAGAGATTGCATGGTCTGCGGATAGTGACCCTTTGTCAAGGGATCCATAAACCTAAAATCAAATCCAAGATTCAAAATATTACTTCAACTTAAGCCCATCTGAACATAGAAGGATATTGATGCTACTCAATTTCAAAGTTACTCACGACTGACCAGAAACTTTACCTAAACACTAGACCATATGAAATCTAGATCAATCAAATTCAACCTTCATCTGCAATAAGAACGATTTGAGTTGTTATTTTATAAGTGCATACCATCCATAAGAGAAATCCAATGCTCGTGATGCAGCATCTTTGTCTTTCTTTTCATCAGAAACTGGCACAAACCAATCTGTGTTCAACGTTATCCCTATCGATCCCTTTTGTGATGCCTGTGCTTGTTCAACATTTGATTGTTTAACACAACAAAGAATCCATTACCGTCAAGAAGATAAATTATAACCATTGAATTTTGGGTGTAATCAAGACCTGATATTTGTCTTTGTATAATTTTACAGCGGCTGCATGAGCTAGAAGTTGGTGGTGCGTCACTAAATATGGCTCAGTCCCTGAATCTCCACCAAGGCAATTTAATTTTAGCCAATCAGAACATCGTCCGGGTGCATACTTCCCAGTTGCATACCCATTCTTGCTGTAACTCAATGGCTCATTCAATGTGATCCAATGCTTAACTTTGCCACCAAACTCCCTAAAGCAAAGCTCTGCGTAATCTTGAAAATCATCCCTGTCATATATTACATCAGAAAATTTTTATAAAAAAAACAGGAATTATAAAATTTTCAACAGAAAAATATATTTGATTTTCACTTACACAATATTAGGGCTTAAGAAACCACCGTAATCATCCTCCAAACCTTGGGGAAGATCCCAATGAAAAATTGTGACAAAGGGCGTTAGACCTGCCGTATTCAACAATTAATATCCAGAAAAATTAATTAAAAAAACTTTAATTGATGAATTTTTTTGGTTGATTTCTCCATTAGTCAGTGGGTCATGTGCATAACCATTAGCTAGAAGCTCGTTGATGAGGTTCTTGTAATAGTTGATTCCTTCATAGTTCACACCCCCACTTAGCTTTCCTTCTGATCATGATCAAAATATAATACAAATTAATTTTTGACAGAAAAAAAATACGAAGAATTTATGTAAAGGATTAAAGTAATTAAATTGATGGTCTAATTAATTACCTGGTATCACTCTAGACCATGAGATTGAAAATCTGTAAGCATCTAAACCAATATCCTTCATAATTTGAACATCTTCCTGTAAACCAAATATAATTAAATTAATTAGAGAACTCATTCAGAATAATTTTTGGAAGATAACCATCTTCTTCTTGTACCTTATAGCGATGATATTCATCAACGGCGACATCTCCGGTGCTGTGGTCCGTTATTCTCTCTGATTTTTTCAATTAAAACACAGTGAATTTCAGTAATTTCATTCAATTTATTTTCTTTCTTTCTTTCAATGATGGTTTTGATACAAAATTGAAGACATGAATAGAACAGAAGAGACCTGGATGCTTGTGCATGTATGTATCCCATATACATGGTCCTCTACCACCTTCTTTTGCAGCACCTTCATACTAAAATTCATATACAAATAAATACACAAATATAAAGCTACGGCGCATTTGATAACTATTTCAATTTCAATTTTAGTTTTTATTTTTCGTGTTAGAGTATAGAGGAAAATGAGAGTGAGAACGGGAGTGATGATGAGATTGAGAGAGGATGAGATATGTGTTTTCACTTTGTTACTCATCCCTCTCATCTTCCCTCTCCAATTCCATTTTCACTCTCATTCTCACTTCCATTCTCCATCTTGTTCCTCTATATTCTAGCACAAAAATGAAAAATGAAAAATAAAAAATAAAAAAAAATTGGTTATCAAACATCACCTAAATGAATCATCTCAAGCTTGACATCTAATGAGAACATTCAAAGATCAAAGGCCTAGCTAAGAGGTACCTGGTAGGCGGATGAAGCTGTCCCGAACACGAAACCCTTCGGAAAACTGCTCCGGTTGAGGGAAGCCAAAGTCTCAGATTCAGCATCAAGATGCTTTGCCTTGATAGATTTACTACTTGTCAATGCACAACCAAGAGCAAGCAGGAGGCCTAAAAGGAGGAGGGTGCATTTTGCCATAACTTCAAATTCAATTTCGTTGTCAGGTTTCTACAATTGGCCTTTAATTATATATATACATGGAAGGAAAAAAAGAAAGTGGGGTAATTTGAAAACTGCCGCTGGCCTTGAATTTCAATTGGAATCCGGTCAATTATGCGGGAAATTTGTTTTAAGTTGTGAATTGTGACCATGTTAAATAGTCAATGAAACCACACAAAATTTACAATCACAAATTAACATCTAATTTACAAACCAAATTTTTGCAATATGTTTGTTTTGCTACCCGCACCCATAGTGGGTGGTATAGACACAGTAAACATATTACGAACATCTTGCTCACTTGACTTAATTTCCGTCACACAACAATCACTTTAATATTCTCCTTAATTACGGTTGAGTTTTAGAGAATCTCTAACCCAAGTTATTTTAGTTAGTCCATTACATGCTTTCTATTTAGGTTTTAAGTATCATGGTTGGTTGGTGCAACCTGGGGTTCCTCTAACACACTGAGATAGCGACAAGTTGGATAGTAAAGCAAGCATGGGAGAAGGAGCAGAGGCAGCGTGGTGAGCATGCTCAAATGGGAGCAGAGGTCCCAACAGCGTGAAGCAATTGCAGGTGACACGCATGGATTGAATTGTTGGGATCAAGATCGCTTTCTGATTTCTTGGTTTTGATCTCATGTGGTTTGTGGAAATATATAGTTTATAGTTTATTGTGGTACATGTAATTGGAGTTTTGTATAATTCGTGTATTCTAGATCTAGGTTCGATTTCCTCATCTCTCAATACCGTTTATATAAAAATAATGAACAAAATAAAAACGAAAAAAAAGAGAGTATCATCTGAGCATTAATAAAATACAAATTTATAAATAAAAACCAGTCTAGATCCTTGCTAGCTGACCCCAAACGATATAAGAAAGAAAATAAAAGTCAAGATTATCGCTACTTTAAACTTTAAAATATGCCGTATAGGTAGAGATCTATCTCCATCTTTTATCATTATCGAAACCATGCATGTGAATAAGTCCAGTTTCCAACAACTTATACAACAACAGTTTATTTGACCCAAAAAAGAGTTCCAAAGCTATAACATGTTACATACGCCAGGCAAATCTCAAAGACTAAAAAGATGTGGAGATCTATGACGATGAAATTAAATCTCCTCTATGGGTTTCTTTTTCTTTATGTTCGGAAAAGCGATATCGAATTTGAAACATCTTCTAACGTTACACACCCAAGAAAGGCGCATACAAGAATGGTTAAGATTATAATAATCATTATACTATGGAAAGTTAATTAAGAAATTGATAATCAGACAGAATGCGAATTGTGGGTACATATAGCTGGAAAGAAGTCATAGCTTGCCTTCACATTAGTTCGACAAAAGAGTATTTTGTCTTTCAGTGCTGCGGGAAGAACGTTCAAAAGAATCAAATGACAAAACCACTCAACGTCACTGTTTGTTTGAGATTGAAGGGCCAAGTTTTAGCACTGCTCGGTATGAAAAATGGATAAGGCATTTGTGGTTGAGAGCAATTAATATGAAAAATACTTCGGACGATATAAAGAGCTTCAGTTGCGGAATCCTGCAATTACGGGATGGAGACAACCCGAATGCTTGTGCTTGACTACCAGCCCATCCTGTCCCGCAACTACTGTCTCTATGTTCATTATCCTTTTAAGATTTCAACTTTCAATAGGATGGCCCTCCCTCGGAAAAATACTTCCCTCAGGTAGCCAAAGCTAATAGGTCTGAGCTTTCAACAGCATCATAGACATGCGGTCCCAAGTATGACAGGCAGGAAGTGGATGAAGGACCATACTAGACTGAATCCTCAATGAAGCTCACTATGGGACCATATGTATGCAACAAACCCTAGCCACCTTATATATATCCGGAATCGATTGGAAACCAAGAATAGTGTATTTTTCTCTGAGTTTTTTACTTCAATTTCGACAAAGTTGATTATTTTAAAGTGTAGAATCATCCTTCAAGGGTTTATAATTTAGATTTTAGCTATCGAATTCTTGAGGAAGCTCAAAATCTAGAAAGTTTAACTCTTAACTCAGAACGCAAATGTGAAATAAATCAGATGACCTAGGTAATGTCCTCACTCTGTAACATCTAAGTTCGAATCTTCCTCCCTATAAAATAATAAAAAACAATATTCACGATCCTTCGAAAATAAAAAATACTGACAATGTTATAAAAAAAAACAAAAGAGATCGTTGGACGGTTGGCCACTGCTTTGAAGTTTGAAACTCGCACACTGCCTCGCATCTACGCACGAAAGATCCCAGTGCCACACTGGCCTGTATGTACATGTTTGAACACGCCCCTACCCATGCTGGACCCTCATATTCAAACCGTGCCCACCACACATAACATTTGTGGGGCCCGTTTTAAAAGGATCTTATAACTCTGGTCCCGGTTTGGTTCCTAGGCCCCACACCTGCAATGTCCCGCCAAAACCGCAGGGCCCACACGGTCGGTGCATGGATATCCTCGCCCGTTATTGATGAGCTCGTCGACCTCGAAGCCGATGGGACACGTGGCGCAAACCCAGAGCGATAAACCCTACTAGGAGACCACTGACAACAACTGACGACCCAGATCTCTTGATGGCCCATACGGACGGACGACCCAGATGATTTTAAAAATAAAAAAAATATCCCAAGGCTCAAGACAAGAGGGGTTGCTTATAAAAGTGGAGCGAAGCCCCTACTCACTTTTGTCCATTGTGCAATCACTCTCCCTCTAAGATTCAAAATCAAAATCAAAGCTTTTAGGAAGTTTTTGGATCCTTCATATTTTCTCACAGCTTATATTATATATTGTTGTGGCCTTTAATTTTGGTTCCAATCTTGTGCTGAATCAAAAGCGTTGCCATGGGTGCTCTAGATCATCTCTCAGATCTCTTTGATTGCTCAGGTGGGAGTTCCAGGCTCAGGAAACGCAGGCAATTCCAGGTATTTTTTTTTCTTCTTCACAAAATCTCCATCGCCAGAAAGTGCTTATAAAGAGTAGATCAAGCAAATCCGAAGTGATTTTTAATTTTGTAGTGTTTTTCTTTTGGGCCTGAAAATAAGTGATTTTGTTACTTGCTTTTCTGCCTTTCTTTGCTAAAATTTGGGTAAATCCGTAATTTTTGTTGGAGGGTTTTTCATTTTGAATCTTGGAAATTCCAAAAGTGGAAGCAAATAATCACAAAAGCTCAAAAGTTGTGAGCTTTTGTTTTTTTTTTTTGGGGTGTGAATAAAATCTGTCTGTTACTCTTTTGAGCTGGATGGTACTGCATCTCTGTTGCTTTGTTCATTTACGGTTAGCTTCCAGAACAGTAGTACGTAGTAAAAAGCAACTAGGCTGTCGCCACGTGTACAATGCCAGCTATACAATCTAACTTACATGTCGAACTGTTTGGTTTTTTTTATCAGACGGTGGAGATCAAGGTGAAGATGGACTGCGAAGGATGCGAGAGGAAGGTGAGGAGGTCTGTGGAGGGGATGAAAGGCGTGACGCAAGTGACCGTGGAGCGCAAGGCCCACAAGCTCACAGTCGTCGGATACGTGGACCCGGGCAAGGTGCTGGCACGCGTCGCGCATCGGACGGGCAAGAAGGTGGAGTTCTGGCCATACGTCCCGTACGACGTCGTTGCCCACCCATACGCCGCTGGGGTGTACGACAAGAAGGCTCCGTCCGGGTACGTGAGGAACGTGGAGGACCCGCAGCTCCGGAACCTCGCACGTGCGAGCTCCACGGAAGTGCGTTACACCACGGCATTCAGTGATGAAAACCCGGCTGCCTGTGCTGTCATGTGAGCTGTCAATTTGTGACGTGACATGGATGGAATCTTTTTTGGATATGTCAAATGTCGTGTATGCTGTGTTGCACATTTTTTTCTTTCTTCCTTTTTATCATTATAGGTTTGTCAAGAAATCAACACTATGGAATTGGCTATAAGCTTGAGCTTTTGATTGTATATGAAGTGGTTGAATTTAGTGGAATATTTTGGATATTTGACCTGTATATTGGTCTTGGTATTTTGTATACCACACAAAGGAAAAAAAAATTTAATATTGGAAATGATTCTTCTAGACCTCAAATTTGAATTAGCGGCTTTCAGTCGTTGATACATGTGAAGTGCACGATACATCATTGATTGAGATCACTCACTCGTTGAAAAATGTTTTAAATTTGAATCACTCTGTCAATAGTTGAGATTCGTTTAATTATTGAAACATGTTTCAAATTTGAATCATACTACCACTGAAATGTCGTGTTGTGATGAATATGATATGTTGTGATGAATATGATAAAGGTACAAAAGCGCTTTTGTATTTACCTATGAATCACAAAAAAGCACTTGAAGGTGCAGCCATGATCACTTAATTGAAACTCGGTAAAGTATATGGGATTAATTGATCTGGAACATGGCATCAGATGGGACTTTGCTTTCAAGTGGTATATAATTCAGTTTTAAATCTTGACTTTCATCACAAGGGTTGTACAGTAAAATCACACTATTGCCTCAGTGGCTCTATGGAAGATGAGCCTTTGTTTCATAAGAACAGTTGCTTATCTAAATCAAATCCTTGACGGAAATTGGACGCAACCCCTTCTCCAAATTCAAGCGTCGTGTCATCGGAAATTTCTTGGATAGAAGAAAATATAATGATCCAACCGCCCTATATCTTGGGGTCCAAGTTTTCGTGCCCCCAAGTCATCAAAGCTGATCATGGTTTTATTATGTAATGAAAACGACTTCGGTCATATTGCTTTAATTATCCAATACTTTCGGTACGCAGCCTAACAAATGGAATATTTGTCTCCCATCGCGATAGGATAATGTTTCTAGACAACATACTCTATTTATATCAATGATTGACAGTCATTCATGCGCGCGTGAACGACTGTTCCTAGCATGTCTTAACACTAATTAAAAGTTCGAATGTGCAAACCACTTGACTATTAAACGAATAATAGTCATTATAGACATCAAATACTTGGAAAAGGGAGTTGTGGCGGTGTGATCGTCGCACACAAAAATGAATGTTCTACTGTTTTGGAGTAAATAATAACAATTCTATTTAGGAAGTTGAATATATCAAAATATATTTTCTTCAAAGTGGGCTTATTTAGTTGGGCCCAAACCCGTTGGGCTAACCCAATTTACTTCTTCTTAAAAACCATACTTCGTACCCTCACTACCTTTCCACTCTCACACACTCACCACATTTTGGCGGGAAAGCAGAAAGAAGCAGAAAAAGCAAAGGAGCTCAAAGAGACGGCCGCAGCCACAGCCATGGCGGAGGACCAGGACCAGGACCAAGACGCGGCTCTCCTTGAGGAAGAGTACGCCGTGTGGAAGAAGAACACCCCTTTCCTCTACGACCTCATCATCTCTCACCCTCTCGAATGGCCATCTCTCACCGTCCATTGGGCCCCATCGGCTCCACAGCCCCACGCCGAAACATCTTTCGCCGTCCACAAGCTCGTCCTGGGTACCCACACCTCTGATGGCTACCCCAACTTCCTCATGGTGGCCGACGCCCTCCTCCCCACATCCCAACCCAACTTTGGCGCCATTTCTGAAGAAGATCCCGAGATGCCTAAGGTACTCAAAATTGGTGCTTTTTCTCTAATTTTCAAATGAAAAATTTGTCGGCACCTTGTATTTTGTACTATTTTCAAGAAATTTGATGTGGATTCGGAGTATTTTCAGAGAAATGAATTGTGGGTAATCGGTATTTTTTAAGAAGTATTTTGTGGGCACCTAGTGTATGTTAAAATTTCTAGCTGAAAATGTTTGAATGTATGGTTGGTGTGAATGTAGGTGGAAATAACGCAGAAGATTCCTGTTGATGGGGAAGTGAATAGGGCACGGTGGATGCCACAGAAACCAACTATTGTGGGTGCGAAGACCAGCGGTGCTGAGGTGTATGTGTTTGATTCTGCGAACCATGGGTTGAAGCCTCAAGAGGGTGGTTGTGATCCTGATTTGAGGTTAAGGGGTCATGATAAAGAAGGATATGGCTTGTCCTGGAGCCCTTTTAAGGAGGGTTTCCTTTTGAGTGGTTCTTATGATTGTAAAATTTGTTTATGGGATGTGTCTGCTTCGCCTCAAGATAAAGTGCTCGATCCAATCCATGTGTATGAGGTAAATTTGGGGCTAAACTTAATAGTTGTTAGCGTGTGTAGCATACATGTTTTGGCTATGGGGTGTCTAATGCTTTGACTATGGGAATTGTGAATGCCTCTTTTCAGCGTCATGAAAGTGTGGTTGGAGATGTATCATGGCATCCAAAGAACGAGAACCTATTTGGGTCTGTTGGGGATGATTGTCAGTTGATGATTTGGGACTTACGCACAAACCAAACGCAGCATTCTGTCAAAGCTCATGAGAAAGAGGTCACATAACTTTGAACAATATCATTTATATGATAGTGGCTTTTCAATCTATCTGTATGATATCGCTTTTACGAATCTCATACCCTTCTGAATTACACATGCACTTGGGAATTAAGCATGTTACCTTTCATGCAGTTTGGCTCCATATACGGTATCTTAAACTTCATATATGCAGTTTGGTGCAACTAATACTAACGTATTTCAATGATTTGAGTTATAGATGATGTTCTTTAGAAGTTTTGTTGATGGTTTAATGTATATGTTATTCACTGCCATAACGTTAGTTCAGGAAAGATTTGGAGAATTGTTTAAATAGGCACCTAGGGTGAAAGTGAAACCAAAGTTGTAGCTAGCAAAGGTATCAGTTTCAGAAATATGAATCTATTTGTTGCTTCACTTATGGGTATTGTTGTAGTTTGTGAAGGGATCATTGTTGCTTTCTCATTTATCTTTCTATTACTATATCTCTTGTATATTTTTACTGAAAACTTCTCCCTCTCTCCCATTTTTTGGGTGTTTTCAGGTGAACTATCTTTCTTTCAATCCGTATAATGAATGGATTCTGGCGACAGCATCTTCAGACACTACCATTGGTCTGTTTGATATGCGGAAACTGACTGTGCCATTGCATGTTCTGAGTAGCCACACGTATGCTCTTTATGCCCCTGCACCCCCTCTTCGTACAAATCAATTATATTATCATCATCTATGTTCTTTCATGCCTTTGTGTGTTTCTCTTGATCTGTGCACAGTCAAGAATTCTGTTACTAAGTTTTGGATATCATTCTACTTCTGTGGCTCCATGTTCTGTTAGGTCCATAGTTTAATATCAAAATCCAAATTAAACACTATACTAAGACATATTCTTCATGCTACAATTTGCAAAATTACTTATTTTTCGTTTGTATTTGAAGTGCATAAAACCAGTATCTTAGGATTGATGCAGCAGTCTGATACTTATGTAGCAGTCACATACGTAGAGATAAAGTATTTGCAGTGTTTTAACTGAAATTCCTCATTCTTTCCTTGCAGAGAGGAGGTGTTCCAGGTTGAATGGGATCCGAATCATGAAACTGTGTTGGCATCTTACGCTGATGACCGAAGGTTGATGGTTTGGGACCTCAACAGGTATTTGATTTCACAGATTGCTGCTGCTAGAAGTGCTTTTGCTTTTGTTTATCTTCTAGGTTATGCAGCGTTTACATATTTCATTCATGCTTCATTAGGATTGGGGATGAGCAGTTGGAGGGAGATGGTGATGATGGCCCACCAGAACTTCTCTTCTCACATGGCGGCCATAAAGCAAAGATATCAGATTTCTCTTGGAACAAATATGAGCCATGGGTCATTTCAAGTGTAGCTGAAGACAACACTCTTCAAGTTTGGCAAATTGCTGACAGCATATATGGGGACGATTATGATGTGCAATCTTCCGATGTTTAGTCATAAATTCTCAACCGTCAGCTTAGAAGATAATTTTCCTACCCTCCTTGACTAGTGTAAACTCTTGTTGTTGTTAGGTGCCGTGTTGAGACTTTTCTTTTGAGATGATTACAAAGACTAGAAAATTATGTATCTTCAAAAAGAAAAAGAAAAAGTTTATATTTGGATGGATTTGACAGAATTGGTTTTTTCCTTTTTACCATCTTTGGATGAGTATGTTTGTCTTGATGGATTTGATCGAATAAGCCTATGCCAAACCATTGCCCTTGATTTTAAAACCTTCTAACGTCTTGTTTTTTACTCTTTTTTAATACAAGCAATAATTCTAAAGATGGTGCGCACGCACACTATCAAAGTGCTATGGGATTCAGACATGAAATCACTGGTTAGGAAGATTGTGTTTCTCGCTTGGCCTTCTTTTGAAATAGGAAAATATCAACGCTAAATATAAACTAATCATTTTGTCCTCCTTCGCAATTACTATCAAAAATATCATATCACCTTTTCGAGGAGAGTTTACAGCAGCTCTTTTTGTAAAGGGAACTTTTGGGTTATTTTTCCATCACTTTAAATCCCCTTCCCTCATTCAAGAATCAAATATTCAAAAAGGAAGAAGAAAAAACTTTATTCGTTTCTCAGTGATCAAAATCACGTTAGTGGGGATATCAATATACACCAACTCTTTTCACTTTTCTCTCTAATGATATTACCCATCATATAGATGAGAATGAACCTATAAGAAATTCACCAGTGGATATTAAAAGCCAACTGTCTACACATGAATCCAGATCACTAAAATAAGTTGGTTAGCAGAAGCACATACTGACCATCCAAAGGCAAGGAACCTACAGAGATTCTCCTTGCCATCGTCAATGGTGGAAATAGGGTGTCCACTGACATGCACAATGACCAGATGCATCACCTAAGGACAATGTACTGTGAAATTTATCCACTAGTCAGTCACCCACAAATGCATTCTTTTTATTCCTTTTCACCAAAATGCTAAGCTCTTAAGTTATTTTGATGAAGAGAAACAGTAAATCAACAAAAGCCGGAAACTACGCAAGCTTCCACACAGATCACAAATTTGGATCTCACAAAGTGATTCTTGTGACTCACCTGTTTACAGCTCATAGTACTGAAACATGATAGAAATCACATGCCACCTTCTCTACGGTCTGTAATTCAGCAATCAAGAATTCATGTGGCTCAGAAAGAGAAAGAATGGATATAGTAGAACTACTTATAGCATATTGAAATGAAAATTTCGCAAAGTTACATGAACCAAAGGTAATTTGACTGATATATGTAGCCTAAGACTATTAGAAGGTTAATCCTAAGGGAATTTGAGCTTCATTGAAGACCATTAAGTTGTCTCTGCCATAAGTTTCACTGGCTACACATAAACTAAGTTTACAGCACTACAGCACATGCCAACTCATATTATAACTTGAACAAAATAACAGCAAATCCAGCAAAACTTCAGCTTTACGTAAATAAACCATCCCGTGCAAAGAACCAAACAAATGGTTCAAGAAATAGAAAAAAAAATTTAACCAAAAACACAAAACGACCTGAAGGAGAGCTGATGCTGCAGTTTGAAAAACTACTTATTGCAGGGCAATATATGTACTCATGGGGATAATGACACTGCTTCCTTCCCAAGCCCTTCAGTTTGCTGCTGCGGCTCGAGCCCCTCCTAAAAAGACAAACACCATCTAATCAGTGAAAAAAATTGCACACTTCCAAGTTCCAACAGCTGTATTCAGGTCTATTCATTTCATGGTCAACAAAAGAAGAATCTTCAGCCACCTGCCCAGGAGGAAGATGATAAATTGTAATGCACAATGTTTAACTCATAACATAAAGGGCTTAACCAACCCCAATTTGCCAATTACCGAATCAATAGAGATGATTTTGTTTATATAGCCAGCCAAAACAAGTACAAGTCTTTGTCTAGCAGCATGACATGGAAACCCTTTATTGACTCTTTTGTACTTCCTCCTACTGAACTCTTCTTTTATTTTTTATAGTTAAAAAGTCTCCACTTCCAGCTCTATCTCATGATCCACTTTTCTCCACAGAGTAAAGGGTTCTGAACAGAACGGAATAAGAACATCCTCCAACTCTTATGATATATTCAATCTTCCAGGAGAAAGCCAAGTTTACAGAGATGATTTCACAAACTAGGATAATTTAGCCAATCCTTTTAAAGGTTATAGCTAATTATGATACATTTCAGACATGTAACAACACAAACACCAAGATGAGTTGTGCGTTATTCATGAATTTGAAAAGAAATATGCTAACTACAACATTACAGGCACAAAAATTTGTATTCCAACAATCCAAACTTTGCGTGGAAACAAATAAAAGAAAATCTTAAAAGACCTCATAAATTACCACCCAATTCCGAATGCAACTGATTTCATCAGGGCTCAATGAAAATAATCCTTTACAACTAGATGTAGCACCCTAGAGAACCATCTTGCCAATGCATGCACAAAAGACTCATGAGACAAGTTCTGTGTATGTCAAAGATGCAGAATTGCTCATGATTAAAACCCAACTATAACAATAGAACAGGAAACATATATGAGATAACAGATATGAATATAAAACCATACAAATAACTCCAATTAGCCGACTAACTAATGTAAAGTAGTCATAAAAATAAGCCATTTAGGTTAAGGAATCTTATGTCTCACCCTTCCTCTTATTTGTGGCAGAAGAATTACCATTTGACACCCCATCTCCAAGTCCACAACCAGAAAGCTCCTTGTATCCTCCATCCTGATTTACCAAACACTGAAGATTCTCAAAATCACAACCGCTAAATCCTTGCCCATTCATCACCGCCCCATCTCCACATTTTCCATCAGCCCCTTGATGAAGACAATAAAGCTGATCATCACGCTGTAGATTACATGGATTCATCACATACGCACTGGGGATGTTTGGGTTGGGCAGGTTGGGATTCACTGATTTCTGATATGGAAAAGATCCAATTTCTCCTTCAATCCTTCCTCGAATGTCCACAAGCAAACACTTGAGCCTCGCAATCTCAGCCTCCAATGCAGCCTGACCTTGCAACCTCTTCAATAACTGCTGATTCACAGCTCTCAATCTCACAACTTCATCCTCCAAAGACGCTGCCCGTGCCTTCTTCTTCTCGCGGTACTTACGAACTGCTTCTCGATTACCTAAAGGCCGTTTCTTCGATTTCTTTTCCCCAGATTCAGCAGTGTCATCAGTTCCAGCCTTGTCTTCACTTCCTGTTGCTGAAGACACGATTTTAGTGTGTACATGAAAGCAAGTGTGTGTATGAGAGTAGTCAGGGCCAGGTGGGTTGCAAGTGTGGGTGTGAGTGCAAGCATGAGTGTCCTTAAGAAGGTCATCAAAGAAGCTGTCCATTGAGCAACTACTCGGATGTTCACCCCCCATGTTTGGACCCGAAAACATCTCTTGGTTCGAAAAATCGAGCTCTCCGTCCTCCATTAAGGCAAAGAACACGAAGAACTAAGAGCAATAAGTTCCAATTGAGTGAAACAGTAGCAAAATTTCAAACTTTTGGCCTCCACCCAGATGAAGTTTCGAGCCCTCTACTCTTATCGACGGAAACCAGAGAAACCCAGATGGACAATTGTAGTTCAAAACTTGTGTTCTACACGAACACAAAGAAATCTCCCAATTCAATCACGACCCAGATGAGATTTCATCTGCCCAAAGTCTAATCATCAGTTAAATTGGCTGAAAACCAAAGATTTTCAGCCCAAATGAACAAATAGTATGGAGGATTCAAAAGCTAAAAGATGAATTAAAGAATTATTCCCTGCGATTAAAGTTATGTGGCTGACATAAAAGTAACAAGGAAAAGAGCAGAAAGTTTAAGGATTTGATAATGGAACCCTAGGGAACACAGAGAGCCAATGACAAAGAGAGAGACAAAGCAATAGCGAAAACTCTAGAGAGACAAACATGGCAACATCTTGACGTGAAAAAACCAAAAATATGAACATACCACGGATTGGCAAGTGGTTCAGAGATTCCGCGAAACTCACCTCTCTTTCAAAAGTCAGATGACACGGCGGAAATGTCCTCGCTCTCTCCATATATACGTATTTAAGAAAATCGGAGATTAAAATGTTTTGGGGACTAATTATCTCGTACGTCTGGCACTAGGGTTATGTGGAAACTTGAGAAGATAAATGTTGATCCTGGCCGTTGACTGAATAGATCGTGTCCTGCATATTAGCACCCTGTGATTTTGCGACTCTGGTTGCATATGGATACAATGGTACTGCTATAGGCTATAGACCTCACGTGGGACCAGGAAACCTGAGAAGAACATTTTTGCTTAGGCCCGGTACAGCCCAATACAAGGCCCAAGAAAACTGATTGCCGTTGTTTTTGGAATACAAGCGGTAGTCTAAACTAAAGAGGAGGAAGATTCTCTCACACACACATCCACACACAACTAATAAGATGTCATGGGGATTAGAACCTGAGACCTTTTGTCTGCAAGTCAAAGTCTTTTTCCACTAAACTTGACTCTGTTGACAACTGATTGCGGTTTTAACTCTATTGGAATTGCTTCTACAAAAAATACTTTTGCTCACAACTTCTTTTGTTAGAAACGATTTTCTTGCAAATGGTTTCTTGCTCAAGTGGTTAAGAGTATTTACCAATGCATCCAAGTTTCATAAAAAAGAAGCGGTTTTCTTAAAAGAACACTGAAATTTTTGTTAAAACCACTTTCCAATTTTTTTGTACTACCACAAACGAAAATAATAAAAAGAGAAGTTCGTCATATGCAATGCATGTTAATCCTGTTTTTTCAAAATATTTTAATAGTTGAAATGATAAACTCCCGTTTGATTGAAGTTGAAGGAGAAAAGAGAAAAGGTTATCTTTCATGCTGGAATGAAAATGCTAAGAATATTTTAGAGAGATGATGCTTGTTTGACTTTAGGTTGATGTAGGGTGTTGCGACATTATCCTTCCATCTTCTTCATATTGTTTTATATATGAAACCAACATAGACAGGTTCTTGTTACAAAAATAATTATCAATTGTTTTGTACATATCATGTTTTTTTATGTTTGATTTTGGGTCTCGGGCTTTTAGGCCCGCCCCTTTCTTCGGTTTCAGCCCTCTCTTCCTGTTTTGGGCCGGCTTTTGAGCATTTTCAATGGTGTTACGCTTATTCCACTACACTTACGGGCGAGAGAGTTCGATTCTCACTCCCTTTTTCATGAATTTGAAATAAAAGCGTCTTCTTATCGTTGGATGTTGAGCAAGGATTCAGTAATATGACATGAATGTGCTTTCAACTTTCATACGAATTGTGGGGTTTAGACTTTCAATATGATTCAGTCACAATTTTATTGCCATGCCATAATAGCATGCGTTTCTGATTGAACTTTTAAAGACTTTGGACAGACCACAAGAAAAAAGGTTATGGGCTGTCTTTAACATCAAAATTAATGTATCGGTGCATGCCGTTCCCTCCACCAGGTTACTTGTGGAAGGGTGTGGGTGGACAAGCTCTTATAGAACTGATCAAGGTTTGTTTACCAAGCAAGCAATTTATGCTCTCATGGTATTTGGTGCATATAGTCTTCTGCGTACATATTTAAGATAGTGCATAGAAAAAGGAAAAAAAGGGTTGAATTCTTGCTCTTAGATATCAGTTTCAAACTCCAAAGCCTACAGTTTTTATCTGCTTTGCTTCATCTTATAGTATTTGGCATTTTAGATTTTTGTTTTTACATCCCATGTTCTCATCTCTTTCGCTTGATATTCTTCTTTACTTTTGATCTCATATTTTCTTATAATGCTGGTTATTCTCATGTTCTGAAGCTGAACAGAGGAAAGGTGGAGGCTGATAAGGAAGGAAAGAAGGAAAAGATGAGGAGGAGGAAAGAGAAGAGGAAGAGAAAGGAAAATGTAGAGATTAAGCAGAAAAGGCCAAATCTGCAGGATAAGGGGCACAAGATTGATGGAGAGAAGAAAGTTCAAGAAACAACTGACAGTAAAATAAGAAAAGATAATCTCACTGGAGAGGTCAAGCAGCCCAAGAAATTTGAGGGGAAACATGACTCTTCTGGAAGCTTCTGTGCTTGTTGGGTTTGCTCCCTTCATGCAGACATTGATCTTCTCTTGCCATGTCTTTTTCAACTGAAAAAATGCCTTGATCAAGTGCTATATAGAAAACCAGTTTGTTCAACTCCCACACAGACACACACTGCTGTGCAAGAGAAGTTTAAGAAAACTTCTATAGCTGGTGAGAAGGCTGAAGCTGTTCTTGTACCCAGCTTCTCTCAGAATGGTTCTCTGCAGAAAGAATCACGATTTAAAGAGTTGGTTTTGAATTGGGTTCCTCCTCCCTTGGAGAATCTAAGCAGTGAATTTAATGATCAAGATCAACAGTGGCTCTATGATGGAGTGTCACTCAGGAATGACACAAAAAAGAAAATTGAAGCTATCAATGATCATTTGTGCTATCCATTTACAACGCTATTTTAGGAATGAGTGTGAGAAACTCATGCCATTTTTAAGCCAGTTTGTTTTAGTGTAATCGGATCGAAGTAAACTTAACCCTGAATTCAGATATCTGATTTCTTTTACAATTGGACTTTCCTTAATGTGGTAATTACTTGCAGATTGATATTTTTAAGATTTTGATCATTTGAGCAGAAGCCATTTATGCAGAACCATGTAGATCATTGGCACTATAACCCAATTTAAAACTGTTATTTTTATTCATACCTGTGTGGAGGAGATATGTTCACCTCCATCTGGCAAGATAAACCATATGCTGAAAACTGAGTTTCCCACAAGTTATAGATTCCATCTCATTCTGTGATTATGTTGAAAAACCGAGTTTCTGACAAGCTAACAAGCTACAGATTTCCATCCTTTTCACACTATCACTTCTAGATTTTATTTACATCTACAATCCACCCCACCATTGGGTGCACATATTTTTCTTCCCCTACGCTGTACAGATGGTAATTTCATGTCTGCACAAGTATGTGACAAACTTACAAAACAAGAGAAAAAGAATGCAAGATAGTATAAAAGAAGCTAGTCAAAGCTTGATGATCTGCTCCACCTTCCTTTCAAATATTCTTCCCAAGAAACGCTGTTGCTCCGCTCCACACTACTGAATGATGTTGTATCATCATCGACATCAAGCAGTGCGAGACCCAAATGTGACGCCGCACATGAATTTGGATAAACTTCATCATCATCATTATCGTCCCGGATTTCTGAATCCTCCAGATCAAAAGATTGAGAGTTCACTCGCTTTTCAACATCTGAATCCCCTTTCAAGAGCTTCAGAATCTGAGGAAAAGAAGAGCATGAAACTTGGAATTCATTTACAGTAATACTAACAGAAACCTATTGCCTATAATATTACTAAGAATATGACATTTTCATACCGCACTCATTTTAGGACGAAGCCGAGCTGAGCGTGTGATGCAGTGTTTTGCTGCATGAACCATTCTCAGCACCTGAACCTCATCAAACTTTCCACCCAAACTTGGATCCAGTATGTCTTTTACATCCCCTCTATCTATTTTAGGCTTTGCCTGAGATGTAATTCAATGTAATTTATCCAAAATAGTTACAAGGAGTCAAATAAAAACAATCAAAATATGGAGGTGGCTCTTACCCACATGACCAAGCTTTCTTGTTCCTTGGGAGTCTCAGAGCCAATTGGTTTTCTTCCTGATAATAATTCAAGCAGGACCACACCAAAGGCATAGACATCAATCTTGTCACTGATCTTTCCATACATGAAATATTCAGGAGCAAGATAACCAAATGTTCCAACCACATCACATTCAGTCAGAAAAGATGTAGTTGTTGGTCCCCATATTGCAAGGCCAAAATCAGATAACTGTCACATAGATGCAAGCAATTAGCCAATGTCATAAGGTTGTGATCATGTTTTAAACACCATTTGGTTAACCAGTACCTGTGGTACAAACTCTTTGGTGAGAAGAATGTTTGAAGACTTGACATCTCTGTGAATAACCGGTGGAGAACATTCGTTGTGCAGGTAATTGAGGGATTCAGCAATCCCAACAGCAACATTAAATCTGACTTCCCACGGCAATACGGATTTGCCTATGTTCTTGCCTGCATCACCTTTCATTTTGAAATCAACATGGTTTATGACAATTTTTACCAAGCAAATGAAAGAGGACTAGAGTAGTTAAACTTTACTATGTAAATTTCCCTCTAAGCTTCCTTTAGGCAAGAAATCATAAACAGAGATTAGAACATTGTCTTCAATGCAGAAACCAAGCAGAGGCAAAATGTGTTCGTGCTTCAACGAGGAGACGATATCAACTTCATGGGCAAAATCCGTCCATGCTTCTTTGGATGACTTCATAAGCTTTACTGCCACTTGCTTGCCATCTGCAAGAGTTCCCTTGAACACAAGGTTGCATCCTCCTTTCCCAATAAGATTTTCTGCTAGAAGAAGAGGAAGTTAGATAGAGAGATACTCAAAAGTCTAAATAGAGAGACGGGAAGTTAAAGAAAAGGCACTCTCAGGAGAAAGTATATGTTAAAAACCTGAGGAGAATTGAGAAGTGGAAGTTTTCAGAACATCATGACTGAACCATCTGCAACCAGATGAGTTTGTTTCCAGGAGACGCTTTAACTTTTCTGGTAGCTCATCCAAACCAGAACAACTATCCTTGATAACCTCATCAACAATGTCACTAATACCTCTTTCAAAAGGATTTTCTTTGATAGTTGAACATTGAGGAGACTGCTGTGGAGAACGGTCCGGTAAGCTCATCACCCATTGCACCACAGACATGTCTCTTGGGGCTGGGAATTGTGGATTCGCAGAAGTCGCTCTGCAGAGTAGGGGCCAGCCAAGGCTCTTAACCACATGCTCTCCTGCACCAAGTGAAGTTGATCTACAAGGGACTCTCTTGTGTTCGTTCTTCAAGTCTTCACTACTATGCTTTGAACCATCTTGGGAGCTCTGAGCCATATCAGAAAATGATTTCACAGTTTCTGTATCTTCCTCAAAGTCACCAAACTCAGATGAGCTTCCTTTAGAAGTGAGATTTTCAATCTGAGAAAGACTTGGCCTTGGGTCACCTGTGAAACCTACCATAACCGAAACACAATTTAGTATTCATGAGAGACCTACTGGTGGGGTAATTTCTTGGACTTAAAACACCAACCTGGTAGTTGATTACTGGTGCACCTTCTGAACACAATTTTCCCATTGTGGATGCCCACAACATCAGTGGTTGGTGGCAATTTCTTTGCACAGAATTTCGCCGTAGAATCCCAACCCCTGCAAATGAATCCTGCTTAGAGTAATCAGAAAAGAATCACATACATTAAAACCAATGCGAGTTTTCCTTCAGTTCCAAACTCTCTCCCTTACCCAAGAGCGTTTGGCTTGCTTGTGCCTACAACTATGGCCAGAGTAGCATGGTTCTTTGCCTCTCTAACTAGAGCCTTTTGGATTGACCTTCCTGTCAAGACCTGAGTGGTGAGGTCTACCTGAAATTTTAAGTATGACAGTCCATAATCAATCTCAAATTTTGCAACATATGAAATAGTGCAAGAGTTATGAACAAGGATTAAGAAGTATGAACCTTTTTCATATCACATAGCCCCTCATAACCCTCTAGGTATCCATCCAATATCGTCTTGGCTTTCGAGGCGAAATCTGTACTCATTAACATAACACATAATCTTATTTAATGACATGTTACGTTGTCAGACTCTCAATCGGAACTACACATATAAAAAAGATTTACCTAATCGATAGGTTCAGATTGACAGAAACATAACATTTTATTTACGAGTATAACAAAGGAACACATATGCAAATGAAACTATATCTGCAGGCATTACCAGAACTTCGACAGACATGAACTGCAATGACGCAATCTCCGGGTTCAGCGACTTTCACCAGAGCCCAGCCGAGCAGCTCTCTGCTCTGGCTATCAATTGGAATCCCAACCAACACAACATTCTTCTTCTTCTTCTTCTTCTTCTTTATAAGATCCTTGAACACCTCCTCAAGTATCATTGTGTTCTTATGTTTATGCCTCTGATAAAATCTCTCTCTCCCCCTCTTTCTCTCTCTATCACAATCTCAAAATTTCTATAAACGTTTTCTGGCTTCCAAACTTCCCACTTCTTGAATTTAACATTTCAACCCCTGCAACAACAAAAAAGCCACCATGGTAACTCAGTCCAGAAGAAACCAGAAAAACCAATGTCCCATTACAACATAACATTTCCGGAGCTGCCAGTTGTGGATATAAATGGTGCCCATCAACGCATAGAATCCCATTAAAATATTGCTGATTTATAAAATTCAAACAAAACCCATTTGAAAATTAAAGTCCTTTCATATAAAAAAAAGGAAGAAAACCATGAAAAGAAAGCAGAATCAAGAAGAAGATAAACGTGACCAGACAAAATAACACGTACCTAAAAAATCTTGTACCCACTCGTGGCTAAATCCCAACATGCTGTTTTAAAAACCAATGCCCCCAAGTAGCATCAGCAGCCTACCTACTGCAACTAAATTCAACACCCAGAATTCAAAATAACTATTAACAAAAAGCCAAAAACAAAAAAAAAAAAAAAAAAAAAAAAAAAAAAAAAAAAAAAAAAGCTATAGATAGGATGCTTTTTAAAAACAAACACAAAAATTCTGAAAAAGGAAAACAAGAACAAAAAAAATGCTGGGTTTTGGGAATTGTGTCGGCGAGAGAGTGAATTCCCGCCAAAAGTGGACAAATTTTTCCTTTCTTTTTTTTTTTTTATTTGTTTTGATTTTTGGTTTTGGGTTGGCTGGCGTTGTTTGTGAAAGTAGAAAATTGAAGAGCTTATTTGAGGCCGTTAAAAAGCAGCAGTTTTCGCGGGAAATCCCAGAAATGCGACAAAAGAGGACATGCGGGCTTCAACCAGTTTTCTCGGATTAACGAAAACAGGAGGCTGTAGACGGCCGTTGCCGTACCACTTATTATTTAAATTCAACTAATCATAATTAAATAATTAATTATTGACCAAGAAAAAAAATAATTAATTAATTGACACAAATAAAGTAAATAAACGACTGCTGAGCAAAGAAGAAATTTCACCCAAAAAAAAACATGGAGTGATGGCAGTCACATCAAACATTTTGGAGGATGTTTATCATGTTACTGTTGCAGGAAAATTATTGGCGTATTTATTTTCAATTGGGTTTGTTCCTAATAAATCCTAAATTAGCTTTGGTCCTGTCTATGAGTTAAATGCAATAGTCTTTTTGAGATTGAATTAATTAGTGGTCTATTTTTTAGATTAAGACTTTGTAGAATTGAAAGTAGCTGGTATTAATGAAATTACAAGATGAAACTCAATATTTTTATTTTTATTTTTATACAAGCGATAATCTACTTTAAACTAATCTTACGTGGGGAGAGATTTGAACTCAAGTGTAGAGTGAGGAGCACATCGGCTCTAGCTAACTTAACTAAGCTCATATCTAGAGAAACACTTGTGTGAAATGGAGATAACACTTTTTTACTATTCTTGGCCAATCACGATGTGTCACGCATTATAACTTTTTCACTTGGCATAGATTAATTGACCGGATATAACAAAATAGTGATATCTCTATTTCATATAAGTTTTTCTATTAGATTTGCCAGTATTTCCTTTTAGTCAAAAAAACTCATTTTTCAACTCATTCTAGTCACTTAAAACACTTAATTTAATCGATATGAGCTTTAGTCGAAAGAAAAAAAAAAGAAATTAGTCAGTATTTTGACAGGAAAAGTTTTATTCCGTGTTTGAATGGAATTAGAGTAGGGTGGATTGGAAAAATTCATAGGTCTTCTAAGCTATATTCTCTCTTCCTCTTTTTGTTCGAAGCTATATTCTCTTTGTTCTTGTTTCTAAAAGGCCACCTGCATTTGAAAGTATCCCGTGTGGATGCCTTTTTTTTTTTCTGCTAATTTGATTGTTCCGATGTCTGCTTCATCCACGTGTCCCCACATCTTTTCAGAATCTACCGACAAAAGGATGGTAGGGCAACACATGGAACATAAGTAAATGTATGACCCATTGACATGAGATGAGGGCAATCCATCCAATCAACAATTATAGAATCAACTTTTCTATCTTTTTGGACCAAATTTTATGTTTACCACTTGATGGAAGGTGTGATACATTGTATGTATAATGTGTCACGATGCTATCATAATAACCGATCACGTAATACGTACGTTACACTAAATAAAAAAGTTGGTATATACTTAATCTTTTTCTTAAATTAAATTACACAAACACAAGATTATATTCTAAAGTACGTACCATTTGCGTTTTGGTGTCATATATTTATCATCATTTTTTTTGCAGTTTTTTTATGTTCGGAATAAGTCACAGAAACTCTTTAAGTTTTCAGTGTAGTTTTCACCTCTCCTTTTGTGAGAGCTTTTCATCTATTCTTTACGAGAGTTTTATTTGTATTGTTACGGCTTGGGTTTTTCAAGCTTTATCTCTTTTTGATTCTTCTGAGTTTGCAATCTTAATTGAGATGTCTATACTAGAGTTTCTTCGATAATTCGTTATCGTTAGTGAAGACACACTAAATTGTCTTAATTTTGATGTTAGACCGTTCTGTTATTGTAATTGCCCTTTGTGACTATTTTGTATTGGCCCTTTTATGGCTAGTAGCTTTTTTTAACTAAATTATGAATGCAATCTTAGAATTTCTCAATAACAAAAAAAAGTATGTACCACTCAAGTAGTTATTGTAATTACCATGTTATGCTCAAATCAAAATTTATATAAAGTAGCTACAAATATCGTACACATCACACGCATTATACTTCTAAACATGATACTGAACTTTTAATCATGACCAACTACTATATCAAAAGTTATTGAAACTATAAACTTACCAATTTTCTTTACATATCATATTTCTATATCGTACAATATATAATTTTTTTATTTTTTATTTGAAAATTACTAAATTTAAATAACATAAAATAAAAAAGTTGCATCCACAAAGTCAAATGCAAAAATCAAACACATTATTCGACTATATTTTGAATTGAAATTGGTTCGCTAAATTACATTAGGAAACTGTGTAACAACTTCTAAACTTATTTATTTGGAAGTGGATCGTCCTAAACCCACTTGGGCAAAAGCTTATGATAATTAAGCTCGTAATTAATAAATTAAGTAGGGTTTCCACTTTCCACCACGTTTTATTGGTCTAACAAAGGGAGCTAACTGCTCTTCCCAATGGACCATGGTGCCCCATCACCATTTTTTGGAGCCATGCCAAGAAATTATTTGTTAGGAGAATATATGGTAGGTCAAGAAGATATATAAACCCTACTAACCTTCTTTTCTATAATAATAATATCATCCCAACAAAAGAACAACTAACCACGAAAATGATAAACACGTACGCTCGCACATAATCAAACTCTTCGTTCTGGCATGAATGACATAATTTAATTTTGATTTTGAATATGATTCATTTGAATTCCGTGGAAAATAATGGGAATTCATGCATGCATTAATCAATACACGTTTATATTAATATGCATTGCTTGTAACATTATTATTTATATTGTATATAGTTGTTACATATGAGTATTGATTGAATTATAATTATATTAGAAAAACCTATATATTATGGACCCTGGTAGCCCTCTGAGATTGGATTGGTAAGTGAGAAAGGGATTTGCAAAAGAAGAATGACGACTTTGATTCCTAACCGAATGGATAATGACGGAAAATTATATATTAATTAAGATTAACTATTATTAAGACTAAGATCATAGCAGAATGGGCCCATTTCTGTGGGTATTTCTTTCAATGGGCTTTTGTTTGGGCCGAAGCCCAATTATTGCAATGGGTCCAATGGGCTTTGCTTATGACCCGAAAAACGCCTTCGAGTCTCACTGACGATAATCAACATGCGATTAAATTTAACACAAAAGTTCAATCATAATTATGAACATTCTTCCAACCAAGAAAACAACAGTAATGTTGAAGTGTAGCTTCAAAAACTTGGCAGCTATAATATTCATTTTCGAGCAAAGGAGCTCAAATTACAATTTGGGGGACTCAATTCAATATATATAAGACAAGTTATAGTAATAGAGAAGCTGGATATATATTTTTTAAACAAGATTAATTAGGGTCTTAATTAATTAATTAGCCCATGGCATACTTCTGGGTCCAGCTCCGAGCTGTTGACTCATATTTGACTTTGTCAGTCTTGCACATATGAGCAATTTCCGGAACAAGAGGGTCATCAGGGTTCGGGTCGGTCAGAAGTGAACATATCGACAGTAAAACCTGCATGTCACAAAAACAATAATATTAGAGACACTAACTAACCCATAAGACCCGTTCACGTGTAACTCCTTCATGTAAGGTCAATTAAACCGACTCTATTTTGAAATTCTTGATCCGTCCCTGACTCAGAACACATAAAACGTGTCGATGGTATAAGTTTCATGTATGTTAGGGTCTAATGCCACCTAAAACTCATATGTGTCACCTTGGATATGGTGAGTGCTGGACTCCATTGCTCCTTGAGAATGTCCAAACAGATATTGCCATTGCTGTTTATATTTGGATGGAACACTTTGGTCCTGAAGGCAACCTGCAAAAGATTTATTTATTGTATCCCACAGCAAAGCATCAGAATATATTTGTATGGCAAAATGATGCAAGATTGTTAACAGAATTTGGTGATGGATTTGTTGTATATACCTTTGGAGGTTTGAAAGGATAATCAGGTGGAAAATGGATGGTTACAAGGAACACACCCCCTGAATAGGGACTGTCATTTGGAGCAATGATTGTTGCTTGCCAATGGAACATGTCCTCAGCCACAGGACCTGCAAAAAGGAAAAAACACCATAAGAAATTACATATATATATATATATATATATCCATCTTCCAAGCAATAAGACCTCTGTTTTTCAGTTCTTTTACCTGCACTGCATGAAGTTGGTGGATCTCTCTGCAAGTCCTTGAGCTCCTTCAATATTCTCTTTGAGGCCATTGAAGCAGTTTCAAAGATGAAGCTTCCTGGTTTTGAGTAAGAACTTGAACAGAAGGATGAAGGATGGATTAATTTGCAAAAGAATTACAATCTATTGACACCCTGAAAAATGGTAGGTTGGGGTGTCGGTGTATTTAATGAAGGGTGAGAAGGAGAGGTTCATGAATTCTTGTGGGCGGATGAAAGTGGGAACAGAATCAGTTCCAGAACAAAGTTGAAAGCAAAAGAATCAAGAGACTCAGAAAACAAAAATTCAAAGATTATCTGCTGCCACAATCTCTCTATATCATAAATAAGCAGCTGCTGACCAAACAAAATTCTAATTGTTTTGTTATGCAGAAATTGATGCCACAATCTCTTCATAACAAGTACTGAAGGTCATCGATTCTAATTGTGAGGGCATGCTTTACTTACTTTAAGTAGAAGGCTAAGTTTTTTAGGGAAAAGATCTTTAGGCCAATTATATGCCATGAGAACAACTCTTACCACCCAAGAGAAAAAGATATTCGTGCTTGGCTCAAATAGCTCAGTTCTTGAGAATCTGGGACAATAGTGAAGTTGATGAGTGGTGGGGATGCATAAGAAGATCTAGAAAATATTCTCAAACGAAATACAAACACAGTTTAGCCGTAGCTTATAAGGACCTTGATAGCCCCACTTCCTTTGCCTTGATTCTGCTTTCTGTTTTTCCTTTTTCTTTCTAGTCTCTTCATTCAATCATGTGTCACCATTCTTGGACTGGATAATTTTCCTTTCAAACCAGTCACATATATGCCTATTCAAGATTCAGGTGCAGACATTCGTACTGTGAACTATGAGAGGCCGGTCAGCTGGCAATATGGTCATTTGTCAGGCCTCTCACAGTCCGCGATCCTGATAATAGAGGATGTCAAACTGTCTAACATTCAAGATTGTATGTCATGAAAATATAACCATCTATATATATTCTTGAAATTTGAAGTGTACTAAATCAGGTTACAAGACGTGGATTTTATACGGCTTAAAAAGCAAAATATCAGTACTATATAGAGACAACACATTAGGGAAATCAAACCCAAAGAGGAGGGTTCAGCATGTTAACAAACACGTAATGCAAAGCATTAATATACAAATCAAATCAGAACACTGCCCAGACAGCATAAACAAAGAACTTGATGCATAAAGAGAGCTCCTACATCTGTCAGTCGAAACTACGATGCCCAGCTTGCTGCTTCCTCCAGACGGAAAAATATAACAGGGACTGAAGAGCATTAATGGATAACTGACTAATTAGTCACAGTTTCTTCCCAACGCTATTCTTTCCATGCTCACAATATAGAACAGGCCTTCTGTGCCTTTCTCTTCTTTTTCTTCTTCTGTTTTGGTGGCTGGAGAACCACTTTAATGGCTGCGTCAAAGACTGCTTTCACATTCTGCATTCACAAGGGGTATTTAACATAAACATGGTCATTAGTGTGAGATCATGGCGTGCTTCCCCTGTAGGTATCAAGTGATTTGAATTGAAGTTACAAACCTGCTGTGTTTTTGAACTACACTCGATGTAAACCGGAGCCCCAATCAGCTTCTTTAGTTCCTCTCCCTTCAAAAAGAACCCCCAAAATAAAAGGAATGTAGAAAATCAGGTCTTAATCCCATTAGTTGGTCTGAGTTTGTGGAATAATTTTTCTATATAACAAGAATAGTTAAGAAAAGAAATTGTGACTATAACTCAGGTTGCAGTAGAAAATACCTGGGCTGTGGTAATCGGCACTGCACCAGGGTGATCTACAAAGAATTGCCTATCATCCCGAAGATCTATAAGAAGAAAATTTAGCAGTCATGAGAAGCGAAGCACCAATAATGGGCAAGATAAAGATTATGTCCAGTAAGATACTGCAATACAACATGATATGGACTAAGAGTACATGTGATCACCACTGCAACACAGAATCAGATATGATCCGATCAGAAGATACTGATTATGCCTCTGTTAATCTCTATAGCAGAGAGATCTCTTCATTTCAAAATGCACATGTAAATGTAGCAGCATATGTACATGATTACATTTTATCATATATAAATGCTGATCTGCAAGGGATTTACAAAGAGCACCTCCTGACAAAAACTTCAATGCCAATAAAATTGAACAGGTGGTCAGTATAGACCAAAAGATCTGTGTGTGTGTGTGTGTGTGGTGTGTGTGTGAGAGAGAGAGAGAGAGAGAGAGAGAGAGAGAGAGAGAGAGAGTTACAAGTGTTCATCAAAATGAAAACTTGCAACCTTTACCAAGAATTTACCATTGAGATTCTCAAAAAGCTAATAGTAAATTCAGATTACATGAGAAAGCAACCCAGAAGGTGTACAAAAAACAGAAACAGACAACACAAAAGCTGCACTTGAACCATTTGTGAACCATTTGTATCTCAAAACAATTATACTTAAATGGCACCCCCAGAATTCTTAGGTTAGCATAAGCAGGCAAAGCTAATAGCCAAGGAAAGAACTTCATAGGGAAATCAAAAGTGCTACATAATATCTCAATTAAGGTTGAATCAACTGATATTTATCACGAGTAGTGTAATAGGAAACAAAGGAAAGCAGGGGAGTAGAGATCTAACCAAGCTTAGTTCCAACAAGAATAATTGGAACACCAGGTGCATAATGCCTCAATTCAGGAACCCACTAAACATTGAAATGGGCAAAAAAAAAAACCTCATCAGCAAACTTAGACATCAAACAATAGTTGAAGAAACTTGGGGAAAGAAAAGAATTAACTCTGAGGATAGTGTGAGTCTTACTTTCTTGGCAATATTTTCATAGCTGGCCTTACTTATGAGAGAGAATGCAAGTAGGAAGACATCTGCCCCACGGTAGCTCAGTGGTCTTAATCTATTGTAATCTTCCTGTCCTGTTCCATAATTTTAAACATCAGGCCCAAGCTTTAGAAAAAGACAAAACTATGAAGAATTTTTCAGATTTGAACTAACCAGCAGTATCCCACAACCCCAAATTAACAGTGCTCCCGTCCACAACCACATTTGCACTGAAATTGTCAAACACAGTTGGCACATAATCCTGCTCCCCAACATATTGCAAGCAAAAACAGAAAATCATAATCATCCTCTAGAAAATTCAATCTCATACAGAAAGAAAAATGCGAAAAGCAAAATTTTGAATCTTAATAATCACATCAATGCAAAATATAGATGCGAATATTCTCAAATTTACATACATGCTATACTTTTTTATATCACACAAAGGACCTTACACCGAACAGTCTTCTAGTCTATTGAACAGGTATAATGCAGAAAGGTTTTTACTAAGTGATTCTGATCAATCAAGGAAATATGTACGCAGAGCTACAGAAGCCTCTACAAAAGAAAGAAAAATAAACAAAAAGTAAGAGAAAACTGTAGACATGAAATTTTTCTGAGCTTAGTATTCAACTTAGTTACTAGGCTTAATCCAGAGATATGATTCAACACAGGTTCAGGAATGACAAATTATAGAAAGGGTCAACGTCACTGAACAAAACCAAGAAAACCCTCTTAATAAATTCTGCACCACAACAAAGTGAACAAAATAAAGGGCTCTGATCAGCTCAATTCAAACATAAAGACTCAAACTTGATCGAAATTTTAAGATTTCTTCACTATATTATACATACTAAACAGGGTAAATTGAAAATGTTAAAAAGAATGACCTACAACAAATAAAAGCCCTGATCATGCTAAAACCGAAATTCGAATTCTATGGGAGTCAAATTTCATGTGATTTCCTGATTTTGCTTCTGAACACCCAAATGAGGAAACAGAATAGAAAAAAACAAAGCTTTGCTTTCTTCATCCCACGTTTTCTTGAAAACCAAACAAAAGCAAGTAAATTGTGCTCAAGAATCTTGCAGTAACCCGACATTGAAGAACCGAACTACCCTACCAGGCTCAGCTAAGCAACCCAACTAAAGACAAACCTCAAAGACTTAAACTTTCTCTCTGCAATCAAACAAAACAAGAAGAAAAGAAAGAAGAGCCCTTTACCGTAGGGAAAGTGTTGCTGGTGTAGGAGATGAGCATGCAAGTCTTGCCCACCGCTCCGTCCCCAACTGTGACACACTTTATGAACCTGGAGGCACTCATTTCCTCCCAACTCTGTCCCTTCCTTCTTCAACTTATGCTTCTACAAAAACCCTAATTCAGATTATAGCAGAGGTTTCTTAACCCCCACCACAACCCAGTTTAGTTGAGAGACACAGAAAGAGAGAGAGAGGAGAAAAAAGAGAGAGATTTGGGAAGGCAAAGATGAAGGGTGCTGGGCCTAAAGAGCCAGCTCTTGCCAGCTATAATAATAGTATGATATTAATGTGTTACTGTGTACCTCAAAGACTCAATCCCAGGCCCCATTTCAAGTTTTCAACCTTTCTTTCTATCTCAGTAAACTCCACCAACCAAAACAACCAATTTGTCCCCTTGGGCATTCTTTTATATTTCAAAAGATCCAAAAGAAAATCACAAGATCACAGGCATTTGTCTTTTATTTTATGTTTTTTTACTGTCATTGACTCATTGGGAAGAAGTTTACTTATTGGGGAAACAAAGGAATATTAGGCTATTAATTTGGTGGCATGTAGTTATGAAGGCTGAACCTGATTTATTCTGTGTTTCTTATTGTGGGGGTGTCAATTGTCAAACGAGTTTGCATGTGGTGTGGGGTTGTGAAACATAAAAGCTCTCTCTGTTCAGTGCTGCATTCCTAAATTGGCAATTCCCCTTCTTCCATTTCTCTGTTTCTTTTCCTTTTCTGCTTTTCAAGAATATGTCAAAATAATTTTATATTCTCAACCATATATGTAGAGAACATCTAGCATTTGATTTTGTGGCAGTTGTTTTATTAGTTAAAGGATGTTTCAAGTTCGAACTCACAAAAATACGATAATAAGTATGTCGATATCTAGTTGTGATTTGCTGTTTACTATATTCAAAAGTCAACCAACGTTTTACTTTTAGCTAAGCTAGGTGCATTTTGGGTATTACTGCAGCTTCCATTGGGACCTAAATTCTATAATATTGTACAAATAAAAAACTTAGAAATGCTCAATGCCTTTGTTTTCAAACTTGAACTTGGTAGTTAACCTAATAGATTAAATAAATCATAGTTTTATGCATCATTTTAGGCACGCATTACAGCCCCAAGAAACAGCACCAAAAACTGATACAAAGTGTGAGGTTGGTTACATAATTAAAGAAGGTGAATAAGATGGATGTAAAACCCATATTAGGGTAGATGCTGACAAGTTTTATGGCTGAATTTGCAATGTTAAATTTTCTTTTGAACATTTTGCTTTCTTCTGAAGCAAATCAATGGAAAATCATAATATGGGGTCCTAGGGTTCCTTCGCTTTCAAGCTTACCCGACATAATGTGTACTATTACGGACCAAAAAGAGAAAAATAAAACCAAGTAGAAGGTTAAAAAAAGGGACTTGACTAGTTGACTTGGTTAGGATGGTCCTTGGCTTGGCTTTCAGTTTATTGACCCATCATGCTACTCTGCAACCACGCAATTCTTTAAATAAAAATGGAGGTGGTTGAACCGTTAATGGCCAGTCCACCCACCACATCCTACTTATTGGAAGACAAATTATAAGATATATAAATATATGGATTTTCTCCTGTGCTGACGCTGAACATTATTATTATGCGGACACTATATATTTTCTTTATGTTTATAATGACGTTCGCACGGTAATAATGCCAGGAGGTTACGGGAGAAGAAGCATAATTTAATAAAAATTAATAAAATATATATATAGCATAGTTTTAGGAGGAAAAAAAATGAGATTAGAAATATTTTGGTTGTGGTGCAGTCTATTAGTTGCAGGCCCTGTCATGGCATCTCATAGATTAAAAGCTCATTTTGAGAAGGAATTAACACAACGTGGGGGGAGGGTTAAGAAGTAGATGATCATTCTTTATCAATGGTGTAATTAATTAATAAAATTAAAATGCATGTTCAAGGGTGGGCATTTTCCATGATTTGAATTTTGAAAACTTGAAGGAGGATTGATCACCTGCTACACAATAAACTAATTTGCTTTCTTTCAAAGTTTTGTTTTGTAGTTAGTTGGTTCTGTCTCTAATTTTTCTATGTTATTCTGTTTGTTGTTTTGGTATGTATTTTCAAAATTAAGGCACATTCAAGCATACTTGTTGGGTCAAAACTTGGAATTTAAAGGAAAAAAGAAAAAAGAAATCTTTGCCAAACCCTTTGGGTTCAGTCTCTATCAATTTAAGTGAAGGAAGATGTTGTCTTTATTGATAATCTTTAGGAAAAAGGAGAAAGAATCTTTGCTAAATATACTTTAATAATAAAAACTCTGGAAAATCCCAATTACCTAATTATTTATGCCTACAAAATTAATGTGGGAAATCAATACAAAATTGAGTAGCACATGGGGAGATCTACTCCATAAGTTCATGTGCATGAATGACCATCCCTCCAACTCCTATCAAATCAACATCTTTACATCTGGCTCATTGTCAAGATACCTTGGTCCCCTACCCATAATTAAGACCATAATCAATTTTATATAACTTGATTGTGTACTTTTTTTGTAAAAAATAAATACAAGTGAAAGTTTAAATTATAAACAAAAGACGGGTGTCTCACACATACTATTAAGGTATCATGAGAATTTAAATATGAAATCACTAGTCTATAAGTTAAAATCCTTTTTTTAACTGAACTAGACCTCATTGGCCATATCCAAGCAAATAACACATAATTAATGTTCCAGTTTTCTAGCATGTGCTGACCTAAAGCTTGGCTCATAGCTCTAACAATAGAGATTGATAGTCAAACAACGTGCTTGGAATTGTGACCCTTATGACATTTAATGTGTGAGAAATGATTGTGATGTATAAGAATTTTTTTTTAAAAACAAACAATAAAAGAATCGAACATAGGACATCAAACGGGTTTAGGTTAATATCTTATATTGAAATTGTTGGAGACCCTTACAAGTACCTATGGTTTGAAAGAAGGTGGAGAAATACCATTACTAGAGGCTTTAGCAATGTTTCTTATCACATTAGGTCATGGCTTTACTAATAGAATGGTACAAGAAAGGTTCCAGCATTCAGGGGATACTGTGTCAAGGTGGTTTGGGATAATATTAGAAGCTATATCTCGAATGGCTACTGATCTCATAAGTCCTAGTGATCCTGAATTCAAAAGAGTTCCAAAGAAAATTAAAGATGATAATCGATATTGGCCATACTTTAAAGATTGCATTGGGGCAATTGATGGAACACATGTACCAGTTGTTGTGCCTAGAGAAAGGCAAGTACCTTATATTGGTAGAAAAAGGCATTACTACCCAAAATATCATGGCTGTATGTGATTTTAACATGTGCTTTACATTTGCTTGGGCTGGATGGGAGGGTGCTGCTCACGATGCACGTATATTTATGGAGGCCTTAAGAATACCGACACTGAAATTTCCACATCCACCTACTGGTTAGTAATCAAAATGTCATCAAGTTCAATATTTTCCTTTACTATTTCGCCTTGGATATGTTTCTTATATCAAATATGGCAAATAATACTAATATTGTTATTGATTCACATGTATAGGTAAATATTATCTGGTTGATGCTGGCTATCCACAAATGAAAGGATATTTAGGCCCTTATAGGGGTGAGCGATATCATCTTCCGGATTTCCGACGAGGAAGCCAACCAAGAGGGAAAAAAGAAATCTTCAATCACAGACATTCATCTCTAAGATGCACAATTGAAAGAACATTTGGTGTTTGGAAAAACCGATGGAGAATGGTACGTCAAATTCATAATTTTCCTTTGGAAAAACAAGTACAAGTCGTTATCGCTTCAATGGCTCTCCATAACTTCATAAGAATTCATTCAATGATGGATGTAGAGTTCCCAACCATATGATGATGATGAAGAGTTACTTCCCCAAACAGATGATGGAAGGACTAGTATGGAAGAGACTAATCATTTACCACTGAGCTATAAGTCTCGATTATATACGACTTTGTAGAATATGAAACTACAAATCTGGCATCAATAATATGCACTGCCCAAGCCAACACCCGTGACACAAAAGGTTGCTGTAACTAAAGATAAAATCATAAAACCAGACAAACTCTTACAAAGCAATGGATTGAGCACTCAAAGATGAGTCAGATAACTGTTGCTACTAAAAATTGAGAAACCCTGGCAACAAGCTTGTCACAAGTTCAAGTCAAAACAAAAACAAATCATTAAGAAAAAGGAAAAAAAAGAAACGTACAACAGAAGCATATACAGCTTTTCATTCCTTTCTAAAAGTTTTCAAAACTTGGGATGAAAATTTGAAAGCAAATTCATTGACTATTTCTTTTCCACCTATCTAACTAATAAGAAGAATCAGTTCTGGTTGGAAAAATGAATAAATAGAACAATTCCCTCATTAATGTTACACTAAAAAACAAAAAAGAAATGTCAGCTCACAACCTTTACAATTTTAAAGCAATTAAAAAAGTGAACGGGTCCAAAATGTATTGGCTTACAAAATTTTGGTTCACATTGACTGCTTCCAAGGCTCAGAATCCTTCATCCGAGCTTATATACTCTAATTCAATCATCTTTCCCATGCCCTCCTTTGTTTTGTCTATCAAAATTTTCTCCTTCCCAGTTTTCATTCTTTTTGAATCCATTTGTTGGTTTTTTATGACTGCAGATGGATCCATGCTTATACTAGATGGTTTCCTGAGGAACAATAAACAAATCTTCAGTAACAAGGAAAAGAACAAGTTACATTGTACAAATAAAAATATTGTAAAATAATCTTATATATGAATCACCTCTTCTCTAAACTGGAGATCGGTTTGCTTTGCATTTTTGAAGCTTTAATCGCATCTTTCGGATCTGTCTTCCCTGCATTGCAAAGGTATCTAATGAGGAAATTGCACACAACACTGCCAGCAAGAGCATAGAGGGATCATACACTTAACCTGTCATCTCAGCCAAAAACCTTATTCCTTGTGAGTGTGTATTTGTAGTCACTTTACCTGCATTGCTGTTCATATAAATCACTAATCAGACCATTTGACAGAATCCTATAAACTTACCATAAAAAAATCGCATGTCTTGTATATTGAACACCTTTTTGGATTTCTTTTCTGGTTGCACATCTTGCAAGTATAAATGTGAGAGTAATTATGTTCTCTGGTTTCTAGATGGTGATGGATTAATATAATTTACAAGATGAGAAGACGTTGTATCATTGGCAACTAAAAAGCATTGCTGAATTGCTTCATAATCAAATGGTGCTTAAATATTTTTCTTTCCTATGCTGACTATGACAAACCTTAATGCCTTCTTGAGCCCTTCCACTGACAATAGCTTCACTGGCTGCTTACGCTTGCACGCATTTGTTTTGTCAGATAGAGGATCAACCATAAAAATCCCTTCTCTACTGTGAGGAGTCCGAAATGCTGTTCGCAAGTTCCTGGTAGCGTTAAAAAAATATGCATAATCAAATGAAATATACCACCAAGTTAAATAAACTAAAACATATTATACAAAGGGGGTCATTTCATAACACAAATGTGAAGTCTAGATTAAAGACAACCAGATCATGCAAAGCATTCATCACTTACCCTCCATTGAGCTCAGTTCGCATTGTCATCGTGGAATATTTCTGTGATTCTTTCTGAAGAAATTAGAGATACAGGAAATATTAATAAGTTTGCCTTGAAGACGGATCAGGCAAGCAAAGACTAATGCTTTAAATTCACATGCTTACCGATTTATGAAATTTACAATATATTCCACGGCGTCTGAGATAACATGAGGAACCAATGTTAAAAATATTAAGAAATAAATGGTACAAAACTACTGCAACTGTAGACGTACATAATGATACAAAAGAATCTCAAAACTTTATTGGTTGGCAAAACCATAGAAAGTGCTTAAAGACACCATACTAGATTGTGGTCAGATGGATCGGCAAAAGATTATTTTTCACTTGGTTTAGGTATTGGTTTCTGGTTAAAGAGCATCTATATGGTGCAACTTATTACGCAAATATCTACAAAATTCTATATGAAAGCACTGATGTGTATGTATAGATGTTTATCCAGTGCCCTTGACTAGGGTTAAAGATGATTCATAAACCTCAATATCTTAGTGAAGATAACAGTCAGATGGCAGTGATTATAACCATCTGTCTTTGAATTAAGGTGATCAAAGAACAGGATCTTACATACTTGTTTATGACTACAGTACAAGCCATTCCATCCTTTCTTTTCCCTCTGCAAACTCCATAATCAACTGAAGTGCCCATCTTCAGCATTTGATTGGCTGAATACACACTCAAAGAAAAACCACCACCCTGCATAAACAGATTAAAGAAAAGCCATCTTTAGTGATATAAGAAGAAAAAATCAATAAAAGAAAAACACTGATTGACAAATTAATACCATAGCATCCTTGCGTACGGTGCAATTAAGTAGCGCAAACACCATTCCAGTCTGCTCTTTGCAGTTCATCTCATAAGCATCACCAAACAAGAAAACAGAAATGGTATCTTCATCCAAACACCCAAATTTCCATATAGAATAACTCTTCCCTGTGGAACTAGTTTTTGGATTCCCCTTCTCAGTCAATACTCCAACAGTTGCCCAACATCCTGAAAGAGTATCCCCACGCAGCAAATTCCTAGAAAACCCCATTTGAAAAATGTATATCACAACCCAATTCAATCATAGTTTGAACATGTACAATAAAATTGATTTTGGTTTCTGAAAAATAGAATATCACTCTAACATGGATTCCTATTTCTCAATGATATCCCACGATCAAGACAATTGGCTGAATCCCGTGAAACCATTTCATAGAAGTTCATTGATATCTTCTTTTTATAAAGCAAATCGACTTCGATTCTTGAATAATCCACATCACTTCTGCTAAAGTTTCTAAACAAACAATTCCTAAATATGCAAGGATGTGAAAAGCAAGAAGATTACTTTATGGCGGATAACCGAACAAAACGGATGTCTGAAAAGTGATCATTAAGCTCTAAAGGAGTTATCAACTGCTTCCTGTACGAAAAGAAAAAAAGATAAACAAATCAAACACAACGTCCAATTTTCCTCACATTAATTCTTACAATGTGCATCATGTACGAGTATTGGGATTACCTGATTCGCAAACCCGAAAATTTCTCAACTTCTGGATCAGTGGAGGCACCGGGCCGGTTCAATTTCCCAGTCTTCAGAACTGGTTTAGGCTCGTAATCAAGGCAGTCCTCGACGGCGTCCCTGAACACGGACATGTCCACCGGCCCTCTTTGGCCCGTAAATTCATCGTCCGATAAGTAGCCTGCAAAAAGTAAAAATGAAGTATTGATAGAGACCCATTAAACTTTTCAAGGAATTGAGAGAGACCCATTAAACTTTTCGACAAATTGAGAGATACCCAGATCGAATTTCCAAGAATTTCACCCAAAATGAGCAACCCAATTAAAAAATATTCATAAAGATTGAAAAGAAAAGAAAAATAGTTAGGTAGGTGTATAAAATATACCTGCTGAATGGGAAGGAGAACCAGGAGGGGTTTCCAAAACCCTATCTTGAAGAGATAGAAGGAGATCAAGGTCGTCTTGGCGATTTGACATGGTTTGGATCTCTCTCTCTGTCCTCTGTGTCTTGTGAATTTTGTTGTAGAAGAAGAATGTATCAGGCTAAGACAGTTTCGGTGTTTGTGTGTGTGACTAAAATTTTGGAGGTAAAAAAAGATTCGTTGGGGCTGTGGAGGGAGAGTTTCAATATTTTGGAGGGAACGTGAATTGAAGTTACCAAACGACATCGCTTCGTCAGACGTCGTAAAATTGTGATTTAGGCCTGGCCCATATTAACTTGATCAAATTTCGGCCTGGCGCATACACCTTGGGCTTATTACTCATTAATAATGCGAAATTCTATAGTGAGGGTGCCATATATGGATCCCTCAATCCCTAATGTGGATCTTCATATTAGGCACAATCAGTATAGATTTTGCATTAGTCAGATCATTTCATATATGGACCCTCTTGAGCCACAGGATCATTTCATTAAACATTTTTTTTAATCGATCGTTTCATTACACTTAAGTGAAATTACTATTCAGATGAATCATGTGACTAATATGAAAGTCGACATCTATAGTCTATGCATGACACTCTCACCAAAGAACGACTATTAATAATTTGGTACATAAATTTTGTGAGACTAGCATTACACTCATTTATCGTTAAAAATAAATGGGTTATTTTCATACATGGTCTATGAGATTCACGAAATTATCACATTTGGTCCTTGAGGTCCTTAATAAATAACCTTCTTCGACGGTATCGAGCCTCCCACAATGCTTCTTATGGAATGCCAAGATGAATCGTGCGAAATTAGTTAGATTCATAGTGGTCAGCTATTTTTCTCTATCAAGAGATTTTCTCATAAAACTGATGGTGCACATAAGTGGTAAAAAATTTGAAACCCATTAAAATGAATTGGTTTTGTAAATGGATCGAAGTGTGGATACAAATTTAAATCTTTTACTTGTAGGCCAATATATGCACAAATTAAAACCATTTTTGACATGGAAGGACACAATTAATATGGAAAAATAATAATAATAATAAAAGAAAAAAGGGAAAGTGCCCAATTGGAAGCGTATTTCTGTGGGATATGATTGATTTATGAGAAAACAAAGTCAAAAATAATGAACCTAAAAATCGGACAAAGACATGGCTAAATCTGTGCCCAGTAAGTTTCCATATATGCCATGCAGAGAGTGATACAGGAAATCTGGTTTAGCCTTCATTCTCGGATGTACTGTTGCATCTCACTAGAGTGAAGAAAGCCACACATCCACACATTCCCTCCTGGCCATAGTCCGCATTCAAACCCCAAAAACATCGGATTTTTCTTTCTTCTAACAATAGTATAAGTGAACCCTTGATATTCAAACACTTCAACTGGTGAGGCGGTCAAAACATCAGAGAAAACCCAAGAAATAAGGTTCAGGAGATTGAAACAATCAAACTCCTAATTTTTTTTTGCTAGAAAACCCAAGTTTTTAATTCCCCATTTCATTGTGTTTGATGGAAATTGGAACCAGTTTTACTTGTCAAGGTTAGAGAGTTGAAGAACAAACTTATAATGATGGTGGTACTAAGCAGGGTGCTATTGCTTGCTCTTGTGTTTTTGGTGGCCTCGGCCACATTAGTCCATGCCAAAGGCAAGACGCCTGCTCCAGAGGAGGAGGGGGACGAGGGGGACGAGCTGGTAGCTGAAAAGGGCGGGAAGAAGCACCTAGAAGTTGGCGAGGTGACATATGATGCCAGGTCCCTCATGATCAATGGAAAACGGAAGCTTTTCTTTTCGGGTTCTATTCATTATCCGCGGAGCACGGTGGAAGTAAGTTTGTGATGTCCATCTTTTGTTTTTTTGTTTTTTGTACAAAGGAGATTAAATGGGAAAGAGGTTCATACTCTAACCTCGGGTGCACAAGTAAATGCTCTTAATAACCAAAGCTGTATGCCACCTCTCTATATTTTATTCTAATGGACGTGTTTGTTAATGAAATTCAATGTTTTAATGTCTCTGCTGAATTGGGTTTCTTCAGATGTGGCCTGATCTTCTCAAGAAGGCTAAACTGGGAGGTTTGAATGTAATCGAAACTTATGTCTTTTGGAACCTTCATGAGCCTGTGAAAGGCCAGGTACTAAAATGCTGTAGAGATTGTTGCTTGCAGTACATAGAGCATTTGTGAAAATTGTGGCTTGCATTAAATCTTGTTCTGATTTTGCAGTTCAATTTCGAGGGCAATGCCGATGTGGTGAAGTTCATTAGGCTGGTACAGGAGCACAAAATGTATGTCACCCTTAGGGTTGGCCCATTCATCCAAGCAGAATGGAACCATGGGTATGTAAATAATTATTAATTCTGAAATCGTCTCATTCTCTTGCAATGGTGAATTATTTTTAAGTCTATCTATACATATTTCTTTGTCACTTTAGAGGGCTTCCATATTGGCTGAGGGAGGAACCCGACATCATATTCCGTTCGGACAATCCATCATACAAGGTATATCAGTTTGTTCCACCTTAATGTCCAAAACTACTATCTGCACAATATGATATGCTACAATTTGAGGAGCCACATTGAATGATCACTAAGAGCTTTCTATTTGCAGCACCACATGGAGACGTTCGTAACGAAAATAATTGCGATGATGAAACATGAGAAGCTATTTGCTCCACAGGGAGGTCCAATCATCTTAGCACAGGTTGGTACTTGGATGGTTCCTCTCTGAAAATTATAAGTAACCCTTATACTTAACATAATTATGAAGTAAATTTCTTTTATGGCTGAACTATAATGTTTCATGACACAGATTGAAAATGAGTACACTCATGTCCAACTTGCATATAAAGAATTGGGAAACAGTTATGTACAGTGGGCAGCAAATATGGCACTGTCGCAGAATGCCGGCGTACCATGGATCATGTGCAAGCAGAAGGATGCTCCTGATCCAGTGGTAAGTGCGCAAATTTGATTTTCATTGATTCTAAGAGAAATTATGCATTACAATTGGCCCAGTAGAACAAAGTTTTATTTGTTGTTCTGTCTTTTGGCCTTAAATTTTTATTTTATTTTTTATTTTCTGGTGCAGATTAATACTTGCAATGGAAGGCACTGTGGAGATACTTTTACAGGCCCTAATAAGCCCCACAAGCCTACTCTATGGACTGAGAATTGGACTGCTCAGTGAGTATATACCCCTTAGCTACTGTCAATGAACAACTTATCTGTAAATGAACAAAAAAGGAGAAGATCAGACATCAGAGTAGTAAATGAAGCTTGGAATCTATTTTTTAAGTGATTTTGGTTTAAGTACTTATCTCCTTTTCCTTCTGGCTGTTCTTGGCTTCTATGGATTGCTGACCACATTTTTCCTTTTCTTTTCATAATTACAGGTACAGAGTATTTGGTGACCCTCCTTCACAAAGATCAGCAGAAGACATTGCATTTTCAGTTGCGCGTTTTTTCTCGAAGGACGGAACCCTAACCAACTACTATATGGTAACTTGGCACCTCTTTAAGTCGTTCATAAAATCACCACTAACAGAATGCTATTCCCCTGTATATATATACGAGATAATAAAGCACCCTTGTATTACACTTGCAGTACCATGGTGGGACAAATTTTGGAAGAACAAGTGCTATTTTCACAACAACTCGCTACTATGACGAAGCTCCTCTCGATGAATATGGTAAAGATCTTAAATTTGTTTACATCTGTAATGATGACTCAACAAGGTTGCTGCATCAAGTTGGGTCTTGATTTTACTTGTGATGCAGGTTTGCAAAGGGAGCCTAAATGGGGTCACCTCAAGGACTTGCACAGGGCTTTGAATCTATGCAAGAAGCCTTTGTTTGCAGGAACTCCTGGAGTGCAAAGGTTGGGGAAAGAAACCGAGGCAAGTATCTAAATATTCCATAAAATTGAGAGTTAGGGAGGGAGAGAGGGAGAAGAAATTGTCACTAACAGGAAAAAAAAACTTTTCTGCTTTGCAGGCTCGTTTCTATGAGAGGCCTGGGACAGACATATGTGTTGCTTTCTTGGCAAACAACCACTCTACAATTGAAACAACTGTGAATTGGCGTGGCCGGGAATATTTCCTGCCACCACATTCTATTAGCATCCTCCCTGATTGCAAGACTGTGGTCTTCAACAGTCAACAGATTGTATCACAACATAATGCAAGGAACTTTGCTCGATTGAAGGCTGCTAACAAATTTAACTGGGAGATGTTTTCAGAACCCATTCCAACCACCGTGCAAATCCCAGTCAACCACAAGAGTCCACAGGAACTGTACCACTTGCTAAAAGATGCCACAGACTATGGATGGTTCACCAGTAGGTAAGTGCAAGTGTGTAGCTTAAGCACCATATGATATGAGGAAGTCAAAAAATTTAAAACCAGATTGATTTTACTCTCATAAACATTATTGTATGACTTGTGTAAGTGCTTCTACTGCTGACTTGATCTTGTGCTCTGGTTGCAGCCTTGATCTGGGTCCATATGACTTGCCAATGAAGGAAAGTATCCGCCCAGTTTTACGAATTCCAAGTCTTGGTCACGCAATGAGTGTATTCGTCAATGGTGAATATGTTGGTAAGGACACAATAGCATGCATCATACATCATTAGTACAATTACATACAAACTTTTGTCACTTGATGATAACCAGATGACGAAGCAATTTGAGAATGTTTTCAGGAACGGAACATGGAAGCCATGCGGAGAAGGGTTTTGTTTTTGAGAGACCTGTTACATTCAAGCAAGGGGTCAACCACATATCACTGCTTTGCATGACAGTGGGACTCCCAGTAAGTAGCTCATAACTTGGAATTAGTACTGTTTGATTACTGTGGTAGAAAGCAGACACTGACTATCTGTTGTTTATCAATGAAGGATAGTGGAGCCTACATGGAGCACAGATATGCAGGACCCCGTGCCATAACAGTCCTGGGATTGAACACCGGGACAATCGATCTCTCACAAAATGGCTGGGGCCATAGGGTAGGTACCACAGAATTTCTTTCCCATCTGTCAAATATAAAAAATGAGCATTGGATATTAATTATATTGGTTCCATTTTTCAGGTTGGCCTGAATGGTGAAAATCTCCGACTGTTCACTGAGGAGGGAGCACAAAAAGTCCAATGGACTAAAGCATCTGGGAAAGGAAGGGCTCTCACATGGTACAAGGTAAGTCTGAATCAAGCAAAGCCTATTCAACTTAGATTCATCCTAAGAAATTCTAAATTGTGCTTGTACACAAGCACTTTTTTATTTCCTTTTTTGTTGCAGCATTTAAGATCCAATATTCTTTTTCTGCAGACAAATTTTGAGGCTCCTGAAGGGAAAGACCCCGTTGCTATCCGGATGGCTGGTATGGGCAAAGGGATGATTTGGGTGAATGGTAAAAGCATAGGCCGGCACTGGATGTCCTTCCTCTCTCCTCTTGGACAGCCTACCCAATCCGAGTAAGTAAAATTACATGAAAAAGTATGCTGCAGCGAAATAAATCACCATGGAAATTGCAAACTAAAAGTTTTAATTTGCAATCCTTGTGATCAGGTACCACATCCCAAGAGCCTTCATTAAGCCAGGTCAAAATTTCCTTGTTGTATTGGAGGAGCAGGAGGCTGACCCCAAAGATATTGAGATCCTGACCGTCAACAGAGACATCATCTGTGCCATAAGCACAGAGATGCATCCTCCACACGTGAAGTCATGGGAGAGAAAGGGCGGCGAGCTCAAAACCGTTGGACCTGTCTCCGGACCCAGTGCTCAGCTCATGTGTCCAAACTTGAAAAAGATTGTTGGTGTGGACTTCGCAAGCTTTGGCACTCCTGAGGGCATGTGTGGAGCCTACAAACCTGGCAAATGCGACTCTCCGGCAACCAGGAAGGTTGTTGAAGAGGTAAAAAGCTCCTTGATCATGCAGATCAATCTGAGATTTCTCAACCACATTAAGTTCTAACCAATCTTTCTCTTTTTCTGTTTTGGTTTTCTTTATGCAGCATTGCTTGGGACAGACTTTATGTACAGTCCCTGTGGAGCCCAAGCTTTTCTTCAAAGCTGATCCTTGCCCAGATATCAAGATCAAGACACTTGCTATCCAAGTAACTTGTGCCTTTTAAGGGGTACAGAGAGAGTTTTGATAGAAAACTTCTTTGGGGTGATCGATTGTCGTCGTGCATTGAAGTGAAGATCCTACAGCTAGCTTTGTGAAGATCCTAGAAGCTCAAATCTGTTCTTTGTGGTAATTTAGTTATCATAAACATGTATCCAGATTTTTCTTTTTGTGATGTTCATTTATAAATATAGAGGCTGACTTAGTCAGTCATTCATTTTCTTTATGCAAATCTCTCCCAAGTTGCTATAATCTAATTCCACATTCAATTCAAATATTTCTTCAAAGTTCAAACAGTTGCAATATATATATATAGCAAACTAAGCAAACGTAATTTTTGAGTAACAATCATATCCATGTTAAAATGAGCCCACAGACAGCCAAGAAGCGTGACATGCATACTTTTGAACCAAAAATATCCATGTGAACTTATTGATAATTTCATGAAAACAACTATTTACCGAGAAGACTAAAAATTTATGAAATGGAAACATAAGAGTTTAAAATAAATTCAGAGTTTGCAAAATCACTCGCTTTCGTCATCGTAGAATTTACCAAAAAAGTGCAAGCTGCATAGGAGTACAGAATTTTTGCAAGTTCTTTCCAAGTTGCTATCCAGCCAAATTAATCTAGCAAACTACTTTTCTCATTGTAATTAGTTAGTTAATGTTGCCTCAGTTAACAATCAACTATGGAAACAACTTCTCCATTTTTCGCCGATACATCTTGCTTTAGTAAGCTTGGAGAGTTAGAAGAAAAAGGAGTATGGAATAATCGGAGAGGATCCAAATTCTGTAAAAGTACTTGTAACTTAATATGGATTTTTCCTATAAATTGCATTGTTTAATGATGAACCAAATTGGTAGGTTAATCGAATCAAATCAAATCAAATCAATCCATTTGTGAAATTTGAGCAGTTTGGGCAACCTCTACATTACCAAAGAAAACCAAGGAACATTGTATAAATGGAGAAGGGCAGTTCGGTTTGGTTTTGTTATAGCAATTACTTTTTCTTTTAAGACGGCTTTTCCCAAAGATTAATACGATGTGCTGAGGAGGTGAGGCTCGTAAGAACTAGGACACAACTCCAATACAGTCCAAGCCGAGCCACCAAACGTTGCGTGCAACATAAGATAATAAATTACCAGCATATTCATCACATAAAAGGCATAAAAGTGAGATTTAAATAAGAGAAAAATGGAACTGTAACGAATTTATTTCGAAATCAGAATTGGCATGAAATAAAAGGCATAAAAATATTTCAGACGTTTGTTTCCCCTTTCATACTTTTACGCCATACATGTGTATATTCTACCAGCCTATATGATTGGAAAACAAAACCGAAATTTAAAAGAACAAAAGAAGATCAAGATTTCCTATTTATTTACAATCCCTGGCGTCTGAAACGGCCCTCTCGGAAAACTCTCTTTACAGTTTAAAATTGCATCGATCCAACCTGAAATTAATTCAATTAACCCTTCAGAACCACAAATAAATAATTTCAGATAAGAGGAAAAAAACATGAATATTAAATAAAAATATGAAAATCAAGAGGAAGAGAGGAAGAGATGAAAATAAAAAAGGGACCAAAAAAAGCCAACTATACAACCTTAACCCATGTGAAAACGTACGAAAACCTTACCTCAGACAATGTTGTTAAGTTTAGAACCGCACCAATGAGAAGCCATTATTTGAGTAGAGAAGTAGGAATGCCACTTTCAACCCCATATCATTCCAAGGCTAAACCTAATTTAATTGCAACCAAAAGACAAAACCACTCCTAATTGTTTTGATGTAACTAATATACACGGAATCGATACAGCTAGTCCCAAAATCCTCATGACAAATCAAAGGATCCTTGCCCTTCACTGATTGCATACAATAGTTTCTTGAACATAACTTCCTGTTTAAAGCACAAAATAATAATAATCCCAGAATGAGTGAGATTATATGTTGCAATAAAGAATGTCAATGGCTGATGAATTAACCGAACAGAATAATACCTTGGTAGAGTAAGGAGGAAGCTTCAGGTAATTCGCGCATGTCATGACACTTGGCAGATCATCATCCGCTAACTCCGAAGGCCCAGTCCCATTGGCTGCAGTATTATTTGTGGTCGAAGAATGCTGCACACACCAAAACATTAACTCACTCTCCAATTCGCACAACCACTAAAAAACATTATTTACTATATATATAATGTACAGTCAGCGTTTGACATGATTCTACAGACGCCACAAAAAGAAAACCCCCAATTTCAGAATATCACACTCAAAACCTCTATTGAAATCACTTGTACCATACCTTTCTCACAATGGTCAATTTTGGATTCAGCACCGCCAAACCACCAGGCGGAAGCCTCGGTGCACCAGTAACAAACTGGCAAAAGGCGCGCTGTTGCTCTGGCGTGAACTCTCCCATAATCTCGAGCAACTACAAACATTATAAACAAGGCCCCATAAGACAAAAACAGAATCGTTCATCTCCAAAGCACTATCTTAAATATAGAACAAACACTTACATTGAGTATTGCAGGGCTCTTGGCAGTGTATCCATGATCAAACTTTATGTGATCAACAAGGGTCTCCGCCTGCATATAATAGAAATAAATGCAATGAGCATAACAACACTTCAAATAAAATAGTGATTGAATGAAGGCAAAGCAAAAAAAAAAAAAAAAAAAATACTCCTCTACAACTCTCACAAAGCAGATAGTCCAACTCATGTGGAGTAAATATTTGTAAAGACGATATGTCAAAGACCTGATAGACATGTAGTACACAAGAAGAGGAGTTAAGTATTGGACAGTGTCAAACAATTCTCAGAGAGTACAGAAAAACATACAAAGGACATTAAAACATGAAAATACAGCAAGCACCAGACCAAAAAGTTAATAAACTACAGCAAGAATCATGATCCTGCTACCTACTACAAGACCAGTTGAGGTTATTCAACGTCAGAAAGGAGATCCCCCTTTTTATTTAATAAAGGTCTTTTCATATTCCTCCACTTCTCCCCCTCCCCCCACTTCCCCAAAAAAACCTTCCCTATGCATGAAACTCATTTGCAGAGTTGTAAGATACAAAAAATAATGCGTACTAATTATAACTGCAGCAGGACATAGAACTATAACAATGATATTTAAAGAATTCACGCACAAATACCTCATACGGAAATGTCAAAATGCAACGATTTTATTTGGTTATGAACTCAGTCAAGATCAGATTTATAAAAATAAAAAAAACTAAACCTGATTAAACCCTGCTCTAAATGCTTCAATTTGCCTCATTATTCCAGTCTTCACTGTCGCATCAACAACTAAAGATATGTACTCTTCCAAGTTATTGATATCAACCTGGAATTTGAACAATATGTTAAAGACGTCTTTACAAGCACAGAAGAACTGAAACAAGTAAATAAAGGCTCAGAATATACAGATGAACTAGAAGGTTTTTTTGCTTACATTTTCATCTCCAGCTTTCAAGACGTAATCTGGATAACCAGGAAGTGTAAAATCAAAACAGAGATCATCAATTGAAGCCCCACGGAAGCGCAATTCAGCAATGGCATCACGATTATCACCGCTAGATTCTAGATATAGTTTCCGGCACACAAGGTTATGTAATTCTTGCAAAGTCTTTCCAAGCTCAGCATCAAAGGAAAGAACATCATGTAAATCAAGGTCCTGAAGGATGGGGAGGGAGGAAAGAATAGAGGTTAAATATCTACGTCAGAACCATGTTGATGAAAGTATAGAACAAAACCATTGGATCACAGCAAGAAAATATAACTCTAAACCCAACAAGGTGAAATGAAAAAGGATATATTTTCCATTGGCTTACTTGACCAAGCAAAAGTTTATAAAATGCTGTTGATAGTGGTAAGTCCAATAGCCGCCCATCTTGAAGAGCCTTCGCCATCACACGCCCGACCAGTCGGAAATACTCTATGACTTTTGAAAATTGGCTACCATCAGAGGCAACAGCATTCAGAGGCCAGGGACGAGGGAACAACCCAAGAGGAGCTTGGACAATGTCACCATTGCTTTTTCCATCTTTCTGTTCATCTCCATCAATATCCATTGATGTTTTCTCCATTGAAGAATTTGACCTCCACATGCCAAGCCTTACTTTTTGGAGGTCATGACTTAAAAGTGTGTAGAACTCAAGTGTAGGACCCAACCCAGTGCCCACTTCACCGAAATATTCTACTTCAAGCACTGACTTTTGGCTGGAATACATCTCCATTACTTTTGCAGCAGAATCCAAAATCCGGTTTCGGGAGACACGGACTTTCTGGCGCTGCATTCTCCCAACTCTCACCTCTCGTTCATTTGCTGATCCATGACCATCAGCACCCTGCTGCTGCTGAAGACGGTACAAAGCACGAGACAATCCAAAAGCAGTTGAATAGAAATACTGTCTTCGAGTCTCAAAAGGAAACAAAAATGGACATGCTTTTGTCAACTGATAACACCAAGAGGGAAGACTCCCACTACACAATGCAAGGGCATCTTGAATTTGTCGTGCTAATTTGGGAGTGAGTTTGCTGTTAATAAATTCCTCAGGAAAAACCCTCGCACCAGTTGTACTCAACTCATCCAAATTTAAAATTTTCCCCTCAGCAAAACTGTCAGAAACTATCTGAGCTCGCAGACGAGGTGCAAGCTGATTCAAGCCCTCTAGTACACGCAATAGTGCCAATATATTATAAGTAGAATTAGACTTTTCCAAATCACAAGGAAGCTCTCCCTGCAAAATGCTATCCAGAAGTGACATTCGGTGCAATTGTGAGTCAGAGTTGGAATTGGAAGCAGATCCAGATTTGCCAGATTTCAATGCAGTTGTAGAACTTGCTCCTCCAGCAGATGCCCTGTCAGCTAGATTGTCTGGCCTCTGGTATGTGATAGTGTAAATATCACTCCACAGCCTGCTACCATCACTGGATGATACGAAATCACTACCAGCATACCGCTCATCATCATCATCATCCTGCACAAGCTGTCTC